GGACTTTCAGGAATTGACAAGTCAGTTGATGTTTAAACTTTGTCTCTTTTGAATCATCTTGTGTGATTTACACCGATATTCGACCTGTTATTATTCATTCTTTGTGTTGATTGATAATGATAGTGTGCAATAATGTGGACCTGTACTGATTCAAGATGACTATTCAAAGTGAAAAGATATTAAGGCGGATCGTACGGTATATTGCATCAAGCGAAAACAAACCTTATCGTTTTTTTTCGTTTTTTTCTGATAATATTATAAAACATTAATGCGACGTCGATTGGTGTGTGAACAATTAAACAATTCGGGAAGTTTGGATGATTAAGGTTGATACGAAAACTCAAGAACGCCACTTCCCAAATAGTCCAAGTATTATTTTATGGAAGTGGGAAAAAAGTTACAAGCTTGGCAATTCGCTTTTTAATCATTGTGTATTCACTGATTGATTGACAGTCTTGTTGAAGGTGTTGAAATCCTTAAAGTTTCCTTAGAGTTCGTTGTTGGTAACATTTCCCAACTCTGTTTGTTTTCTACCTTTTAGTTTAGAAATGCTCAAAAGACTTATTGAGATGTTGCATTGGTGGATTATAATCCTTATTATATTCACTAATTGATATAAATGCATCCAAGTTCAAGTTCGTTACAGAAAATGGTTCAATAGAGAAGAACTAAAAGATTCGTTGCAATAGAAAGATTAGATATAAGACTGCGAGAAACATGCTGACTTGGAATCATTGGCAATGTTTATCCATTGGAATATTTATAATTGTCCTCATTGCAGAATTTCATCAGAAACTCATATTCGAATTTGATGAAAGTTCACCACGACATATAACATATGTACAAGGGAAGTAAAAGCTTCATTGACAATATACCACGAATACATAGTCAATTATGATTCCATAGCCACAACCTTCAAGATAGCTTTGTAAATCTAGCTCTTAGTAATTACTGCACCGCTTATTTCATCCCACAAACTTCAAAGATACTTACCTTCATAGTCACTGATCTTCAATTTAAAATTAATTAAAATTAAAATATTTAAATTTAAAACTCAACTTCCATAACAGGCCACACCATTTCCAAACAAGTCATTTTTACAAGAATAGAAGCAGTAAATTTTCATTTGGCGCGAAATACTTCACTAAAAATTTCATTAATTCAATAAAAAAAAATGAGAGGGAGTTTATCGATATCACCAAATGGAGGAGGCGGCAACAATTCAGCAACATCTCCCAACAATAATTCCAATCATTCACTCCATCATCACTCCTCTCAACAACACTTAACCTCACCTTCCTCATCAAAGAATTTCGTTGCTAGTCCGAGCCATTCCAAACCACTAAGATCATTACATGTAAATGTTTATAATCAAAATATTGGTTTTGGTTCTAGTGGTGGTTCTGGAGGCAATAGTGGAAACAACAGTATTGTATCACCTTCCTCAGGAGGTAGTGCTTCAAATAATAATGGTAGTAGTACAACTGCATCATTTGGAAGTGTTCTCTCTCATGATACATCACCACAATCATCAACTAAAAACTCGAGTTACCCTAACACAATGTCTCTCATCAATGTTTCGAGAACACCTTCTGGTAATAAGAATAGGAAACTTGATGTGGGTTCTCCCAAAGTTTTCAGATCAGGACAAACTCTCTCCATGATTCCTTCAACTCCTCCAAAGGGTGGTGGAAATACTCCAACATCACTCAATAGTTCGCCCAATACGGCTGCTTTTAAAGATGTTACTACATCACCTGCCTATAGAAATAATTCAACCTCAATAGAACCGAGAAGAGGTATTCAAACGAGTAATGCAAATAATACCCTAGGAAGATTTCCAACAAGAAATGTTTCTGCTTCATCATCTTCATCCCCTTCTAAACCTTCGGCTACTACACCAAGTAAAAAATCAATTCTAGATGAATTGAAAATAGACAAGATGAGAAATCCTCTCCACAGACCAATTAGCGTTCATGCCTTACCTCAAATGTCCAATGGGCAATTTGAATCTCTATTTACACATACTAGAAAATTATCATATTCATCAGCGAGTGCTCAAGGAAAAAGACCAACAATGGAAGATGAACACTTTTTCGTAAAGAATATCGAGGAAGCCCTTAATCAGCATCCAATTTCTCAATTTAAATTCCATGCCATGTTCGGAGTATTTGATGGCCATAGTGAATCCGAATGTGCAGAACATTGTAAACAGGTAGGTTAATTATTGTTTTAACTGAAGTTTTATTTACATATTATGTACGACAGGCCTTATTCCAACATTTGGCAAATAACAAACATTTATTGATGGCCGACTGGCAATCTTCAGCTACTCTATCCATAATTTCTCTATTCAGTGGATCATTAATTTGCATGCCAGCTTGTGTTTGTTTTCTAAAGGTTTCATAGTTGAGGAAAGCACGTTGAATGTACAGCATGGCGATTGGAGAAATTTCACAAGTCTTGATGGCCTCATTCAAATATTCCAAAGCGAGTTCTGGATTGGTTTGTTGACATTGAGCAGCCTTAGCTCCCAATTCAGTGGCCTTATTGTGCATTAATTTGGCATGGGTGAGAACCTTGAGCTCTTCAATAAAGTTAGTAATGTCGCTGTAATCATTTCCATTTGAAATCTTTTGCAATAATTGGGTTGCTCTTTCAATATCCTCTTTGGCATGTTCTGGATTGATATTGGTGTTGTGCAATCGGCACATGGCTCTCCTTGCATGAGCTGAGCACAATTCTGAAATGTAATTTGGATGTAAATTATCAATTTGTTCAGGTTTAAAATGATCAATATATAAAGTAAAATCTCTCTCGGCATTGGCAATGAAAATTTTAGATGTCTCGGTATTTCCCATATCAGAAAGGAAGGACTCTACAAAAACTCTTCCTCTCAAATTATATACATAATAATCCAAGTAATAGTCCTTAATATTATGCTCCTTAGCTTGTTGAATTGTATCCTCAATATATCTCTCACAATCTATCAGACAATTATTGAGAGTATCCAATGCTTCATCACTCCATTCTGGATTGACTGAGAATGAGGTGATGGCAGTACTCTCTGGAGCTCCTCCATTATTATTTGATGCACCAGTAGAATTTGATCGTTCCTCAACTCTCATATTTTCACCAGTTTCTTTCAAATATTCGAATAATTCAAATTGTAATTCGGCACGTTTCAAAAACTTGATTGGTGCATTTGGATTAGATTCAATTGATCTTGTGACATAATGAAGAGCTTGTCTCAAATCTTGTTTAACAACCTTACAAAAACTAGCAAAACCAAAATCAAGTTCATCACTAGCAATTCCAAAACTGAAAGCTTTATCATAATCCTGCTCCATAATTGAATAGTACTGATTTCTTTCCTCCTCTGTTTGAGCTCTTCTCCAACAAACCATAGCACAACTGGCCCTTCTGCAGAGAACTGTAATTTGCAATTCTTTGGAAGCATTAATAGTTTCATGAATTGAATCTCCCAAAAAGTGATCCTGCGTCTGAGCCAATTCTTCCATCATTTTGATCATCATTTCAATTTGTGCCAACAAGGTAGTAAAAGGATGAACATTATCATAAATTGTATGAGCAATTCTATTAGAATTAGAAACAATGGTTAATAATTCATAAATTGGTTTTTCCTTTTCACTAAGAATTAATTCTTGCTCTCCTTCTTGATTGTTATTATTGTTATCCGATGATGATGAATTTAATGTTTTAAAATTATAATGATAATTAGCAGAATTTCGGAATGATAATTCTTGTGCTTGAATGAAAGCTTGTGCTTGATAATTTTTCAATAAGCCTGCCATCATCATACCACCACTATTATTGCCCACCAATAAACGTTTCCATGATGATGAAGCAAACACAGCAGAGGAAGAGGACGATGAAACTCTACGTATCAAATGATTAACGAACATTTTTTCAAAATAATTTAAAATTGATTGAATTAATTCCGATTTAAAATTATTAATAATATAACCAAGCAGATAAATTCAATTTGCTGATTAATACCTTGTTAATTAATAATAATAAATAGAGAGAGTTTCATTTGTCATTATCTATTGCACAAAATTACTTGTTTTCTAAACATGATACTGATGCAAAAAAGTTCGCAGGCGTTCAAGCTTCATTTTCCAGACAACACGAGAAAAAAAAGTCCTCACATCAAAAAGAGCAGCGTCGTATTTGTTACTTTAAACTGCAGGAAGGCACTTCATCACGTCTGGTCGTATTAAAATTTAAAAACACTCAACAATACATTATACAACTCCCAAATAATAATAATAACAAAATTGTTGATCCTTCGATACTTTTTTAGCCTTTGAAAAACATAAAAACAAAAAATGCTTCCACAGCAAGTAATTGATATCGTTGATGATGATGACGATGAAAGCACAACAATCCAACAACATGCTTCTTCTTCAATTCATAATAATAATAATTTTAGTACATTGAATGGTCATCTTGTGAGTAGTAGTAACGGAGAATCTAGTAGAAGCAGATTCGCTGGTGCCTTTTCTATCGATGATTCATTTTCGGGTGATAATGATGCATTGAGTCCGTATACACCATCAAAAAGAAAATTAGAAGAAATCAAGTCGTTTGAAGAGCCTACCAGTGAGGATGACGATGATGTGTATGGAGATGTAAATTTGGACCAATTAATAATGAATTACGAAAAAACCAAATCAGCCTCTTCATCATCATCCGAAAATTCATCTTCTTATTTTGTTACAGGTAGTAATATGTTTGGGATGCTTGGACTTGGAAATCCAGTTTCAGATTCCGCTAAAATTTCATCCTTTACAAGGCTGAATAATCCAGCAATTGATCCTTCTCAAGTCAAGTTCTTGGCCTGTGGACACTATCATACAATTTTACTAACAAAAGAAAATCAGCTCTATGCATGCGGAAAGAATAATTATGGCCAATTAGGAATGGGAAATTTGACAAAAGTTGTAAATATTTTCAAATTTGTAGATTCAAGTTTGAATGGCATGCCAAAAGAATTGATTACCGATATTAAATGTGGAAGATACCACACAATGTTCATTACAAACCAACCTAATGATAATGTATGGGTTTGTGGTAAGAACAAGACAGGTCAAATGTCTCTTCCATCTATGAATATTTATCCATCACCTCAACGCTTAATTACTCAATTTTCAGGAAAGGTTCTTTTTGCATCCTGTGGATCAGAATATACTTTTATCAAAACTACCGATCATATTTATGCTTGTGGTGACAATTCTAGAGGCCAATGTGGAGTTGGTATAGAATTGCCTCAAATCAAAAAGTTTACTGTTGTTCGTGACCCATTATTTATAAGACAAGATATTGTACAAATAGAATGTGGAGAATTCCACACATTATTTTTGACTGCCAGTGGTGAAATTTGGGGAGCTGGTACAACTGTTAATGGACAACTTGGACTTGATCCTGTAGTACTTGGTAAACAAAATCTCTACTCTCCAACCAAAATACCAGTCTCAAACAATGAGCCAATCAAGAGTATTAGTTGTGGCTTCCATCACTCTGCCTTTCTTACAAAAACTGGTAAGATTTTCATTTGTGGTAGAAATGGAGATGGGCAACTTGCTACTGGTGAAACCGTTCCAAGACTATTTTCATTTACTCATATTCCATTGTCTGCATCATCACTGGGTCACCATTTTGTACAGGACCTTTATTGTTATTCATACTATTCTATTGCAATTACTGATAAGAGAGAAATGTTCTTGACTGGTAGTAACAAGTGTGGACAATTAGGTTGTCTCGAAACTCCAAAGATTGAAAAGTTTAGCAGAACTTTCAAACATAGAGTCATGAATGTATATTGCGGTAGAGATACCTTGATGGTTGAAGCTGAAAATAAGGAATATACTGAAGCTGTCCATGAAGATACACTCGGAAAACTTTTAGACTTTGACAATGAAGATATTATGAGTCTATTGGATTCTTACATTATTTGCAGTGATGATAAACAGTATCCAATCCTGTATGATTTTGTTATGGCAAGATTTCCATTCTTTGAAGCATTTAGTAAGGATGTGAGTGGAGTTCCATCACTTGAAAGACCAAGCAAGAAGAGAAAATCTAGGGGTGAATCCTCCATAAGAATTATTGACCTTTCTTCCATTTCTACACTTTCCAGCAAGTCTGTCCTAAAGATTCTCAAATATATTTACACAGACGTTCTCGATGATTTTGGTACAACTATTCAAGAAGATTTGGACGTGATTTTATGGATTGCAGAAAAGAGTAACAAGGACTTTTCCTCTGGTCCTCCAAGTATTTCCAACATTGCACGTTATGTAAAGCTTGTTTTACAAAATACCCTATCCGGTATCACTAATGGAACTGTTGTCAAGACACTCTCTGCTTTACAACTGTTCAAAAACCATCCACTCATTGAAAGTATTTACAGACACTGTATTGCACTAATTAGAAAGATTGAAAAGACTTATACTATTAACGAGATTAAGGACTATAATGATCTTTCAAAAGAGGCCCTTATAGAAGCATTGACAGCAGGTGAAAATTATCATTGTTTGGGATCAAGTGATGTATCAATTCCTCCGTCCACCTTCTCAGAAGATATGGAGAGTTTATACGCAAAAACACAGACAACTAATTCTGGTGATGTTAAACTTGTTCTTTCTAAAAGTACAACCATCCATGCTCACAAGGCTATACTGGCAGTCAAGTGCGATTTTTTCAGAGTAAAATTTACATCAGGAATGTGTGATATGGATTCATTTGACATTTCTGACGATTCGGAAGAAGAGGACAAGGAAGAAGTTCAAGCTCATATTTCCTTTATCAAGTATCTATACACTAATCAGGTACTGTTGAATGGTAGCAATGCTGTCAGCTTTTTAACCAAGTGGAACTTTTATTCAATGGACATTAATCATCAAATTAGCTTGCGTTGTCAATCAATAATAATTGAAGGTTTGACAGAGAGCAATGTTTTAGAATTCCAAAAATCCTTCTTTTTCGATCGTTCTTCTCCTTATCACCACTTACGAAAAGCATGTGTACAAGCCCTTATTAGTCACTGGCCAGCCATTAACCAACGTTACACCAAGAAACAAATTCAAGATCACATGACATTTGACCAGTACATTAAGATAACACAAGCATTCCTCAAATTACAAGCCAAAACCAATAATACAGTTTAAGTTCTAATTCGTCTCAAATGCTTTTTCCTTCTTTGCAACAAAATGAAAGAAAAGCTCAGCAAAGAAGACTATTTCCAAATGTGTCAAATATCAAAAGAAGAAGTATTGTGCTAAGACAATTATTATTCCACCAAGATGTATCAAGAAGAAGTATTATAAGAAGTGTTTGAAACGTTCAAAGGGTAAGAAGATTTGTAAGAAATTCAAATTAGTTGGTGGAAAGAAAAATTTGCAAGTCAATCAAGAAGAAGATTTGTATCAAGAGAAAGACATGTAAGAAGCCAACAAAGCCAATCGTTAAACCATCCTTGTAAAGTAATAACATTTGCTGAAGAATAAACTAAAATTCTGATTCTTCCAACAAAATCCATAAAAATTGATTCATGCCCATGTTAAAAATATCAATCGCCCACCGTGGGGGTCGAACCCACGACCACAAGGTTAAGAGCCTTGCGCTCTACCGACTGAGCTAGACGGGCTTCTCATTCACGATAAATATGGTCTTCTTATGAAAAACATTGAAGCCTCTGGTCTTCAGATGTTGATCTAGATAAACATTACAATAAATTTAGAATTCGTATCACACTGGTATGTGGATAGACAGTACAAAGTGTGGGTTTTCGATTGGTTTCTTGTGTGAACTGGATCAAAACAAAAAAAATGAACCAACTTCATCAATTGCCAACCGAGGTTTTGGATCACATTATATTTTATATGGGAAACTCTGCAAAAGATGTTATTAGTTTTTCATCCTGTTGTAAAGTTTTAAGAGAGGAACTACTTGAATCAAATCCATTAGTACTAGCATTAAAGGTTTCCTCCGATATTAGAAAATTAGGAAATATAAATTGTAGGAGAATGAAGGCTTTAAAAAAGAAACAATCTTTTCAAAAACCAAAAGATCAAAACATTTTAAAAGAATACAAGAGGAAGTTTGATGAATTAAATAGTGAGAATGATGAATTAAATAGTGAAAATGAGGAATTAGAAACATGCTCAACTACACAAATTACAAAAGCATTCCGTTTGACTTCTACTTATGGTAGAGAAAATTTTATACAAGAAAGTAGGGAATATGCATTTGAAAAATGGTTAACTGTTGAAATTGAGACAAAAATTGATCAATCAAAGAAATCCTCTACACTCAAAACCAACGCCATTAAGGAAACTGATGGCATTAAGAGGATGTGGAGCCGATTAATGAATGAATACTTTTTATTTCAGTGTGGAGAGGAAGTTTGTGAAATAATTTCCAAATGTGTTTATCAAAAAGTTGAATATACTTCTTGGAATGTAAGAGAAGAGGTAGATTCCTACCCTCGATTTTATGCATATGATGGAGTATTTAATATTGCTTCTAATGTATTCACATTTTTTTCTTCAGAGAATGAAAGTAAGTAATTAATAATAATGAGAATTTTTTGAACCAATTTAGACGGAACTGGCTATTGGAGGTTGACTGTTAATTCAAATGAGTTGTTGAATGGTGATGGATCATTAAGTGTGATGTTAAAAGAGTTTACCTCTGTGAAAATGCAATTATTTGGAGAGCATGTCACAAAAATTACTGATGAAATCTGTTTGATTATCTTGTTGTCCCTTGTTGACTTTAGATACTGTGAGAGTAGAACTTTATTGGATGAGTTGGTTTGGATTGATGGCAACAATTCGCAATTTTAGTTTTTATTAATTTAAATTGGAGACAAATTTACATTCGAATAATTTCCCATTTCAGCTGTATTTTGAATCATGACTTTCAATAAATTCCATCATTCGCGACTGTGGTGTTGATTTCTTCAAGTTGATAAATTATTTCTAATTAAAAAAAATGAATCAAGATAATTGGACAGAGATTATTCAATTTCTAGAACCGATTGATGTATTGGCCTCTCTTTTAACTATTAATCGGACAATTTATTCTCTGATTGAAAAATGTGTGGTTTCTTTTGATAATATTTCCGATTATTGTTTTAATGAATCATTGAATATTAGAATTTTATTTTCTGATCGTGATGATTTGAAGAATGAATTATCGGATGAAAATATTCCCCTATTGGGAAATTGTCGATATTTTGTTAATTTATATTTATTGAAATTGGCATTTAAATTGGAAAATACAAATCCAGAAAAGATGAAAATTTCTGAATTTGAAAAGATAATAGATGAACCACAATTGAAATTGTTGAGATTCTATCGCTCGGTATTTAGTTGGAGTAAAAAAGAGGAGAAAAATGTTGAATATCTCATTAAATATACACCTATTGGAGAGCATTCAATTGGAAAATCAACATTTTTCAATCATGTCCAGTTTGGTCATTATGAAAATACAAGTCTCTGGAAGAGTGAAGCTATTAAGAAGGAATTTACAATTTCAAACGAATCTAGCCTAGTTCAAGTACTGTTTGATCTTGATCCACGATATCAAACCAAAGAAACATTTATTAGAGGACTCATAAGACACAACATGTCATTTCTACTTTCATTTGGAATCAATTACGAATGTACCTTTGAGAAATTAGGAGATTGGTATCATTTGATTAAACAGGAGAAATTGGAAACCATGGGAATAATGATTGGTCTGCATCCTCATCGACAAATAACCAATTATGAATTGAAGAAGATAAATCCAAGAGAGGTTGTAAGGAAAGCATTTCATGAATTTGGAAAATTATTAGTTGTGGAAGTCGATATGGATAATAAGAAGCATGTTTTTGTTCCCTTTTGGTTTTTTCAATTACAATTTACCTACTTTAAGGATTTGAAAGATATAACACATAGAGTGCTACTCAATGAAACACCCAAAACTGCCAGTTCACTTCCAACGAATTGTTTTATATAAGCAAGACGTAGAATTGACAAAGCCCAATATCTCTAAATCTGTATCCTATAATTAATTTTTAAACTTGGTCCATTAAAATCATATTCTTTTCTGATGTGTATTCGAAAGTTAGATAATAATGTATTTCCATTTGTTGAAACTGTGCAACAACGTCAGATAATGAACCACCCTTAATTGTTTTCAATTATAAAATTAATTAAGGATAGCCCGCCATTTTCAAATCCAAATAATTATAAAAAAATGTCTTCATTTGATGAGAAATTTTTGATGATTTTTAATTCCCTTCATCCACAAACACGAGAAGTATTTCCTCATCCTACTCTTTGGGACAATATATCAAGCTGTGAGACTTTCAAGACAAAATTGAGTGCGACAGCAGAGTTAGGAGTGTTCCTTTGTGATTCATTCTTTGATTGGAAAGAAGAGGAAATACTTCTCAAGGAAGAAAATATTCTCCTACCCAACTTTAAATATTTACTAGAATCAATTTCTCAATGCAAAAAACCTTTCAGTCTTGGAATCAGTAATTGATGAATTAACTAAAATTCTTGGATTAAAGGAATCAGAGCCAATTGAGGTTGCTGTGGCCATACATTCTTTTTTAGCGAAGGACGATGTTAATAAGACCGAGTTATTTCTTGCAACAAGGAATTCAAAGTCTCTGTTACAATCTCTCTCAGTATTTCCATTTTTCTGTATGAACAAGTGCGTATTAGGTTAATTTAATTTGCTTAATAATACAGAGACAATGCAATTAAGGACTGCATAAATATGGCATATGAACCATTTAGGACAGAGTTTCATGAATTGCTTCATTCATCTACAAGACTTGATAGTTTTGCTGGATTTTGGAAGGAACATTGGTATCCCATCAACAGCGAAACAGACAATGACGAAACTATTTCATTTATCTCAAAATCCAAATTTTTCATGTTTACATTTCTAGAAGAAAACAAACCAGAAGAGGATTCATCTTCTGGACCTCAAGACTTTCTCAAGGTAGTAGCACAAATGAGACTCATACTTTCCCAACTAACAAGGGCTAGTATGGTAAAGGACATTTACAATTTTCACAACTCGATTTGTTGCCATGCAATTCTCACCAGCAAGGAGAGAGTTATTGCGCTAACTATGAAACCAAATTTATATCGAATGACTGTCAAAGATAATGATGTGATATATTCAGATTATAATTTGTATCTTTCAGGTGTTTACAATCTAAACTCAACCAAGCATAGAATTGAGCTTTGTAATTTTCTAATGACTAGCGCCTATATGGCTTTGCAAATCACAAAACGTGTATATTTCTATCTAATGGAGCAAAAAAGCAAGAAATCTGAGAATTCCACTATCCTTAGCCCTAAAAAAGGACAAATTACAAAGAGCCTCAGTGTTGGAGATATAATCTATTGTAAAAATGATATATTTAATGACGATACTACAGATAAAGGTTTTGCAGTAATCATTGAAAAACAGATAGATAACACTAGAGACAAACCAATGTATGAGGGTACACTTGCTGATACCAATCATAAGTGTATTGTTAAAATTTACAACAACATTGCTTGTAACAACTGCCGTACTCCATTAACATTGAATAGCCAAGGATTTTATGTAAATGGATCACTCACACCATTTACACAATCAGATGTTACATTGAAAGGTATTCCATTACCTGAATACATTCTAAATCATGCACATGATAAGAAACTCCTAATGGCCCAATTACTTGTTCAACTTTACAAACTTCACAAGCATTCAGCAGTTCGTCTTGGTCGCATCCATAATGATATCAAACCAGACAATATAGTTGTATATGATAATTATCCATACTTTATTGATTTTGAAGCCTCCAAAACATTTGACAAATATGACACTGCAAATGAGCAATGCTTTGATGATGGAAGAGTCTTAACATCTTCTTCAGGAACCAGCAGCTTCAATCCACCTGAAAAAGGAAGTGCACTCAGAGGAATAACACCAAAGTCAGACGTTTACTCATTGGGCCTTGTTTTTATTCAGATTTTGAGCACACATAATTCTACTGTTAGTTCTTTACAATCCTTGACAAACTATCCAATTATCATAGATCTCATTACAAAAATGACTCAAAAAGACATTAAGGATAGACCACTAGCAGAAGATTGCTTGAAAATATTGGAAATATCAGAAAATGAATATGTACAATATGGTCCGAAACCAATCTCCAAATATTATTATACAACTTCCGAATCTTACGAAAAAATGCTCAAGAAAAGAAGTTGTTCCCAAACAGAATCACAAAGTATGGAAAATTCCTTCAAAAAATTAAAGAAGTGACCTACAACTCACACTCAACTCTGCAACCTTTATTGACAGAGCTTTGGCTTTTAATGATGAGTGAACGATGAAACGGCTCAGGATATCTGAACAGTCTAGAAGAAGTTTCGAGAAAGTATTGAGGTGCAATACCCTGTCAATGTGATATTTCCTTGTTTGTGGTTTGGAATGTTTCGACTATCATTTAAAGTATGGAGTCGAATTATAGTTAAAATTTAATTAAGAATATTTCCAAATATGAATTATTTCAATATAGTAACCTCTCATTTGATCAAATTCAATCCAAGAATATACCCAATCAAATCCAACCTTTCCTGTTAACATTAAGCATTACAATCACCAGTATCTGATTCATCAACACTTGCCAAGCTTCAAAAAGCAGTTTTTCTTCCTTAAAATTTACAGATCATTTACTATGAAGTTAGATGGGAGCGATCCAAATAAGATGTTCATAAAGGTTCATTGAATATTCAGGGATTTAAAAGGGTTGATCAAAGGTTACAATTCTCGATCAAACAAATACAAAAAAACAAATCAAGATGACAACAGAAATCAAACACAAGGAAGAGAAGAAGCACAAGGACGAAGATGATAAAAAACACAAGGATGAAGAAAAGAAGCTTAAGGAAGAAAAGAAATTGAAAGAAAAGGAAGACAAGAAACATCTCGAAGAAGAAGAGAAGAAACACAAAGATGAAGAGAAAAAGCTCAAAGAGGAAAAGAAATTAAAGGAAAAGGAAGCCAAGCACAAGGATGAAGAAGAAAAGAAGCCTAAGGAAGACAAGAATCATAAGGATGAAGAAGATAAAAAGCACAAGGACGAGGAAAAGAAGCTTAAAGAAGAAAAGAAGCTCAAGGAAAAGGAAGCCAAACACAAGGACGATCATGAAGACAAGAAACACAAGGAAAAGGATGAAAAGAAAAAAGATGAAAAGAAATAATCATCATCATTCCCTTGTTCAAAAATTGTACTAATACCAATATATGTAACAATATATGGATAAAACTTCATATATAAAACTCTAAAATTTATCACAAGAATTTTGCCTCAATTTCATCATCAACCCGATCAAACGCCCTCATCAATTATTAAGATTTTTTAAAAAAAATTCATCATTCCTATTATTCCTTTTTTCTGCCCTCAGATTATCCCGATTATGATGATGCAGTAAATAATTCGCCTCACAACTGTGTCTTGTTGTATGATCAATTGATTCAAAGAGTCCCCTCGCTAAATATCAAAAAAAAACCAAAATTCCACCATTGCACAGTGACAACTGACTTGGTTCCTTGTTATCAACACACAAAACTGACCCAATAGATTGCAATCCATTCTTCCACTTCTTATCAACAACGGCAACAGACAAATTTATGCAAAACAGAAAGCAATGGACAAAATTCTAGATTTTTCCTATCATCAACCAATCACCACCACAACAACAACAACAACAACTGCAACCACTACCATCATCACTTCACAAGACAATATTACTTTTTATCAATGTGGCATGTTCATCATGACCATTATTGTAGTACTAGCCTGGATATTTGGACTAGCAAAAATAATAACGAAAATGTTTAGGCTAAAAAAACTGTGTATGGATTGTCAGTTGGCTTCCGATCAAATTCAACCTTTTATAGTGAATGAAGAAACGTATCCAGCAGTTCAGAATTTACCAATGATCAGTGAAAGAACGATTGACACTGTTGTGGGAGAAAGAGCTGTCATTATTGGAGGCTCAATTTCTGGATTATTGACTGCCAGTTGTCTTGCTCCTTTTTTTAAAGAAGTTGTTATTGTAGAGAGGACAAAATATAATGAAGGAGAGTCAGTGGTCAAACATCGTCATGGCTACCTGCCACATATCTTGGTCAATAGAGGTCAGGTTATTTTGGAAAAGCTGTTTCCTGGTATTATTCAATATATTAGGAAGAAATCAATAGAATTGGACGGATACAGTACCAAAGAAGGAGAAATTGAGTTTGTCATTAAAAATTATATCGACTCTACTAGAGATTTGAAAATAATTTATGGAACTGGCCAAGAAAATGGACCAGCTCTTGCACAAGCTTCCACCAAGGAGTCATCTGTTGAAGATGTGACAATAGTATCGAGAGGAATGTGGGAAACATCAATTAGAGAGTTTATTCTGAAGGGAATGAAAAATTTACGAGTTATGGATGGCTATCAAGTTGTTTCGAATGGAAAGGGGATTACCTATTCTGTGGATAAGAATGGATCGAGTGCTGATATCAAGGTGAATGGTGTGATTGTTCAGCCGTCTAATGATGAAGACAACTCATCAGTACTCAATCAAAACAATAATTTTGAAACAATACCATGTGACTTGCTGGTAAATTGTGGAAGTTTCCAAACCTCAACAGAGTATTCGAAATTGTTAAGAGGATTAGAATGTGCAATGCTTGATCTTCCACTCCAGAAACAAGTAGAATCAATACCCACCAACCATCACCTCCTCTCCTCATCTAGGATTAACAACAAGGTCAGATATCATTGTTTTTACTTTGAACCAAAGCAGGAGGCCTTCGATTATTATAACAAACCACATGATTCACTACCATTTGTTTTGGGAAAGGATGGAAAGAAGAGAATTGTTCAATCTCCATTGACAGTGGCCAGGTCGTCCTATGATCCATCTCATAATGGATCTGAAACTGAATTTCTTGCCTTCTACTACCTTCTCATTTATCCCTTCACAAAAGGTGCTTTGTGCATTCCACTCGAGAAGAATCTATTCATGATTAACCTGATAACCATAGCAGATGAGGAAAAGAAGAATAATCAAGAATTTTGTGATGGATTGACATTGGAAAATGCTAAGGAACGAATCATTAACATTTATGCCAAAGGAACTCCATTCGAGAAGGATCTTATCCATCTTTTAGGCCAAATGAAAGATGTACCTCTTTCAATACCACCAATTTTCGAAAAGGAAGGAAGTATTTTTGTACATTATGAGAAATTCATGAAGCACCACGTCGCACACTCGAACGGCAATGATAATACTAACCAAATTACAGAAACCAGGCTATCAGGGTTCATCTCATTGGGCGATTCTGTTGCATCTCTCAACCCTGTCTATGCCCAGGGTCTTACAATGGCCTTAGAATCAGTTCTAATTCTCAGGGAACAATTGAAGGAACGATACCATTCTCTCAGGAAATCAAAAGTATCGAATTTTTTCGACAATGAATTTTGTCTGAACTTCCAAAATTCGCTCTATTTCATGTATACCATTCCTTGGATCATGTCTTCATCAGATGATATTAGATACACAGACATTCAACTCAATAGTAATTCTTCTAGAAATCAACGAGGATATTCAAAATTATTCAAATGGCAAAAGAAAATCATTGCCCCAATATTACATTTCATTTTGAATAACGTTTTTGAAAGTGGAAAAGAAACAAAACTCGTGGCTAGATACTTCTTCTCCATTCTCAACATGCATGATGGTTATCGTTACTCACTTATTAATCTCAATATTTTACTGTACCATGTATTGAGGAGGTATATAATTAGGTTCTCAATGATATTTTTTATCTTATTTCTTACTGTAATGTTTTGGATCAACAATAAATAACTATAGTTTATAATTAATTGATATCAAAGAATAATCAAAATTATTTAAGGTGTCTGCAAGCTGAAACAATTTCCAAATCGGTTTGCAATGATTCATCTGCAAATTCTAATGCATTTCCATTTTCTTTTACCGCCAGTAATACTATTTCTCTATCTTTTTTAAAAGATTCGTTTACATATTCCAATACGAATCCGTTGACTGAAACAGCAAACATTACAATATCTCTATCGTTTTTCATTGATTCCGGTAGAGCCAACTCGAACATCCACACGATATCCTTGTTTAAAAGAGCCTTCTTTACAATGTCTCTATCTGTAATGAAGGATTTGTCCAGAAAGTGAAACACCCATCCACATAACTCAACTGCCTGAAGAATAAAGTCTCTATCACACTTTAATGACTCGTCTGCATATTCAAATGCTTTTTCATTTTCGTTGATGGCAGTTAAAACAATTTCTCTGTCCTTCTTTAACGTTTCGTCTGCAAATTCAAGTGCAAGACCATTTTTCTGAACTGCTTTCATTACAATTTCTCTATCTCTTTTGAAAATATCATCAGAAAATTCCAAAGATAGTCCGTTTTGTTCGACTGCAAGAAGAACAATATGTCTGTCCTTCTTATTGGCACTGATAGGAGTATTCACAAGCGTGAAAGGTTTTTCACAATAATTGGTATCCTTAAACTTTGTTGAAACTTTCAAATTCCTTCTTGAATTTTCAGCCAACTCTTTGATTTCTTCATCGTTCCTCAATGATTCATCAACATGGTAAATGGCTTTTCCATCTTGACAGATAGCAATTTTTACAATTTCTCTATCTTTCCTTAATAATGGAGCAGCATATCTCAAGGCGTCTCCACTTTGCTGAACTGCTTTCATCACAATTTCTCTATCTTCATTAAATTTGAATGCACTATCTACACTACCTAGTGCATAACCATTTTGTTGAACGGCGAGGAGAACCAACTCTCTATCAATCAGCTCCTTACTAACGAATCCCAAAGCAATACCATGTTTCTTAATTGCATTCACCATAAATTCTCTGTCACTTTTGAAAGAATCATCAATATATTCGAAGGCATTAGTATCCCTATTAGTAGCAGCCAATACAATTTCTCTATCTTTCTTCAATGATTCATCTAATAACTTGAAAAAAGCACCATGCTCTCTAACAGCAATCAAAGAAATTTCTCTATCTCGCATCCAAGCATCATCCAAATATTGAAAAGACGACGTTTTTTGTGAAACAGCTTGTAGAATAAACTCTCTATCACTTTTCAATGATTCGTCCACATGTAAAATACCCTTTTCATTCAATTTAACAGCTCTCAAAACTATTTCTCTATCTGAATTGAAAGGGCCATTTTTCAAATAGCCAATGGCATTATCATATGTGGCACTGTATTTGAGGCTTTGAACAGTTACATCTCTATTTGATTTGTCTAATAATTCATAACTAACGCCTGATACAGCAGCCAATAGTTGAATATTATAATTCTTGGAGAAGGAATGATCTAGAAACTCAAATTGATTCGCTAATGAAACCAATCCTTGTAAAATATTGGATGCATGTGGAAATATTGTTGTTAGTATTTGAGAACATGATGGCCTTTGATTTGGATCTATATTTAACATTTCTTTGAGAATTAGAAAGAATTTTTTCCATCCGTTTAAATCCTCTTCCAAATCTCCCATTTCTATTAACTTTCGAATGGTGGAATTTTCGTAAATGGACATTTCTTGAATCGTGTCTGTTATTTCATCCAAATAATCAGATTCCATTTCAGAAGAATTCAAACTATTTTTCGGGAATAGCAATAAAAGAAATGATCGTCCCAAACTCCAAATATCTCCTTCTAGACAAGAGTAATTTTCTGGTGGAAAGTATCCTGTCGTTCCTCGTTGGCACTCATTAAATTCTTCGTCTTCATCTAATTCTTCATTCGTCTTGTGTATTGAAGCAGCTCCAAAATCGCCCAAAACAACCGAAAGAGCAGGAAGGGAATAATCACTCACAGCAATCTCTGTAATGAAAATATTAGCTGGTTTGATATCGTGGTGGATTATTTGCTTGTCATGAATCAATTTTAAAGCATTAACAAGTCGAATCAGTATCTGTAACACTTCACATAACATTAATTTCCTTTCGGAATGACGATATTCTGCTAATGTAATTCCTCTATATTTTGAAACTAATATAAAGACTTGATCATCCAAAGGCACTGAACATTCAAAAGTCAATACACTTGAATCCAAAAGATTTCCAATCGTTTCTCCCAATTCAATTTCTCCCATATGATAATCGTACGAATCAAAATCATCTCCTTCTTCTATTCCATCATCCTCATAACATCTTTTACGTTCCTTTTTGATAAATTTTACAACATATTCTTCATCATCTTGTATTCCAACACATTTAAACACTCTACAGTGATAAGAAGCTTTCAAAATTTCAACTCCTTTTAATTGTAAATCATTGATCGTAAATTTACATTGTTCCGCAATATTCCAGGTGATTTTATTAAACAATTCCTTTCCCGAAATCACTTCACCTTCAAATCTAATTAGATTGTCTTGAATATTTTGTATCCTCATATTCTTTATAATGATGAAATTACTATTAAAAATTAAGGTCTGGCCAGCGAAGAGAGGTTGCGCTTCAGTTTCATATTTTTGGATTTTTTTTAAATTGATTTATTAAAAAATTACTAAAAACTGAAAACAAATCAAAGAAAACTCAAATAATTAATAAAAATTGAATCACTTTGGGAATTGTATGTGACGACTACAGTAGCTAGATTGAAAATGATTGGTTAGGAAGATGTATCTTTACAATAACAATATTGGTCAAATGTTTCATTCCGAAATGTTCTCTTTCCTTTTATATTGAAACCAATTCCCAAAGTGACAATTGTCCTCCCGTCAATATTGAACTGTTAACTGAAATAATTAATATTGTGAATTGTTTTTAACAAACACTTGCAAACGTTTATTGTAAAACTGTAATTCCGTATCGTAAGATATTCACCGTATATTTCAATACATTACAGTTAATCTTAAAAGAGAATATATACCAAATCAAATTGAAAATAAAAAATCAATATATTATATTAATAAATTGATTGGTATGTTAAACAGTTTTGTGCAATAATATCAACAAATAATTGTAGTTGGGTAAATAGATGGTGTTGTCTCCTCAATGGAATTCAATGGAACACACCCTGAACTTTCCGATTTTATTGAATTTCAACCTCCAGCTTGAAAAAACCCTCTCGGAAATATCCATGGAAATATTTTACAATGAATTGTCAACCACCTCTACACACGAATCAAAATTTTCCATTACCTCATCATCTCTCTGCATCAAAATTTCATACCACTAGCTACCAGTAGAAGTAACATCTTCTGACACCAATCCATGTTTCACGCTCACTTGATTCCCTCAGGTGGGTAATTGCCTCTTTCACTTTCTAGTCAATGGCTCAACACAACGGCGCTGATATTGGCAACAGCAATGACACAGAAAAGATAGAAAACCTCTCCATACCGAATTTGCATCTTCATAAAGTAGCGCTGCATTGTTTTTGCGTGTTCTCTCTCAAACACAGAGAAAATCAACAATTTGCTAGCCTAAAAAAAACAACTCATTCACTCTTCGCGCGCGTCGTTGAATTTTTTTTGATAACACAACAGCAGGTGAGTAGTAAAGGGTTTTACTTTGAGGGGACCAATAATTTGTGACGAATCGTTTTGTTAATGTTTTTGATGATTTTACTCTCTCTTTCTAATGGTTATTATTTCAATGTTGGTGAATCATTTACTCTTTGATCTGTATATTTTGTGTGTGTTAATTATCATCTCTGATCATTATCCGGATGACATTTTGATGAAATAGAATGCCAGTCCTCGAAGAAGTACAACAATATGCTCAACAAAATATATATGAGCTTCAATCACGTCTGCAAGGAACTCTCCAAACTGACGTTTCAATTGTAGTTGATTGGGCAACTTTTGAACAACACATTCAACAAGATTTCTTACCATTATCCTATGAAGTTTTGTGTTCTTGGAATGGTTTCCTTGTTCTTGGTAAAATTGTCGATTCTATTCAATCAATGGTTGATGAATTCGGTGGTAATGCTCGTTCTGAAATTGCCAGACAATTAGCTCAAGTCAGACTTCAATGTATTGCCAATCCTCCTCCACCAAAACCAGTAGGAAAGGAATTAACAACACAAGAAAAACACAAACAAAAACTTGAAGAAGCAGAAAATCCAACTAAACCAACAATATATTTGAGAGATGGTGCTTTGAACGTTTTAGTTCAATTGGGTATTGGTGCTACAGGTGTCCCAAGTTTCTCCTATGTCAAGGAAACTTTGAATGCCTTGTTCAGTGTCAGTGTTGCTTATTATAAAGGAGTTTTGGAAGCTAGAATTGCCAAGACTAAAGAAGAAATCAAGACTGAAGTTGGTGACGCAACCTTTGATGTAGATATCGTTTTTGATTGGGAAAGTTTCCAAAATGCTGGTCATATGGATCAAGCATTGAATAATATGGGTAAGTGTGTTACACGATCATTAGTTTGTTAAAATTAATAATTATTTTCCCCTTGATGATGACAATTTGACATTTGCCATTTCTTGTGTGTGAAATTGAACCATCACACAATAATTATTTTAACAATGATCACCATTGTTACTCCATCATCACACTCAATGGTAAAATTAATTGATGAACAACAGGTCGTTGGGATTGTTGGTATTCATTGCAAGTATTGCCACGTGCTTTCCGTTGGGTCAAGTCTGATTTTAATGTCTCTCAAGATAGATTGAAACAATCTGTCAAGAGGGTTCTCTTTACCAATGCCGAAGATGATGGTGTTGAAAAGAGATATTGGCACTCATATGCCTTGTTGACCAATGGAACTTTGGAATTGAGAGGTGTTTATAGAGAATGGTGGGGATACATTTACAGTTATGATATTACACGTGCAGTTGGTTATGGTTGTGCTTTAGATGAAGCTGATGAAGCTTTTGAAGCTAATGCATCATTGGATAGTGATACTTTGGATAGATGTGTTCGTGCTGTTCGTGAAATTTGTTCTCACAATGCCATTAGATACGGTAACTTGAAACCAATCCTTGACTTGTCAAAGAGAAAATGCTTCCCAGTTTTGGATGAAGCTGATACTGAAGCAGTTGATATTTGTTTGAACACCTATTACAAGGAAGTCATGTGTAAGAAGAAGGGTGGAAAGAAGGATGACAAGAAAGACGATAAAAAGAAGGACGATAAGAAGGAAGATGATGATGATGGAGACGAACCAGTTCATGAAGAAGATGAAGAAAATCAAGAGGAACAACAAGAATTTAAGGAAGGTGACAAGTTCCCAGAAACTGTCTTGAAGGGATACAATATTAACAAGACAAACTTTAGAGGTCAAGTCCAAGCTCGTCTTGCTGTTATTACTAACAAGGCTCTCTATACATTCGCCTATGATTACAAGAAGAAGGAACTCACAAAGAGAAGAGCTCACCGTTATACATTTGACAAACTCTATTCCACAAGATATGGTCCACTTAAAGAAGATTTGGGCGGTGTTGTTGGTGGAGGTGTTGCTGGTGCAGTTGCTAATGCTGCTGCTGATGCTATGAAGGATTTGTCCAATTATGGTTTGAAGATTTATACTAACATTATCACATCTAGAAAGGAAATTTTCACTGAAAAGGCCATCTCAAAGGCTGTCAAGAAGTTTGTTTTCAAGGTTTTGAAATTCCTCGTTGATGGTCCACTTAAAGAAGCTGTTGGATCTGAAAAGGAACCAACTGTTGAAATTCCAGGCTTACCAAAGTTCAACTCTCCTGCATTCTTATTGAGAGTTGCTTCCACAAGTTTATATAAGGATAGAGTTGAAGCTGTTGCTAGTGTTGGTGGTCTCCAAGAAGCTAATGTTGCTCACCAATTGGAAATGGCTGCTGAAATGTTCGATACTTTATCCGAAACTATTGAACTCGATTTACCAAACTTGCCAAATATGAAGTTGATTACCTTGCTCAGTCAAATTTGTGAAATTTTGGAACAAAATGTTGACAATATGGATTTGAACATTCCAAGTTCCTTCACTATCAGTTCTCTCATTAGAAATATTAACTATGCCGTCTATTCATTGGAAAGAGCTGGTACTAACCCAACACTCTCCTTTGATCAACCAAAGCCACTCCCATATTCTGAAATGTGTGGTTTGCTCAAGGGTGCTTTGGAAGCATATAAGAATAAGGCTGATTTTGATAATACTGCTGTCAAGATGCTCGGTAATGGTCAATCCTTCCCTAAGATTGATGAATTGGTTGAAAACTTGACTCAAATTGGAGGTATGCCAGATATTCAATTCGACCCATATCCACCAGTTCTTGTCAGTGCTATTTTGAAAGCCATTGCTGGTTATTTGGGCAAGTACAATTTGCCAGGTTTCAACTTGTTGTCATTGAACATTCCGGGATTGAGCATTCCAGGTTTACCAAGAATTAACTTACCTAGTGTTCCATTGCCAGGTATTCTTGGTAGATTGAAGCCTCCAAGTGAACCATCAAGAGAAGAATTCGTTGTTCAAATTAACAATCCTCACAAGGAATTGTCCAAGTTTTTGAGTGCTCAATTCTGTTACCTTATTTATGCTGCTTCTATGGCTGATCAATATCCATATTGGCCTTGGTCCCCTTATGAAACAAGTTATGTGGGTGTCCCAGTCTCTGTTATTTCAATGGTCTATAACAAGAGTGGTGGTAAGGGTAATAAGGAAAAGAAGTAAATTGTAAAATAAACATTCAATCTAATTTATTAAATCATTTCCACATAAATATTTATTTTTACTCAACAACATTCACAACGTGTTAACTGTGGTAAAGATTTGGTTCACTTTAAAGTTTATTGAAAAATGAAGATGATAATCATTAGAATGGCAAATGTTCTCAAACAAACAAATGATTGCATATTGTTTCCAGATGATTCACAATTTGTACAATTTCTCAATATGCCTCCATTATCATTACTGGAAATTACATTTTCAGATACAACACTCAACAAGTAACCTTGTGAATTGAAATTTCCATTCTCATCTACCACATAGGCATAAATAGGTTTAGTCCAATCCAAAACACCTTCAATCCATCTAGCAACAATTCTATTCGAATTCCACTCATCAATAGGAACAACTTCACTCAACTCAATCTGACCAAAAGTTGGCACATGAGCAAGAACCAATCTCTTTGCAGAATTTCCAATGAAAACACTATCCAGAGCTGTTGTCATATTCTTGTAATGATCACTTCCATTATCAAATCCAATCAATCTGACAAATATTGGTCTTCCTGCTTGTGCTGAATCTTTTGAACAAGTGACATTGAACATTGTTTTGCCGTTTAATGTGGCAATAACTCTGTCATTCGCCAAGTCGGCATAGAATTCATGATGATTCCATGCATTGATTTTTCCATATTTAGTCCAAGAATTCCAATAAGTTCCATTGGCACATGTCAAATGCATGTGTGTCCATGAAATTCTTGTGCCATAGCCACTGTATTCATCCCAGATACGAATAAATTTGTTGGAATCACCTTCTGAAGATGGATCTTGATTATTTCTATACCACCAGGAAATATAGAGCTTGTCATAAATCAAACCTGTCTTGAATTTTGGTTGGAGAAGACAACTGTGTCCACCCTTCCCATAGTAAACAGTATCGTTCTTGCCACTTCTGTTAGGAACAGTTGTCAAGTTGGAAAATGCCATGGAATGAACTTCTCCCCATCTGACAAGTGGAATGGTATTTGACATTGGATAATCTTGTTTGAGTGTACTTGCTTCATCCCAAAATGCCATTGGATTAGTTGGTAATCCAAAGTTTGTTCCTTCAACAATAATTCTGTTGGTAAGAGTTTGAATTTGTCCAGATTTAATGTTTGGAACAGCTGACATGCACATGTCAATCATGATTACACTCCATAGTAGTAACATGCAATAACTGATAGCAATATTAGTACGAGATTTCATTTTTTTGAAATGTTTCAATTGACTGTTGGATTCGAATGATAATTTGTAGAGCTGGACTTTGTTTATGTTGGTTGATCAAGTTCTGTATCCTTCCGCTTCACCAAATATAAACTTGAGGACTCTGGAACATTACGTGAACACGGTATAATCAAAGCAACAAACTTAACTTTCCATTCTGTATCAACGAACAATTAAAAGATTAATCACTATTTAAGGTAATGTTTCTTTATCAATTAATTGTGGTATCAAACGTTCAATGATTTAATATTTTCTATGGGATTGTAAACAGTCATGATCAAAATCTACAAAGATTTATTCATCCTTATTCATTAAATGTTGATAAGTATTAATTAAATTGGCTTGAATGGCACAACCAATGGCAATACTATCCTCAACTGCATTATCATAAATCTTAGCTTGTGAGAATAAAGTTTGAATAGAATCTTTGAGTTTAGGAATTTGACAGGAACCACCCACTAAAACAACGTGTTCTATTGAGGAAAGAGAAATTCCTTGATCAGCCAATGATTCAACAGTTTGTTTGGCATGTTCAATAATACTAGCAAAAATTGACATGGCACTACTTTCATATCTGGCACGTGTAAGCTTGAATGAGAAATCCATACCATCATAGAGTGAATCGACGTCAACCATAGCTTGTTGATTCATTGAAAGAACATTCTTGGCATTTTCACATGAAAATCTGAGCTTGCTTAAAACCTTTCTATTCTTTCCAACTTCATCTTGGAACATTCTTTCATTCATACTTCTGAAATAGAGACGTTTAAATTCTTGTAAACACATTTGAATTAAAACTTGATCCAGTGATTCACCTCCCAATGGACGTTTAGATTCACTCTTAATCATTTGTAACATGCCATTTTCATTCACTCTAACAACTGAAATGTTTGTTTCCAAAGCACCAACATCAACAACACAAACAATCTTTTCCTTCTTTTCTTCCACTGTTGCTGGAGGTAAATCAAAACCATAACCAATCAATGCAGCCAAAGGTTCTTTCAAAACAGCCAAAACATTCATTCCAAGAGTTTCACATGCCTTCTTTATCACCTTTTCACTGTGTGGAGAATTTGATGGACAACTGACGACAACCTTCTTTACAGTCTTCCCCAAATAATGTTCAGCAATATTCTTCATCTTTCCCAACAAGATACTGACCATATGGTCTTGTGTGTATTCAGCTCCATTAAACGAAATTAATTCTTCTTCTTCTCCCTTCTTGATCTTTTCTTCGGATTCCAAAATAAATTCCTTCAAATCATAAACAACTTGATCTGCTGGAATTGAAGCTCCTGGAAGAGGTGGAAAACCAACAATAATTTCCTCTCGTGTTGTTTCATTATCACCTTCTCCTTCAACAATGGTATTAACTTTAATGACTGATGGAGTGTGATGAGCACCATCTTCGTTTTGAATAATAACAACGTGTGTATTTAAATTTTGAACAGGTTGAATCACTGTAGAAACATAGGATGGTTTTTTACTAGTCGATGACAAGGCTGATGTTGTATTTAAATTAGGAAAGCCTGATAATAAATGTTGCATATTAAAATAAGCTACGGTACAATTATGATTACCAAAATCAATACCAATAGCTCCATCAAAAACGTCTTCCGATAAATTATTAGTAGTAGATGATGATGAGGAGGAGGATTTTTGTTGTTGTGAGGATGATGCTGAGGAGGATGATTGTTTGGATTTCTTTTTGGTCATTTTTTTTTTCTTCAAGAATTATTTGAATTTGTTTTTCAATTTTTCAAAGTGAGAAGTAAGTATTATAATAATTAATATATTTATGAGAATAAATCATTTGTCTGTTTTAGTAATAAAATTAAATTATATAATGAAGTAATTTGCATAATAGTAATGGTTAAAAATTAAAATTGACTTTTCATGTTTGAAATACTGTGGAAATGTGAAGGCGAGTGTTGCAATACTTATTTCAAATATCAAACAATTTAAACAATTGACCCCATCATGAATAATAAACATTGAATTTAAACCCAATATCCATAACACACCACTATAAATGGTGCTTCCTCTTTTCGTCTCGATTTCTCTAGATTGATTTTGCCGCCAATTTTTTTACAACTTTATTGAAGTGAGAGAAGCGAAGGCACTTTTCCCTTGCATTCCTCGTTACGATAAAATTTTATAAATAAAGCAACAACAATAACAGCACTTTGATACAATAGCTAAGTGTTGTATACAGATCATACATAGTAAAAACAAAACAAACTATCGACTCCTTGTCTATCACAACGACAACAATTAAGGGTATAACTTGAAAAAAGACCATCTCGATAGGAGTCGTAATAATATATAAAAAAACCAAGTTTGAAAAAATGTTTTTTGGCGCTCGCAGACAAAAGCACTATCAATCCGGCTCGGAGGCAAATTCTTTGGATGCAGTCTCTAAGAAAATTGCAGAGGATGTTCGTAAGGAAATTAAGGACATGAAGCACCCTTCTTTGTTTTCGAAAGGTAAGATTTTGAATGATTTTGAGACTATATATATTTCTTTTAATTTGTTGTTGTATTGAATTTTAATTTGATGGTCAAATAATATACACTCTCGCATCAATAACACAATAATATATTTCAAATAACAATTTAATATAGAATGGGTTGTATCATGTGATTTAATAGAAAAGATTACCAAAGTAGTATTGATGGAAAGAGAGGATTTAAATTTTGAAGCCATCACTGCTAAATTGAATAAGGATGAATCTAAAAAGATTGAAGAAGATAAACACTCGGAAACCTCCTCTATTGCTGTTAACGATGAACAAGGAAATGACCACAGCAGCACTCAAGCAACCACTTCTTCAGGAGCTACCTCAGCCACCAATACAAGTTTAGATGATATTGATGAAGAACAGCCAGTACCAAAGACAACAACAGTAAGACCAGGTACTGCCTCTCTAATTAATAATCCTAGAAAGAAAAAGTCTAATATTCAATTTGGATCCAGTACATTACACGGCTCTACATTCTCAAACACACAGAAAAAGCCTCCAACTTCACCAAGCCGTCCATCCACCTCAGGATCATCAATAATTTCATCATCTACTCATTCTTCTGTAAATCACAAGCAACAAGCTATAACAACAAGTTTTTCTGGAGATCAGACTCTTTGGGATCGTGATGAATATTGCATTAGATTTATTGTTGAGGAAGGAAAATTGAATATGCTCCTCAGAATTCTGGACGAATTTAAGGATGAACAAGCAAAGATTACTGGAGGACAAAAGACAATGCAAGAAGTCTTGACAACTTCAGACATTAAGGATGAAACAGAGCTTACAAACAAAATGAACAAATTTGAAATGAACCTTGCAGTCTTGATGATGTATTCATTCCATTCCCTAGAATCACTTCAAACACTTGACATGTACCAAACTTTGGACTTGATTAATAAGAATATGAATACAAAGACATTTTTGGATAACAAGTTAAAGCTTGGTGATGATGTATACAAAACAACAGAGTACTTGGTTATTGATTATCTTCGTTCTCTCTTTGTCCATATTGAAAAGTTAGATGAATCCAAGATTTCAAACTTGACCATTGAAAGAAAATTACTTCCAAAACTCATTCAATTCCTCGAAAAGACCGTCTCTCACATGGGAGAACATGAAATTATTAGATGTTTTGAGACAATTTCTGCAATTGCTGCAGCCGAAACATTCCAAACTTCTAGGGAAAAATACTTTGGAAGTGATAAGGATGTTAAAATGGCTCTTGTAAAGATGTATGATACTCATGTCAAGAAGTTGTTGAATAATTATGACAGAAAGAAATCTTTGCGTTCACTTATCGATATAGTGAATCGTATTAAAATAGAATATGGATTGGATTAAAACACAATAAATGTAAAAAAAATTAAATTAATTTCTTGTTTGATTGAAAATGTCCAAATCCTTTAAACTATTATAAATTGCAAAAGAGTAAGGGAATTCCTTCTCCATATTGATATCACTTCTATTGATGGCTGCTTCAATTGACGGAACTAGGAATAAATCTGCCATTGATAATTTGTTATAATCTCTGACAAAGTATAGTGGCTGTTGAGTGGCTAATTGTGTTAATTCTGTAACAGAATGATCTTTGTAATCTTCTGAAATGAGCTCTTCAATCTGATTCATTCCCTTTCTTTGCCATTCACCAACCCATAATTTGTTGTCTTCTCCTCTGACCTCTTTAGGAATTTTCCTTAATAATCTAATATTTTGATACGGTTGAATACCAGAGTTTACAATTTCAGCCAACTGATTAGTCTTATATTTCAGATACAAATCATTCTTTGGAATAAGATAGTGATAATCCGGATGCAAAGTCTGTCCAATTATACTCCTTTCCTCCTCAACAATCAACTCTGCCATATTATCAAGAAATTCAATAATTGGCAACGATTGAGTCAATAATATTCTCAAGTTATTACTCGACTTGAATTCCAATGCAGGAACTTGCTTCATTGGATTCACTTGTCCATACTCATTCTTTTCATTCATCTTACTAAACAAATCAACATTCACAGTTTGATTTTTAATGTACTTTTCATAGTCGGAAACTCTCTTCTCAGTACTATCATGATCATTACTCTTCATTGTTGCATTATTCATCATCATTGTATTATTATTCTTACTACTTATTGATATTGATTGAGAATTTGTTGTTGTACAACAACATGAACAGGAAATAAATTTCGATATCAGAGGAAGATGATGATACAAGGCAGCTCTCACTCTCCATGAACAAGTAGATGGCGGAAAGGAATACAATGTTGTTTTTAATACATTGGGTTGATCCACAATTATTGATGAATCAGAGTTTGATATTAAATTTGATGAAGTTGATGAGGATGAAACATTGCAAGTCGGAATCATGGCTTGCACCAATTGCTTCCTGATCATATCTTTCAACAGATTGGAGGTGCTACTGATGGTGTTTCTCTGCATTGGCTTTATCGGCATTTTTTTTGTAATGATTATTCCAATTTGTCCACCAATATGTTTTTGAAACCATCCTTATTTGGACATTACAAAACAGAGTAAGGGAAAAAAATTGAATTGGGATTTATTTTTTGATGCATCTTTTATTGGTTGTTACATTTTGTAAACAGTTTCTGAATCAACTGTTGGGACATCATCAAAAATTAATTTGAAAGATTGATCCTCATTCAAGAGTTTCATCATGGTTTGATCTCGTTCTTGGATGGAGAGATAGTAGAATTTCAAATCCTCACGAATCTTGCTCTTCTTTTCCTGGAGAGTTTTGGCTTCGAGCATGACTTGATCTCGATCGAGATTGTAAATTTCAATTTCTTTCTGTAATTTGGTGAGTTGTTGTTTCTTCTTGTTCAAGTGTTGTTCCAATTGAGTGAGATAGGAAACTTTTAGGAGGCAGCCCTTTTCTAAGGATTGATGTTCTTCCAATTTGCATTTTGCAATCTTGTTGAGTGAAATTCTCTCCTTTCCAATAAGATAAATGTCTTGTTCGATTCCTTTCGAAATATTGCCTCTTGAGAGTCCTTCCAAACAATCACGAATACTCTTCATCCACGCCTTCTTCTCATTCAGATTTGAGGTCATGAATGAATATTCAGTCTTTACTCCCTTGAAAAGAGCTTCAATCACAAAGGAGAAATCTTCATGTTCAATTCTCTTGAAAATATTATCATCCCATTGTAAGCTACTTCGCTTGGAATTGTGATTGGAAAGGAGTGAATCTGGTGATTCGATAAAATTTCTTGATCTTCCATTTTGTGAAATTCTAACAAAATCTCTACAATCAACAAATTGTAAAAAGACAAAATGAACTTTTTCATCGGTCAGAATCATGGATTTGTTCTTTTCCATTTCAATGAGGACCAATACATCTGTGAAGAGGTAGACATCGAATTTGGCCTCTCTACATGTCATTAGACAACTGAGATTTGAATCTTGTGTAGAATTCAAAGAGGAGTGATTGCTTGAAGTGGCACCTCTTCTATTGTCCAATTGTTCCTCAATTCTGTGAATGGTAATCTTAATTTTCATGGATCCCTTCTTGATGAATTTTCTATTGGGTTGGACAAATTGTGGATATTGTTTCTGAACCATGTTTTGAACTTCAAATACAGTCTGGTTCTGTTCCACATTTCTCTTCTCATCATTGACAAAAGCTGCAATGGATTCAATTTCTTTGGCACATTTCTGCAAGATTTCATATTCGTGATGAGTTGGTGGCGTATTCTTGAGCATTTCTTGAATTAAAAGTTTATATCTCGGAATTCTTTTAAATGTTAAACAACAATCATTATTAAAAATTGAAAACAAACCTTTGAACTGGTAAAATGAGAAAACCACCCAATAGAGTTCCCTTTACCAACTTGTTCTTGTAACATTCAGTGAGATATTCCTTAAATCTCTTGTCTTTTTCTCTGAGCTTTTCAAACATTTCTTGTGCCTTATCAAAGTTGTTGATATAGATGGTGTAAGCTTTTAGGAAGGGAGAAATTTGAGAGAATGCCTTTCCAATATTCACAAATGGATAATTCGTATTATATTCATTCTCCCAATCATGGAGTAAGGTATTATTAATTTTGTAAATTTGTTCAATATTACTAAATAGAGTGTTGTAAACTTCCTTCTTCAAAATTCCCTTTCCATGACCAGAATCATTCACGATAGGATAATAGAAAATGTCAATGAAAGCTTTCAACAAATTCACATAGGTTCTCTCGGTATCTATTGTTTCCTTAATCAACTCGAGTCTCTTCTTTGCCTTTTTGAAACGAGTTTCAGTTTTCAAATAGTGTTGCATTGCTTTTCTTCTATGGAGATGCTTTAATTTTTCAGCAATAAATTGCATATGATCAGTGGCAGTTGCTTGATGGTGATTATGTCTTTTACTCCTCTTTTGTCTGGAGAATAAATTGAATGAGATGGATTCTCGTTTGGTTGTTTCTGTTTTGGTAATAACCTTCTTCTTGACATCATTCAACACATCAATTGGAAACGTTGGATTAATAACATTGGAAATTTTCGTCTTTTCAATCTTCTCAACCTTTTCAATCTTCTCCTCAGTAATTATTGAACTTGAAGTTTTAAAACTTTCATGTTTGATGATAAATCTTGGAGTTTTAGGAGTTTCTACACTAGAATTCTCATTCTTCTTTGATTTTCTAAAGAAGGATCCAATCTTGGATAAGAGTTCCTTCTTTTTCGACCTTCGTTCTCCTCCAATTGAAAGATCAGTACAATCAGTTCTATAACTTGCCACAGAGAGGTTATCACTCTGTTCAGTCATTACTTGGTTAAAGTCTTCGTCTTGAAAAATGTGAGTTTGCTTTGGTTCTGCATTGGCATGAATATTTTTGGAAATGACGAAACTTGTGGTCAATTCCAAGTTATTATTCTTACTCGAATCTGTAAATGATTGAGAAGTAGAAGTTGGTTCTATGGAGGAGGTTGCTTCTGGCGAATCTTCAATTTCTGTCAGGTAAGCAGTTGGAATCATTCCATAGGGCGAATCTGTTGGAAAGGTTCCGGTTGATCGACTTTTCAAATAACACCAGCTCCAACCGTCTTTGTATCGTTTCACCACCTCTACAACATCACCTGCCTTGACACTCATTTCCTGCTTATCTTTCGCATCAAAGTCATAAATGACTTTACAAAGAATGTTTCGACTCTGAATGATATTGGAGGGGTTCATTCGTCTATTTTTTATGCTCTTCTATCGAGAATCATCAAGATCATATATTTGTTTTAATCCTATAATCTAAATGTAATGAAAGTTGAATAAATATTTGCTTCCTTTTACGTTACGTTTCCAAGAATGGAAATACTTTTTACAATTCCCTCCAATTCGCAACCAATATCAATCACCAATTAGATTTAGAACAATTTTTGTTCCTTATCTTCCCAATTATTATGGCATCAAAATTGAACTTTTCATAAAACCAATATTTGTATTGTTTTCAACTGATGCTCTTCGGCCATGATTTTTTACAATAATGTACTATTCGAATCACGTTTAGGTTCTTGTACTGCTCGTCTTCAAGTACTTGGTATTAATCAAAGCATAGCAATTGTCCAGTAACATCTGGTAAATACAGAATTCCTGTTTTCCTATCTATCATAATACCATAATATTGAGGCATATTTGAGGGAAATTCGTGACGGAATACTCTTGTCAGAGTGTGCATATCAAACACTGTGATTGACTTTCCTACAGTATCAGTAACGTAAATTCTTTGGGTTGGCACTTCATAAAACACTCCGTATGGCGTGGAATCACTCTCAATTCGTAAACAATTTTTTTTCAGATTCCACTGTTCCTTCTTCTCATCAAATGTGTAAATTTCAACAGGACTAGCATGTGGGTGAGCTGATGTGATAATCATTTCATTTTCAGGAGTAAAAGCTACACCGTATCCATTAGCAACTGTTGGTACTTTGTGATGAACTCTCTGACCAGTTCTGGAATCAAAAACCATTAATCCACTTCCATAATCCATCACATAAACAAATGTTTCGTCTTGACATTCAAATAATCCGATTCCCCACAAATTCTGTAACAAATTCTCAGCACAAACCCACAAACAACTTCCCTCCTCACCATTCAAGAGCTTTACTAGATCATATTTTGCAACTCTGTAAGCATAATTAGTTTCCCACAACCCAGTCAAGTACAAATTCAACCCATTTTTGTCAATCTCCATTTCATGCACTTCAACATCAAGCTTGATTGACTTTACATGTTTCTTTGTGGTATAATCAAAAACATGAATACTATTCATTCCGCCCATAATAATATAATTATGTTCATATGAAATTACAACATCATAGCAAGATTCCCCTCTTTCATCATCTATGTTTTTAACGATGATGGGTGGAAGGCTATTCATTCGGAGAGAGAATGGAACACTTGATGAGGATCGGAATTTAGTTTTCAACCAAGAATCTAACAGAGAAAAATCATTATTCTCTTTCATGATAAAATCTTGCAAATTTACTACTACTTGAGAGAGGGAAGAAGAATCATCTTGAGACATTTTTTTTAATTTTTATTCGAATTTCCGAAAGTTCCTTATTTTAGAATCCATTCAACGTAATTCTCAATTTTCATTAGGAGAGGATGTTACCGAAGTGTAATCTTTCTCAAGAAATGTATATGATGAGCGAAAATGAAGAAAAACTTTGTTTAATTGATTTCAAGATGTGGATCCTTTATTTGCTATTTGTTCAAAGTTTAATTACATTGGAATCTCCATTGTAACATTTCAACAATGTTCCGTAATCTCTTAAACAATGATTTTCAACAATTACAAGATCAACAAACCAAAAGAGATTTCAAACAAAATTCTCCTACTCAATTGAAACTTCAAACATACCGTATAGTGTGCTAAGGAAAATTAAGCGCCGCAGAAACTAATTGGAATGGGAGAAAAGTAACGAACCATCATTATTTATTTCTCCACATTCCCAACACTAACAAACTCCTTGTTACAGGAGCTCCTTTTTCCAACACACTTCACAAAAAAAAAATGTTAAATACAGATCGAGTCTTCACCTCGCTCAGATCGATCAATCTTGTATTGATTGGTGCTGTACTCCTGATCATGTTGATGATGATGAATGCATCGACATGTCTCGGTATTTCTGCTGGCAAAGGAAAGCTCAATTCCAAATTGTGGAAAATCACAAAATTGGCCGCCACCACCACCAACGCAACAACAGCATGGCCACAAATTGGTTTCGATTCCATGCATACGAGACGTGTTCCTTACTTGGTGGATCATTCTGATTTTGCCACCAATCTTTCCGTTCCATTCCTTCATGATAATTCCTACTCTTACAATTCGGTTATCTTTCACACTGGTTTACAGAAATTGATCATGCCAGTGGGACAAGTTTATTCCAAACCAAATGTACAAATCATTTACTTGGTTGGATTTTATTTGATTGATGTAAAAAGTGGAAAGGCAGAAAAAACACCTTTCCAATTAGAACAGAGATACTCAATGGAGAATAATTTACTTCTCGATTCCAAGGGAATGCTCTATGTTCCAGTGTATGATAATTTGAATCGTTCTGGCACTAGTTTACTCAAAATTAACACCAATGATTGGACCTCATTTTCCATTACTCCTTTAACACCTTCCTATCAACAAGTTAGTTCCATAATTTCAGAGGAGAATAATTGTCTTGTTTTCTTGGCATCCAAATGGTTGAGTTGCATTGATTTGGATAATCCAAAAAATGTCAAATGGAATATCACAACTCCTGAGGAACCATATGGAGCTAGTCAAATGTTGATGGCCAGGGAGAAGGATCAAGATTTTATTTACGTGTCATTGATGCATTACATTATGAAGATTTCAGTTTCTTCTGGAAAAGTCATTAATTCTGTTAGTATTGGAACATATTTCCTTTCCTCAATTAATCATATGGGAGTGGATGGATTTTTATCATTTTCATTTTCTAATCCAACTCATTTTGGTGTCATGCACGTTGATTCTGGAAATTACAACTCTGTTCCACATTTTGGAATTGTTGGGGTGGGATTTATGGTTTCTCTCACTTATTTAGATCATTCCTTATTGTCCTCCTACGTTTTCAAAACAGTTGTCTTTTCAAGTGAGGCCAGAACCACCAGTAGAGCTATTCACATTTACACAACTCTAGTTCATGTGAGTAGTGACACAAGTGTCAAAATCTCCAAACCATTTGCCTTCTTTGGAACTGATTTGAATACCAGTTACGAAGTCCCAAGAGCAAGCATTGCAAAGGACAACTCAAAACTTGTCTATTACACCAATGGAAGCTACAGTGTTTTTGATATTAGTAAAGGAAAGGTCGAGAAGGTTGTGCCATCAAAGTGGAACTTTGGATATGCCAATATTATCACTGCTGATAATGGCAGAGTTTATAGCATGGTTGAAAATGCAAATCTTGGCCTAGAATCGTATAAATTACAATAAATTCAAGAAGAATTAAGCATCTTAAAGATTAAGGAAAGTTTTAATTTTCGAATCCAATCGAATCATCCTTTGCCCGATGAATTACCCAGAAATGCAGAAAATGACATGCATGGGGTGTGCACTTTATCGGTGAATATTGAAATCAACTCGGACTATTTAATATTAAAAATCCCGCCATTACATTCAATCAATTGATAAAATCAAAAAAAAATGAAACAAGATGAAACCCTCACGGATGGTGAAGATAAAAATCAAATAGCTGAAGAAGAAGTATTAAATCATCATCATCATCATGAAGAAGAGAAGAATTGAATCATCACGAAGAAAAATTAATTTCCAATCATCATGATTATTCGGAAGACGATTTGGATCATCATGAAATAATTGCTCCTATTGTTGAAGGGAATAATTCGAAAAGACAATTCTTGTACATGTTGTGGGATGTTGCTTATAACATGTCGATTGTGGGAGGAACATCGTTTAGAGGAGGGGTTGTTCAGTTAATGGCAAGATTTTGTGATAAAGCTAAATGGTTGACTGAGAATGAGTTTATGGAAGTTTACATGATGAGTCACATTGTTCCTGGTCCTAAGCCAAGTCAAATTGCCATGGCACTTGGTAAGTTTGAATGTTAAATGTGTGTAAATAAGATTGAAAATTGTGTGGAAAATTATGATAATTGATTGTGAAAAATAGCAATGCCAAAATATGGATTTAGTGGAGGAATATTATCATACCTATTCTTTTCTATACCTGGATTTATTGTTTGCTTGGTTTTGGGTCTATCAATGTATGATTATGATAGCTCAACTGCTCCTCAATGGTTTATTCATGCCCAGAAAGGATTGGCATGTTCTGGCATTGCATTTGCTTTGCAATCCATGTCCAGATTCTCAAGTATGTTAGATAATGAAAAGAAAAAGAAAGGGCAACCCAAGAAGGAGAAGAAACCTGAAATGTTTCCCTATATTTTATTGACCATTGTTGCTATGGTAACCTTACTCTATAGAAAGACATGGCTCTTGCCTGTACTTTTAGTAATTGGAGCTATTTTATCGATACTTTATTGTGAAGTGAGAGATCGATCAAAGAAGAGAATTGAGGAATTTGGATTATTTGAGAAAATTGGAGCTAAAAGTTATGGAGATTTGAAGTTTAGACAAAAACTCACATTTTTCAAACTATTCTTCCAATCATTTATTCCAAAATATGCAAGGCAAATGAGAGAAATTGAATTATTAGAAGAGAGGAAAGAAGAGGAACCTGCTGAAATTGATGCGAATCCATTCGCCAAAATGGCCTCAATCAAACTTGGCGTATTCTTGTTCATTCTCTTTTTTATCCTTCTTGGTTGTCTTATTGGAGCAGCTCTGATTGTGGAATCAACCTCTCCAACTGTTAAACTCTCGAATCAAGTAGAAAAGAGAAAGATTAATTTATGGACAGAGTGGATTATCATGTCATCATTCTTTTTCAAGTCAGGTTCATTGATTTTTAATGGAGCTGTTGTCAATGTGGTCATCATTCGAGATGAAATGATTGAAAGAGGTTGGATAACACCTGAACAATTTATTAATGGCTACTCTCTCACAAATGCAGCTCCTGGACCTCGATTCAATTTGGGTTTTTATTTTGGTTCAGTTGTTGCTGGTAATCTTTTAAATTCTAACTATACCAGTTCACTCTACAAGGATGTTACCAACTCTACAATTAGTTTTGATGAAATTTCTAACAATAATTTTATTGGATTTTCAAATAATGAGACTCTCAATAGCTCAGTAGAAGAATCATCCGTTTCACCATTTACCAAATTCATTATTGTCATTATCTATAGTATGATTGCTGGTATTTCATTCCATGCTCCAGGTTTTCTACTCATTTTGGGAATAGTGCCACTGTGGGGATCTTTAAGAAGTAAGCCAATCGTACAAAAAGCTATGAATGGAATTAATGCTGTTTGTGTTGGCTATTTAATTAACAATATTGTAATTTTGTGGATTTCTGTTGTTGGACTCAGTGTTCCTCTAGCTGCTGTTTCAATATTAGGATTTGCATTGGTAAATTGGATTGATTTCTGGCATCCATTGGTTGTATTTGTGGGAGCTATTGCAGCTGTCCTTATTGGATTAATTGTTCCAATTTAATCTAACTACCATCTCTGAATATCAAATACACAATTAAATATTTATTTAATAATAATTGAATTACTTTACAATAATTTGTAAGAAAATCCCAAAATTCCAGCAGTTGTCAAGAAACCCAAGATCCAAGAAATTGATCTATGAGGTTGTTTACCATTCCAATAAGCATAGACATACACGAATCTAGCAATGGAATAGGAATACATTAAACTATTCGCAATCCATTGAGTTTTCTCATCAGATGCATCCTGAACCAAGCACAACAAGACCATCACACCAGCAGCACTCACAAATGGCAAACTATTTTCAATATCATTTCTGTGAATTCTCAAAGTTCTATTCACTAAACTGTTCGGATTATTAATTTGATCAATTTGCTCCTTACTCAATTGAGCTTGTCTTTCACCACCCATAATCACTCCTAAATCTTCAACTGTGGCTGGAGTTTTCTCACGTCTTTTGGCTATTGCTGACAATCTTCCAATCAAAAACAAACGAAGATTCAACAAGCCAACGTTTACCAAAAAGTGTGAAAGAACTGGAGTGTTGTGAAAGTGGTTTGATAAAGGCATTTTTTTTGAAATTTTAATTCTTCGAATTGAAATAAGATTGCAAATTCGTTTTCAGCAAAACTAAGATGCAGACGAACCTATCTCAAAAATTGTGCCATGTTAGTGGGAGAGCTAACAATTCAAAAGACCTTTAAATATAAAAGGAACGACCTGGAGGAATGATTCCATCACAGCAATCTTCGCCAGGTTTCCACTCAGCTATGAAAGCTGTAAACTGTTTTAAATAAAGTGTTTGCCGAATCGATCACTAGAAACATTCCCAAGTATTTCATATCTCTTTCAACAATCATAAATTGTTAAAATTAGACAGTATTGGCTAACTTTTGGTTTTCATTAATATTTGATTTATCTATTTTTACAATGATCAATATTCAATATTAATATTGAGTTACACCAAGTTCCAATTTTTTTGTAAAACAATTCCTCATCAAACACGAATTCTTCCTTTTCCTTACTAAAAGAAAATTAATAAAAATTAATATAAAAATTATTTAGTCCATCAATCATCTAAATCCACATCTGCAGCGATCTGATTCTTTTTCATCTTCTTCTTTGATATAGGTAAACTGGCTTGCAAACTTTCCTTCTTGATCCTCAACCTCATCAATTGCAAAACTCCAACCAACAATGAAAAGCAAATCGAGAGAATTTGCATCAAACTCACTCCGAGCAAATCTCGGATCGAATACAAAATCAAGGCAATCAGCACGATTGAAAATGTGGCAATCAATCCCTTCTGTTGAATTGGATCCATTTTTTTTGCAAATTTGAAAAGTGGAGATTCTTAGAGAGAAGAAATTTCCTTTTTTATTAACATGTTGATTAGTTTTTTGAGAAGGAACATTAAGAAATGGAAAGATGACAGTACTCATTTGTTGAAAGTGAAAAAAAATTCATTGTAAAGTCAATGAAAATTGTTGAATATTACCAAATTTTTCGAATCAAATTCTATTCTTTATTAACCAAGCTTGAAAATTTGGCGGCAAAATCAATAAAAAAAAATGCCACGACAAAAGAAGATCAAATTCGCACAAGGTTTCAAACACGCCACTCCAGAGGAGATTCGTGAAGCAATTGGCGATTGTCACAATGAGAGACACTATCACTTTGAAATGAAAAGGCCTTCCGATGATGAAACTAATTTTTATTGTCCAGTTCCGGATCCTACAAGTATTGATGATTGGTTGGCACAATATGTGGAGGATCGCGATACGTTTGATGAGTGGAATGGGCTGAGGAAGAAAATTGCTGGAAAGAATTTTCATTTGAAGAAGAATATTGGCCTGTTGTGGATTGAGAAGGATGGAGATTCGAATGATAGGAGAAAGTATTTGACACATTTGAAGAGATTTGTTGAGGCTTTTTATTATGGAATTAATGTAACGATATTGGATAGTGTACATATAAAGAAGGATAAACATGGTCATTTTGTGGAATCTGAGGATATCATTTATAGAATCAAATCGAGAAGATGTCACGAATATGATGAAGATAAAGCTGGAGAGGATGAAATTCAATTCAGAGCAGCTGATGTCATTGTACCATTGAATAAGCTCAGAAAACATTTACAGGATGAGGTATCATGTGTTTGTGGTGTGACAATGGATGATTTGTATATTGGAGCAAAGGATAGTTTCACTTGTGGCCTAGCTCAGGGAGGTGACTCTATTGGAGTATTTTCAATGTGTAGATATGATCCATTATTTAGAAAATCAGCTCCAAAGAAGAGAAATAAGAAAATTACAGTCTCTTGGGAAGAGGATGGAATTATCAATGAGGATACTCTCACAGAGAATGATCTTGTTATTTTGGAGAGATGTTGTAAGATTGTAGTTCATGAAATTGCTCATATGGTTCAAGTTGGGCATTGTGTCTGTAAGTTGAATTGTTACATGTTGATTTAATTAATAATTTTAATAATTGATTTTCTTTTGCGTTTTTATTTCATGCCATTACCACTACAAAACTATTGACTATAATATTGTGGAAATTATTTGAATTAATATTTAAATTCAATTTTACTTTTATTTCACAGTTTTTGATTGTATCATGAACGGATCTGGTCATTTGGAAGAAGATTTTAGACAATCTATTCATTTGTGTCCTGTAGATTTGAGAAAATTCCAATACTTGATAGGATTCGACATTGCACAAAGATATAGAGCACTTTTAAACTTCTACGAGTCCTATCACATGAAGGAAGCAGCTAGCTGGACCCAAGACATGATTCAATATATCACAAAGAGATCTCACAATGACGAGAGTGAAATTATCAATCTCGATGATGAGGAGGACCAAGTAGAGGACGAGGAAAGCGACCACACTGATGACATTCTCAACGAAGACATTATTTCTTCACCCAATAAAAAACGAAAATAATTCACACACAATATTCCAAAACAATTTCAATTCACAATATGTACTCATACATCCAATTAATTCACAATTAATTCATCATCCCATCATGCAAAACACAAAAAAACTGGTAGGACAATTTTCCATCCAATCACCACACTTCGAAATATTAAATAATTTCATTACAAAAACACAAAAAAAAATGACTTCGAGAAAGAGAAGAGCTTCCACGAAAAGGAATAAACCAGATTCACCTTCTTCCTCGCCAACTCCTTCATCGAGTGAAGAAAATAATTCACCAAAATTGAAACAATCCACCTCCTCAGCCTCATCCTCATCCTCTTCAAAGAAATCCACTCGAGCTAATTTAGCAGTAGCAGCAGATCAGAAATATAATGATGAGGATATGAGAAATTCAATTCCATTCATTACACCCCAACACATTAAGAAGGAAATGGGAATGATGAAACTGAATGGGCATGTTAATGATTTGGATAATTGTTTTTCTGAAAATTCAATTCTTTTCGGAAAGGAAATTAATTCCTCAAGGAAACGTTCAATTGTCTCGATTGTGCACCAACAAGATGAAAATTTCAAAAAATCACATTTGAAACAATCCAATAATTCAACGAGTTGTGTATTAATAGGTGCCAAGAAGAGAAAACAAACGAGACCAGTTCAAGCTCCTGTTCCTTCCTTTCAATAATAATATTGGAAAAAGAATTTGAAATTTTCATATAATTGAGTTTATTCAATTCCAGATAGAGAATATCTGAATCTGGAATGCTAGAGAGTAATGATGATTTTATGTAAATATGTGTAAAATATTAAACGAATATTATTTAAATTTAATAATAATTTAACATGATGAAAAGAAGAATGGAATTTGTGCAAATAAGTCCTAACAATCATTGAACACATTGAAATTTCTTCCTTCTGAAAGATTTCAAGAGTTTGGTTGTCATGATCCATGGAATAATTTACTAACTAATTATTGATCCTACTTCTTGAGAAAAGAACTCAAATATTTGATATGAAAATGATCTTTAATTTTATTCGTTTGGAGATTTTCATATTGTTCTAAAGTAGTGTTAAAATTGTGATGGATATTGTAATCTATTGTCAAATCCAACACTTAACTGAACACAATCCAGAATGCATCCAATTCAAGCCATTACGGTAAAAATAGTGCACTGAATCAAATTGAATCAAGATCTTTCGAAACAATTCAATCTTTCCAATAAGCTTGATCCAATAATAGCAAATCATCTTTTTTGTTGAACTGTTGTTTCTCTTCACAATTGTTCTTTCGAATACTAGTATCTTAACCGTTAACCACCCAATCCATACCCTGCCAATCCAACCATCATTCCAACAAACACCATCTTCAACCAACATCAATCCTTGTTTTTTTCTTCAAAGCCAATGCAAACAACTTCACACACCTAAGCAGCTTGCAATTTTAAACCATGAAGGTGCAAGCCAAGTTTGAGATTCAAAAATCCGGTCTTAAAAAAAATAACAAAATCACCAATAACTAACCATGCCTCCACAAAAGTTCAACTTTAACTTTGCTCCTGCTGAAGAAGAAGACTTCGATGAAGAAGAAGATATCGAAGAAGAAATGTATGGTGTAAGTAGTTTTGCTGGTTAGAATGTTGAGGAAGTTAATCTATGAAATTTATTAATAATAATAATTTTAACCGACGATGATGTGGAAACAACTTGATATTATTGAACATTCCCTCTCTGCTGATGTACTTTATAACTATTGACAACAACAATTAATCTAACAATAATAATAGCACCCAATGCTCATGAGAAAGGCTACCCCAGAAGAACTCGAAAAGATTGAAAAGAAGCAACTTGCTGAATATCCAGCCAAGACTCAAAAGGTTATTGGTGTTTTGAAGAACCTCCAACAAAAGTACTCTGATTTGGAAAAGCAATTCGAAGAAGAATACTTGAAGCTCAGAGAAAAGTATGCTGCTCTCTATGCTCCAGTTATTATTAGAAGAAACGAAATTGTTACTGGTGAAGTTGAAGCTACCTCTGAAGAATTGTCTACTGTTGCTTTGTCCGAAGTTACCACTGAAAAGACTGAAGATTTGAAGGGTGTTCCAGATTTCTGGTACAAGGTTTTGCTCCACTCTGAAATCAAGGCTGAATTGATCCAAGAAGATGATTTGGAAGCTTTGAAGTTCTTGAAGAATGTTGTCATGGAAGAATTCCCAGCCAAGCCAAAGGAAGAATCTGCTGAAAAGAAGGAAGAAGAAGAAGAAGAAGAAATTGATTACAAGCATAATCCAGGTTTCAGAATTATCTTCCAATTCAATGAAAATCCATTCTTCACCAACACTCAACTCGTCAAGTCATACTATTACGAAGAAGCCGATAGTGAAGATATTGCCACTTCTGAAGGTACTGAAATTACCTGGGCTGAAGGTAAGGATTTGACTGTCAAGGTTACCACCAAGAAGCAAAAGCACAAGTCTGGAAACAGAACCAGAACTATTCAAGTTAAGGAACCAAAGGACTCTTTCTTCAACTTCTTCAAGAATCTCGATGAAGAAATTCAAAAGGAAGAAAATGAAGAAAACATGATCTTGCAAGAATTGTTGGAAGCTGATGCTGAAATCGGAGACATTCTCAAGGAAAGAATTATTCCAAACGCTGTTGATTACTTCTTGAACGTTGCTTTGCCAAAGGAAGGTGATTTCTCAACTGTCCCAGAAGTTGCTGACATGCTCACTCAAATCCAAGCTGGTCTTACTCAACCACAAGGAGAAGGTGGTGAACAACCTGCTGCTGGCCAACAAGAATGCAAGCAACAATAAGTTCTTTGTAAATTTAATTTATTAGTTTTTCAAATCATTTATTTCTTTTTTCCTGATTTGATTATTTCAATAGTGAATCTGAAGAATTTGTGTGAAGTACTGAATCAGTATTTTAAATTGATTTTTGATAATAATTGAAACAGTTGTTGAGATAATAGAAATGTTTATTCATCTGAATCATCTTCCTCTTCATCACTGTCGAAAACATAATCAGAGGCTTTCGTCTTTTTCTTATCTTCGAGGACATAGATTTGATTAATGTCAACACCCAATTCTTTAGTAAAGTACTTGGCAACTTTGCCAGGAACATTACCTTGAATTTCAATAGAAAGTTCTGGTTTTTTCACAATACTACATCCACAAGCAAATTTCTTTCCGAAAATTTTGACAACATCCTTGAAAAACTTTTCATCACCTCTGAATGCATCCTCCATAAAAGCTTCAATTCCTGTAATGAGTGTCAAACGTTTTCTCTTGCTTCTTTTATCGATACGAATAAGTAATTCTCTATTTGATTTGGTTGCAACTCTCTTTTCTTCGGTACCTTCCACAATTTCCTTGACTTCTCTGGCGACTTTTTTATCAATTTTCTTATTCTTGTTTTTATCACCTTCTCTCAATTCAATTAATTCTTTTAATTTTTCTGGGAATCTAGTTTCAAGCCACTTTTCGCACAATGGCCATTTATCAGAAAATTCGCAATATTCAATTGGGAATGAACATTCGGCACAGTAATCAACTTTTTTGGCTTCAACTCGGCTAACAACAATTTCTTCTTCTTCATCAGAATCTTCTTCCTCTTCTCTCAATTTGTTTTCCAAATCAAGTTTTTCAAGATCTTCAGCAAGGACTTCAAGCTTTGTTTGCTTGTTTCTGTCTGGTCTTTCTGGTTTCTTGTTAATTGGTTTTTTCTTTGGTGCCATTTTTTTAAATTTTGAGATGAAAAAATTAATTTTTAAAATTTTAATTCATTTTCAGCTTTTTTTGATGATGAAGAATTGAAGCAAATTAATTCGTAAGTTTTGAAATTGATCCAAACAATTCATTATTTCACTCTTTAGTCTGAGTGATCCAACCAATTAAGGTTTTTTTCTCCGTAAGAGCATTTACATTCTCAACTCAAATAGAAAAATACTTCGATCACCAACATCAACACGGCACAGCAATCTTACTAACAATCAAATCAATAATATCTTTCTTGATTTTCGATTTCCATTTGCTTTTTCCCTTCCTCATCATCAAATTACGCTTGTTTTGTGATTGATGATGGATGAGAAGAAGGAACAACAACAAAAAAAGCAACAAACTTTAACCTCTTCAGAGTTGTTGGAAAAAATAAAGGAGAACAAAGGAACAAACCGTCTTTGATCATTAGAGTTTGATTTATTAAATTATTATTATTAAATAGAGCGAGATTGCGGATTTGGAATTAATATAAAAGAGGAGAAAATGGGTTGTAATAATTCAAAATCAAATTCATCATCATCATCAGGTTCATCCCGAAATAACAAGTTGAATGTTCATGGACATGGTGAAGTGGTGGAGCAAAAAGTTACCTACAAAATTCTTCTGTTAGGTAAGTGTGTTGATGTTGCTGATCATCATCATCAACTGTGTAATAATAATAATAATAATATTATTGGAATGACAATAATATTGGATTAATGAATTAAATATTGGAAAATAATAACAACAATAGGTGATGCTGGCGTCGGAAAAACTTCTTTGGCAATCAAGTGGGTTGATGGATCATTCCAGGAAAATTATATTGCAACTATTGGTGTTGATTTTAAAAAGAAGGATGTTACAATTGACAATCAAATGATAAAGTTACAAATTTGGGATACAGCAGGTCAAGTAAGTTTTTGAAAGAATTTCTCTGACACATTTCTTTCAGGAAAGGTATAATACTATTCAAGCTACTTATTATCGTGGATGTGCTGGAGTGTTGGTTGTTTATGACATGACAGATTCTGAATCATTCCAAAATGTTCAAAAGTGGATTACTAATATTGAAAAGAATACTTCACCTCAAGATGATATTACAGTATTGCTTGTTGGTAATAAGGCTGACTTGGCTGATGAAAGAATGGTTAAAACTGAAGAAGCCAATGCATTCTGTAAAAATACTTCATGTGTAGTGGATAGAGGTATGTATTTAGTTTTATAATAATTATGGAAATAGATCTAATATGTTGTGGTGAAATAGTTTTTGAGGTTAGTGCCAAATCAGGACAAAATGTCAAGTAAGTATTTTCTTCAAATATAATATTTAACAACATTTAAATAGTGATGCTTTCATGGCCCTCGTAGAAGCCATTCACAAGAAGAAGAGGAAATAAGCTCTCTCAAATTTGTACATTTATATTATTAAACTATTATTAAACAATTCACAAATTTAACTTAATTCTCAATTAATTTGAACCATGCAATAATAATATCCACTGTTGTGTATCATCTTAATGAAAAACAAATCTTCAACAAGACGTGTATCAAATACAGTTCAGTTTTGCGTGCGCATAAAGTGCCCTACTTACAAAATTAAACTTTGGATTGAACTATTCGATCAAAATCCGCACGCATCCAGGAAGACCTATGCTTTAGAACGCACGCAATTTCATTCATCTATTCATCTCTGTGCATTTAAATTGGTATAAATTCTACTGTATTCATCAGCAATTCATCTAAAAACCAATTCAAAAAACAAAATCTTAATTGCTTTCTGTGAAATTATCTCAATTCTCTCAATTTTCAAAATAATAATATGGAATCCATCTATGACTCTATTAAAGAACACTACTCCAACAAGCAAAGTAATGAAGCTTTGATTTCCAATAGTTGTTTCCTAGCTTCAAAACCTCACTTGTTAATTCAAAAGTATCTTGGATTGATTCCAGCTGAGGTTCATGAAAAGTTTTATGGTTGTGGTTCAGCTGTCCCACTTGGTATTAAGGGATTGACAGTTCTTGATTTGGGAAGTGGCATTGGAAGGGATGTTTTTCTTGCATCGATCATTGTTGGTGAGCAAGGAAAGGTTATTGGCGTGGACATGACCAAGAGTCAAGTGGAGCAAGCTAGAGAGTTTACTCCAAAATTCATCGAGTCAATCAAGAATGCAAATATGAATATTGCCAAGATTGAATTCCATGAAGGTCTAATTGAAGAATTGGATCAAATTCCAGGTGTTACCAGTGAATCCATCGATTTGATCACTTCCAATTGTGTCATCAACTTGTCCCCTAAGAAAGAACAAGTCCTTCGTCAAGTTTACAAAGTTTTAAAGTTTGGCGGTGAATTTGTCTTTTCTGACATTTATTCTGACAGGAAGATTCATCCAGCAGCTCGTGAGAAACTTTCCATACTTGGTTCATGTATTGGAACTGTTTACTATGTCAATGATTTCTTGAATACTTGCAGAAAGATTGGTTTTGATGTTATTAGAGAAGTCAACCGTGTTGAAATTGTTGCTTCCAATCCAGATATGCAAAATTAATTGTTGGAAATGCAAAATTCTTTAGTATTACCTATCGTTTATTCAAACTCAAGAATTCAGAGTTGACCGAAGAGGATTACGGAAATGTCATTACCTATAAAGGTAGTATTGAAGGTTATCCAACTTGTTACAAGTTTGATAACAAGTTGGAGTTTGAGAGTGGAAAGCCAACAAGTGTTAGTGGAAATGTTGCTTCTGCCATAGAGGAAAGTGCTTGGCTTTCGAATCATTTCGTCCAATTTCCAAATAAGAGAGAATTTCATTATGGTGAATTTAAGGAAAGCTCAATTGGTCAAGTTGAAGTCAAACAAGTTACTTTCCAAATTCCAACCTGTTGCTTAAAGCCATAACTTTATAATTCTCCATAAAAATTTGTATGATTCGAATGGATTCGAAATAGAATAAATATGTATCTGAAATTTATTAGAATGATAAACTAATTACTGAGCTGGTGGTGGAGGAGTAGGAGGCAGGAAAACAGGCATTCCAAGAACTGGTGGAATAGGAGGCATTTCCAATTTCATCATTACAATACAATGTCCCAATTTCGAATGAGATTCCACATCGTCCTGAGAATAAACCTTATAAACATGTTTTCCACAATTAGTACAAAACCTCTTCTCTGGATCATCTTCAATCATGGAATCATAATCCATTGGACACTTATAGACCCACTCACAATTTTCAATTCCATCAATTTCGTATGGGTTTCGTTCTTCCATTTTTGTTGCCCATTCGAAAGGATCCATATACGGATTAAATTTGACTGGAGGTTTAGTTTCTCCCTCTTTTAGAGGTCTCTTAATAGGTTCATGTTTAGTCAGAGGTAAATAATGTGGCGAGTTGACTTGCAAATGAGCAATTCTTCTCCTTAATAAGTGCATCCAATTTTTGACATCAAGTCCAATGTTAAATCTTGGAAAATAATAACAAACAAGTGGTTTCCAAATTCTTTCTTGGACCATGTTGAAGAGTTGCTGATCTAGCTCATCTTTTCTATATTCGAAAGCTGTTGATCTTTGTCTTAGAATGGAAAATGAATTTAATTTTTGATTTCTTCCTTCTATCTTGTATGGAAGCAACACTTTTGCAATTCTAGAACTTGTCTGATTGAACAATAATTTTAAAAACACTGAATTGACTTTTGACAATGAATAAATGTCCTTTCCGTTCAAATGGGTTGCAATGGAAATTAATAATTCGAAAGGAAAGTCTTCCAATTGACCAAGTGATGGTGTTGGGGAGTTTTCCTTGTTGGATTCGTTTGTAAATGGCAGTAAAATGTCATCTTGTGGAAAAGGGTCTTGGTGTGATTCGATATTTGTCATTTTTTTTTGATGTTTAAAATGAAAAGTTCATAACAAATCGATGCAACACAAAAGCATTCAAAAAGGAGGAGAAGTTCAAGTTCAGTGAGGAAAAAATTTTGGAAAAAAATTTGGTCATGAAACTGAGACTATTATCTCAGTGAATACAAGTATTGGATGCTTGAAATTTGAGAATTTTGTAGATGTGTGAGTTTACTTTTAGCGGTATAAAAATAAAATTGTGAACATGAGCAATATGAATGTAAAAAGGTAATTCCTGAATGCGTCGACCGGGAATTGAACCCGGGTCACGGCGATGGCAACGCCGTATTCTACCACTATACCATCGACGCTTCTTGTTCATAGAACTTGTTTATCACAAGTGTAACGACTTTAAATTCGAGAAAGGAATTCTTGATCTAGATTGAAGGATAAACCAAATTACTACTAACAGAAAATCCCCTTCTTTGAAATTTCAGTTTCTTCTGAAAAAAAATGTCCCACTCAGGTATCAGAGTCAACAACCAAACTGAAAAAGTAATTCGTGTTCGATTGTCCCACGTTGGACCCTTGTATGAAGCCATCATTCAAACAGGACAATCCTTTCATTTTGATGGCATTGGCAATGTTTTCTTTACTGTTTCTGTAGAAGAATGCTTGGATGAAACTAAAACACTAAGAACCAGTGAAATTGCCCTCCCAATTGTTGCAACAGTATTGGGCAGTGTGGGTGGAACTGCAGTTGTAATTGCTGGATTAGCTGTGCTTGGAAGTCTTGCATTGCCTCTTCTTGGAGTTGGTGCAGGAAGTGGTATTACTGTTGGAAGTGGTGTTGTGGTTGGGTCAACTGTGAGTGGTACTGGAATAATTGCTGGCTCTTCTGGTGTTGGTAGTGGTGTTGGTATTGGTACAGGACTTGCTGCCTCAACAGGACTTGGAATTGGTAGTGGTGTTGCTGTTACCAAAGGAATTGGATTGGGAACAGCTGTGGTAACAACTACTTCTGTCACTGCTGCTACTGGAGCTTCTGTTGCTATTACAAGTGGTTTGACGTCTGCTGTTAGTGTAGTGGCTGGAGTTTTTGGTAAGATAAAACAAATACAACCAGTAAATGACCAAATTGAACGTATTGGGAAGGAAAAGAAGTACTCTGTACGCTCAAATGGAACAGATATTAATGTTGGAGAATTGAATGGACGGTTTACAATCACAAAGCTATAGAATCAAGGAAGCACTTTATTTTTTCTTCGTGCTCTAGTTCACAATTTTATTTTTATATCACTCAAAGTAAACTCACACGGGTATAAAATTCTCAAATTTCAACTATTCAATAATTGTATTCACTGAGATAATAATCTCAGATTCGTGCCCATTTTTTTCAATATTTTTGACTTGAAACATTTGATTTGCTTCATTGTATCAAATTTACAAAAATTTCTATGGTCCAAAGAGAATAAGGATCTTTCAATTTTCAATGTTCAACAGTGAAAACAAATCACATACTAAAAAGCTTGTCTTTCAACTCGTCACCTAACAAATATTTTTGTTCTTTTTGTTTTCTCGGTAAAAATCTCTATTAAATTTAGCACAATTTACAAGCAAAAAAAAACAATACTCAAGAATGACTGTTATTCATTCGATCGAAGATACTGGCAAGAAGAGAAAGGAAAGCACTTTGGCAAGTGAAGAGGAAAATTCAGTCAAGAAAATCAAGGAAATTTCCACCTCCGAACATGATGCAAAGATTGATCAATTAATTTACCAATCTTGTTCATCATCAACAGAACAATCCTCATCTGCTGATGTCCCTTCTATATCTTCATCTGCTCCAATTTCTTCTGTACCTCTTAACACAACAGATGAAGAACAAGCAAATGAACAAATTGACAGCTCCAATTCTGATCCATCTTTATCAACATTTGCACTACAATCAAATGGCGCACTCATTCCAATGATTCCTATTCCTACCTCTTCCACTCTGAATCCAATCCCAACAGAAGATGATGATGAAGATTTATTTAATTTAGATGTTTCAATGTTTGTCTCAAAATCAAAATCCACAACCACAAACATACCACTAACACTGAGTTTTGAAGAAAACTTAAAAAAGAGAAGAAAAGAAATTGAAGAACATGGAAAAGATGCAAAGAGATGTGAAGAGGAGAGGCAATTAGGCATGAAATTGAATCGAGAAATTAAAGATTATGAAGCAAATGGTGGCAAGATTGAAGAGAAAAAAGAAGAAGAGAAAGAAGAAATTGTGAGATCTCTCCATGATCGAGAATTCATTGAATTTAAGAATGGATTTAAGAGGGAATTCTTGAGATTCTTACCATGTGATATTGGAAAGTTGGATGAATTGGGTGTAGCCGTTGATAAGATTGAGGCCATTTTAGTTGAGTTGTTTCTAATGGAAGATGAATATGATGCACAACAGTGCTTTGAAATGTTGCAAAGTATTGTTAGATTTAGAACTAACAATTATGAGATTTCAGACGAAAGTTCTGTAAATAGTGGTGGGTTAGCCAATAGTGAAACTATTTCTGGAAGGTCAGGAAGTTGCATTAGTTGTTCGAGTAGTTGTACTTGTGGCAGTTCAATAGTTTCCAATATTTCTGAAAGTGAAACTAATCCAACAACTATTGTAACTCATGACAATAAGACTGTTCCATTTGAAAACATTGCTGAATTATCTTACAATTATCAATCCAACTCAAAATTCCAACAAGAAAATAAGCCAGACGAATCAAAATCCAAGTCAACTCTTCCAGAAGAAATCCAAATCGACATCAAACTCAACAAGTGGAGAAAATATTGTGAAATTTTATTCAATCTCGGTTTTAAAAAGTTGAAATCTCAACCAGTCAACCTCCAAAAAGACAAACAATTTCTCATGTTTGCTTGTCAATTCGCTCTCCATCATTTACTCTGCTCTAGCTCTGTAAGAGCTGACAATCAATATGAAAATCACTTTTGGAATTGTGATAAGAAGATTGAATTTAATAGTGTCTATGTGGAGCCGAATGATAATTTTGAAAGATTGGAATCTGGAAGTGGTCGTGGAGGAGAAAAATTGTTTGGTCAACCTGAAAATTATTATCAAATTGAAATTGAACAAATTTCCTTTTTATTTTCATTAATCGATTCAGAAATGGAGAATGAATTGGTTGTGAGCTTTTTGCAAGATTTCAAATTTGAGGAAAAAGTTTCTTCCTTCTCAACTAATTGGAACGAAACTGCCAGTCATTACTTTCCATTTTTCTTTTTCAAGACAATTTCCAGTTTAACTTATGGGTTCAATACTCAAATCTATTCAGTGGTTAGTAAGATTGTATTGCTCATTATTCGAAACAGTCTAGATTTGGAATCTTCCATTACAACTGAACGAATTTTACAAATTCAAATCGAGATGGAATTTACCCAAAAGAAGATATGAAATTCTTGGACGAAATGTTGAAACAAGTATTGGAAAGACTCTCCACTTTGGATCACACAACTGATTTGAATTGTTTCTACTTTCTCTCACTTGTAACTAATTCTTTCCATTTTTGCATTAAATCCCACGATGATTACAAGAAGGTTTTGAACAAGTTTGTAGATAAACTTGGATTTCGTATTTATCAGAGTCATTTGACCTTGTTTAATAATTCCTATATGAAGAAGAAAGATTAAGAATAAGTTTCGAATAAATTTTTTTTTATTGCCCTAAACTTTCAGGAAAACATCACTCCCTTTCATCTTGATAAAATCCCTTTCTTGGTCTTCCCCTTTTTCTCTTTGGTTGACTATTCTTCAAGTCCAATTCTCTCTGATAGGATTCAATCGTTTTCATCTCGAACTTTAAATAGATCGAAATGAAGAACACAATTCTGTGTATTTTTCTGGTTTTTGAGATTTTTGTGGTTTTGAGAGTTTTTGAGGGTTTTGGTTTTTCATTTTGGATGGCTTGGTGATTTTGGAGGAAACTTGATTGGAATGTTGGATGATTGGAGAGGTGGATGTTGTAAAGCATGAGGAGAAGGTGCTGGTGCTGCTTTCATTTGTTTGGGGGTTTTGTGAAATGGAAGAAACTGGAGGAATGGTTTCGTCTGTAGAAACTTTATCTTGTTGATAAGCAGGACTAGTAGCAATGTTTGCTTGTTGTTGTAATTGAAAGATCAAGGTATACAATCTAATTAATTTCTCTTGTGAATCAAGTTGAAGTGTTGCAAACATTGAAAGAAACTCATCATTATTCGAAAGTCCATTAGCAGCACTTGTAGAAACCAAGTATTGTTGATTTCTTTGTTGTGGAACAATAACTGGATCTGGTATACATGGTTGCCAATTGTCATTGTAAGATGAAGCAGGTACATCTTGTCTGATAGTGACACGACAGTAGTTTGCATTCGAATACATGTTGAGATGTTTTTTCTAATCTTTTTAGTCCTACTACGTATCTCAATACGATGACTGCGTTCTTAAAAATTGCTAGTTTTGTATTTTGTTAGGTTTCAATATTATCTCTCCAATCAACTTTCGGTTTTGAAAAATACATTTATGGAAACTCGAAATTACCATACATTAATGTACCAAATCTTTGTCAATGTGCAGTTTACTTTCATTATCATTGAAATGACAAAAAAGTGGCGGAATAAAAAGTATACGAAACCATTTTGTTGCTTCCAAATTCATGTTTACTTACTAGAATAAACTTTCAGAGGTGTTTATTGGGAGACATGAGTTCACATCATGCACAATTCTAAAACAAACATATTAAACCCTAATTGAATGAATAATTCTGAAATTTTACAATCATTTAAACATAACTTAAATTCATGATAATTGTCAAGTGTCCTGCTCATGTACTGTTTCTCATTGGTTAAATATTTGCAATCTTTCTTCAAAGTTGCAAAAATCCAACAATATATATTATTTGAAAATGGTTAAATGCTATAATCAAAAAAACATTTAATCAAAACACATGTTCCTAAAATTATTCAATCAACTACATGTACTAGTGAACAGACAAACAAACAACAACCATTTTGATTTGAATCATCAACTTGACAATATTTCTTTTTATTCAATCAATTTTACAAAGTTGACTATAAATAGAGTAAACTTGAATATTCCAATAATCTCAACAAAAAAAAACAAATACAAGTTAAATTTAATAACAACAACAAAACATCATATTGAAAATGTTCAGTTTTATGGCAGGAGTTGCATCTGGAATGTACATTTACCACAAGTATGATGTTGAGAAATTTGTAGAAGATGTGAAACCCTCATCTTGTTCAACAAATCATAAAGAAGAGGAATTGAATAAATCAAGTGAAGAAAAGGAAGAAGGAAATAAATGGTCAACTGAGCAAGTGTGGAATAAGATTAAATCTTTCGAACAACAATATAGAAAACCAGATAAGGATTCCAAATCTCAAAATTAAAGATTGAAATCTTTATTCTAGTAGTATAAACAAAATACATAATGTAAATAATCCTCAATGTTAAATAAATATTATCAAATGTACATTTATTTCTTGACACAAGGTTAGTAAATGGATGTTGTAAGAGAATTTCAATTGACTTGGATTCACATTCGTGTGATTTGTTTGAGTCAATGTCACACACTCTAACAAGCATGCAAGTTACAAAACTTGACCAAGATCAGAAGGAGTAGTTGTACTAGCCTTATCAGAAGGAGGATTAGTACGACTCAAATAAAGTTCAATCAATTCACGGAATTTTGTTGGAGAATGTCCATATGTTTCTGGTTTGGATTGATACTCGACTATTCCATTATTGTTCATAATGACAAACTTTTCAGGCCAAACTGCAAAAGCTTCCTCATAACCATTCTCAATAGAATCGACAATGGTTGGAATTCTGAAATTCATTTCCTTCATCATTAATCTAGTGGCATCTACTCTATCTTCACTTGTTTGATGTTGTTTGATATTAATTCTGTTTCCTAATTTCCATTGGTCACAAGCGTGGGCTTCCTTAATATAAATGGTAATGACAAACACCTTCTCTTTGAATTCTTGGAAGATACTTTCAAAGAGATATTGCTGGTGTTGTCTAAACGGTGGTCAGGAGTATGAGCTTCCAATAATTGCAACTGGTAAGTTATTGGTATTTCTTTCTGTTAAAAATTGAGCCAATGTTTTCGTATTATTTGCAACTAATTCTTCAGAGCTAGGCATTTGATCAAAATTATTAATCTCCTTCTCAAAATCATAATAACCAAGCAAGTCTACAATCTTGATAGTTTCCAAATTAACCTTTTGAACAAAGAAATCTCTAGACATGTCATACTTGAAATAATCTGTTAATTGATTCACATCAGGATCATTTTGATAAATTGCTCTCAAATTTCTAAAGGCAATCAATGCTTCATGCCACATTGGATCCGAATGATCAATGCCCAATACATTCTGCAAAGCCTTCTCTTGCAAATCATAGGTAATATTCTCGAGCATTCTAAAATTCGTATCAGCTTCCGTGTATGACTGTTGAGTAGAGGACAATCTCCGAAGACGTTGTTCTTCCTTCAACAATTGAATGGCCACTTCCTTGCTCAACTCATAGGAAGTTTTCTTCTGGTGCAGATTATAACCCCACTTTCCACTCGTACTGTGGAACATACCCATTTTCTCTCACACACTCTGATCTTCCTTGTTTAATTGTTTTTTCAAAGATCTTATGATGATCAATAACGATCCAAAAACGCTCAAAATACTACTCGGAGCGCTTATTATTTTTGGAGGGAAAATGAAGGGACAAGTTGTGCTATTTTTTTGCTATGTTATTTAATGATTTCATCGTGATTGACTTTTATGGTGAGAATAATTGTTATTTGAATGGTTGTTCGATAGGAGAGATAGAAACACTCAATACGTGGATGTGGAAGTTTGGTTGGTAAAGAACTTAATAGCGTGACAGTTCCTATTGTAAATGATGCTATTGTTATCTTTGAACTATGTTTTTTATACAATGACTACAGTAATAATATGGTCAACCTGCGAATCTTACTTTTTATTGAGTTGTTTTCCGAAATCTTCCAATGATATTCTATTAAAATTGACCACATCACAATTGAACCCAAATTGAGAACAATTGTTTGGAATTTGTTTAGTTTCATAAAGTTTTGGAATTGATTTATCATCATCTTCTCCAACATAACTCGCAACTCTATTTCCACTACAGACAAGATAATATCTGATCCAATTTCCTTTCTTCTGTTTTGATTTTGTAGGAAATGAAATCTCAGTGGTACTGTACAATGATGAGAATTGAATTGTGAGATTGTGTCGTCCCTGTTTCACGTTGAAAACCAAGACATCAGAATTGACTACCATTGGTAGCCATAATAGACTTCCAAATTGCAGGTAAAATTCATAACTTGATGGTGTAATTGAGTTAGTTTTCACATTTCTGTATTCAATAGGCTTATCCCAAGTGGTAAATCCAACACACTTGACATTCAAGACATTACTATCTGATAAAATCATAAATTGTTGTTCTCCAACTGTTTTACCAGCTCCACAAGAAATGCATCCAGAATCAGAGTTGAGACAGACCCAATAATCCAAAAATTGATCAGGATTACAGGGATGATGTCCAATACTTGCCCAAGCTCCTCCCTGAGCTTCTCTTCTAATAACACTTTGACCATTTCCCCAACCACCAATCACAATCTCATACATTGGACTAGTAACGAGTGGAGAAGTTGCCAAACTAATGTGAATATCATTTTGAGCTTTTGCTTGGAATGTGACAATTTTCAAAGGATTATCATCTGGGAAGGTCCAAGTTTTGTTCCACATGTACTGTCCATGAAGAGGTTCCAACCTGAATCTGAGTGATTTCTTCAATTCTTTAAATATTTATGTAATCTTTCATGTTGTGAAATATTACGAATACTAACCTTCAATAAATCTGTTAAATATTCCTCCTGATTGAGGAGCCACTTGATTGCTAAAATATCTATTAAACACTCGACTCCAATAATCATCACTCATGATGAATTGATTGAATTTTCGGCTACACAATCTCAAATTGATCAATTCTTTAAAATCAATGAAGGAAAACACCTCATAGATAACATCTGATTCAGCCAAGAGAGTGTAGGCATTCAATAATTGTCGGAGGTGTTTCTTTTGCTCATAATTGAATTTTGTATTGATGAGGTAGGTGACCAAGGCTAATTGCTCTTCAGGATTTAGCCGATCGACAACATCGTTTGAATGTGAGAACATTTTTTTTGAGTTTTTTGTTTGAACTTTGGTGAACCAACTACGGTACTTTTATCAGAAAAAAGTATTATATTATTGTCGTATTGAAAGCCAATATTAAAATGTTCCTGAACAGAAACACAAGTGGCAATTCGAGTTAATGAATAATCAAAATCATTTGGAGTCTTAAATGATTTTAAAGCTGATTTTGACCCTCAAAATAAATTTCTTCAAAAGTTGATCCGTAGCTGGTCTAGATCAGTAGCACAAGAACCTTGTGGTCGTAATTTCTTGCTTAGGTGCAATTAAATTTCTTTCTAATTGTGAAACAGTTACACTTCCAGAATTCAGGAGACTTATGAAAAAAGACCAAATGCTTCTTACCACTCAATGCCGAACAAATGAGAATGAAACTCAAGTGGTGTAGATAAGGATGGTCACAAATAGACAAATTTTGGATAGAATTTTTCTGAGCACCAATTAGTGGCGATGCCCAGCATCACCAAACAATGTTACAATACCATGAAATTTACGATAATTTTAACTTTGATGGCTGTGCTGCTTGTTTTATTAAATTCTTCTTGGATTGAATGTAAATTGAATAAGCTAGGTGAGGAAATTATAATATGTGAGGGAATGAGAGCAAATGATACGAGTGCTTGTTCGGGGAGAGGAGCATGCATATCATTGAATAACTGTTCTTGTTCGAGTGGTTTTGAGGACTAATTGGAAATAACGCCAACTTTTTGCGATAGCAGTATTAATTGCACTGGTCATGGAGAGTGCAAAATTAAGGGAGAATGTGAATGCCACTCAAATATTAAGGAGTCACCGTCCAGAGAGAACCATTTAATAAATTCCAAAATTAATAATATTTATTCGGTTGTGAAAGTTGTCTCTACCGCCGTTTGTTTACAGGGCTGATTTTACATCAAAAAAAAAATGGCCACACACAGCTTGCAATCTAAAAGCACTGTATTCCCTTACAACAGCAGGGATGTTGAGGACCAACAAACAACATCCGTTGATTCTTCCGTTATCATCAAAGGGTCTTCTTCCAACTACCGTATTGAAAAGGACGAAGAGAAAAAAAAGGAGGCAAGGAAAACCAGCTACCTTGCTTGTTGTGATTTTTCTTGTAGTAATATCCTTAATGCTGTTGCCATATTCTGCGCTATCACAGCCTGTTTGTACAGCTACTTGTATTCAGGAGGCGTAACAAAGATTGAATTGGTTCATCCAATTCAAGATAGGATCGTATCCCTGAATTCTACATTGTATTCGAGTGAGATTGCAGAACATCCAAACCTAATTCCAAATGATGAGTACTCTAACATATTTTCAAAAACCCTAACGTTGATGCATAATTGTAAACTACATATGAAAGGCTTTCATGGTGAGAGTGGAATTGGAAAAACCACCATGTTAGAGGATTCTATAAGATTACTAAATCCTCATCCCTATATGTTGATCAGCTTGAGTGAAACCACAACCATTGCAGAAATAGCAGCTCAAATGAATATGCTTGAGAAGGAAACATCTTGGTCGGATATTGAATTTACTGTCAAGAAATATATTGACTTACATTCTAAAAACCTCAGATCTATGCATTGTCCTTTATTCATAATTGACAATGCTAATCGAAACGCGCCAATAGCCAATAGGTTCATTAGCATGGTAAGAGAATTTCCCAACTGGAATTGGTTTGTTGGTCATATCTTCTGACGGTTATGCCAAAGAGTTGCAATCAGCTGGTGATAGGCTTAGGTCTGTAGAGTTATTCGAACCTTCTCGCGATTTTGGTGTCAAATATCTTCAAGCTCTAAATATTACAGATACTTATGAAATTGACAGGATACTTCTAGTAACTGGAATGAAGCCTGTTTATTTAGGTTATGTATTAGAAACTGTGAAGAGTGATGGTTCTGTTGATATTGAACAATTGCAAGGTTCAATCAATGATCTGATATTGAAAAAAATAGATAATTTAGATTCAACAATTAGGTCGATTGTATTGGAATGGGCTAAGAAATTAATTGAAACACCTTTTGAACATCTTATGCTTCCACTCGATTTTCAAACAGAATTATCAGAAGTAATTTACAAATCGAACATAATAAGGAAAGGGTTGTATAAGGATGACCCCTACAGACTCTCTTTCCAAAATCGAATTGTACAACAATTCTTTGAGCAGTGGTTCAATGTCACAAAAAACGTTACCAGATAGTCACAGCAAGAATTCTCCCACTAGAAAAGCTAGATATTATATTCATTACTTAAAATTGCAACAATCTTGGCTGCCAACTCTGGATTTTCCTTTTCAATTCTTTGAAGAGCTCATCTTTTTCATTTCAAGTTAGACAAACATCAGGACAATTAGAAAATCCAAAATACATGACCATGAATTTTCCTCTAAATTCAGAATCTGTAACAACTTCTCCTTTAGTATTAACAAGAGTGAAAGCACCTCCAAGTTTTGGAGCTCATACAGCTTTAACAGCCTTGCTACTTGTTCTAATTATTCCAATTAATTCCATTATTAATATTATTATCTTATGATGCAAAATTATATAAAACAATTCCGAACACGGTGCCATTTGCTTTTTTCAAACATTACACATTTATCTTATCATTTTTTTAAGCATCTTTCATGTAATTGACCTCAAACAAGCTCATTATTCCACACAGATGAACTTTATGTATTTTAAAAATAGCACAACAATTTTATTGTAATCAAAACCAAAAAAATGAAGCGATCAACTTCTTCATCATCAAAGGAATCTTCTTACGCAAACGATGATCCAATCATATTCGGAGTTGGTGAGAGCACCAGTTATCAAATTTTAAAGGAATCCAATTCAACACATTTGATCATCGATCCAAGCAAGTATTCAAAGTATAAAGTTATTAGTATTAGTTGTGGTGGTGATTTTTTGTTTTTATTATTACAAGATAAAGTAACTTTGCAAAATCGATTATTCTCTGCAGGTTATAATGGCACTGGTATGTTATTATCAATTCATATATTGTTAATATTTTGTAAACTTTGTAATCATCACAAACTATTTAATATTCATAATAATCCAATATTATAATAGGAGAACAAGGAGTACCAACTAATAGTGGTAGTAGTTGTGAATTACGTGATATTACTGATCCAATAATAGAACATATTAAAAGAAAGAACATTAAAATATTACAAGCACAATGTGGATGGAATCATAGTATGATTCTCGTTGAATATGATACTGATGATAATAGTATTGACAGTAATATTGATAATATTTATAATAATAGAGAATTAGCTCTCCTTGGATCTGGATTTAATAATCATGGACAATTGGGTGTTGGTAATGCATCATCTACAAATACATTTGTGAAAGCAAATACAGATCATATTCCTTTAAATCAAATTGAAAGATTAATTTCTAGATTTAATACTTGTGCTATTATTACCAAAGATAGAAATTTATATGCTGCAGGTAATAATTCAAGTGGTGAATTGTATGTGTTTATTATTTCTATAATTGTTTGATTAATAATATTTAAATAGAGGTAAACCAAATGAATTATTATACAAATTTGAATTAATATTTAACAAGGTAATGGATGCAGATTTTTCATATTCTCATTCAGTGATAATAGATATGGAAGGACAAGTATGGACTGCAGGAAGAAATGACAATGGTAAATTGGGTAGATCAGATTCTAATTTAATGGTATTTACCAAAGTTGATTTTCCTGAAAAGGCAATTAAAGTATCACTAGGCATACATCATACAATGGTATTAACAGAGTTAGGAAATGTATATGGTGCAGGATATAATGAAAATGGTGAATTAGGTATAAATACCAATCAAGCATCGCCAGTATTTAAATTGGTTGAATCCAATAACTTGAAATTTAAAGATATTTCATGTGGATTTTATTTTACAAGCTTTTTAACTAGAAGTAATCAAGTTATGATATGTGGATCTAAATGGAAAATTGTTGGAGACAATAAGAAAATTCCACAACCATTACATTGTGATGATAATTTATTTAATCTGGTTAATTCTATTTATGCAGGTGGCTACTTTTTAATTGCTTTTAAAAAAGATGAAAACGAAACCAAACAACTCAAAGAAATGTTTAAAAAGTTAAAATTAATAATTAATAATTCAACTTTATCAGATGTTCTAATTAAATAAATCTATTTTTCCAAATTATTTTTCCATTAATATTTTGATTTACTTTTAAAGAATTATTTAATTTAACTTTGAAAGATACAAATTCAATGCTTCCATTTCATCTGCATAGTCATCGTCTTGTTGAGAATTGTAGAATGATTCAACAATTTCTTCATCAATGATATCTTCCATTTCTTGTTTCTTCTTAAAGACATCATCGAGTGGTGTGTTTGGTTCTTGTTCATCCTCATCATCTTCCTCGCTATATTCGTCGTCCTCTTGAGCATTTATAGAGCTAGCACCTTCAGGTGGAAATTGTTGATCATCCTCTCCTTCATCGAGCATCGAGTCTTGGCTGTTTGGTACTTCACTGCTTGCACTTTCACCAGTAGTGGCTGGTTGTGAGAGGAGAGTTCCAGAAGTTGACTTTTTGATAATGTAAGCAGCAATATCATCCAAATCTTTGGATTGAATCTTTGGTTTTGCCTTACCATTAATAATCATGTCGACAGCAATTTCTTCAATTTTACCTCTATTTCCCATACCTTGTGCTTTCTTGAGAGCAAAGACAACACTTTGCATTTCAAAACCCAGCATGCACAAGTTATAAACTTGTTCATAATCTACATATCTGTGATGAATATTTTCCTCAACCTTATAGGCTAACTCTTCCAAAGTTTGTGGATCACACAATAGTTGGGTTGAAACAAGTTCATCATTGTCAGCCATCTTGATTGCCTCAGCAATAGTCTCTTCATCCAATTGAGAGAATACAGAATGCAAAGCCTTTAAGAGTTTCATATCAACAAGCTTTCCATTCTTAGTGTTTCCAAATGCAAGTTGCTTTTTTCTATCTTGTTTTCTTTCGAATTCTTCCATTTCTCTTCTCTTGGCAAGTTCTCTCTTTTCAATAATTGCAGTGAGTGCATTTTCCACATTTCCTTGACATTCTTTCAAAGCCTTTCTAGCCTCCTTATAGGTAAATCCCATACCAACAACTTGTTCAATAAGGGTTGGATCGAGAACTAATTTTTTGTAATCTTGATTGGCCTTTTCGAGATAAACTTTTGCTGAACTCTTATCATCAACCTCCAAACAAATAATTCCCTTCAATAATGATAGTTTACAATAGAGAGGGAATTGTGCAAATTTGCCACCTTGAATTGTCATTAATCTTTCCAAATTTTCACCATGTGAGGCCTTGAGAATCTTTTCAGCCAATTGCAATCTTTGAATAGCATCAAATAGCATTGTTGGATCCTTTAATTTGTACATTACCCAAACAATATCAATCAATAAGGTTGCATAATTATCAATCATGGAAAGTAATTCAATTGGTAACTTTTTGAATGCTTCATCTGCTACTTGCAAACAATCGAATGCTTCTCTGTATTGCTTCTTCTTGATAAATTCTTCACTCTTTTGTTGCAAAATCATTCCTACCACGAGAGCTTCTCTTTCAGATTCTGGTAATCTAATCTTATTTCCATTCTGATCTTCCAAAACAAAGTGGTATTGTTCATATCGACTATCTCCACCATTGGATCGTTTAGCCATTTCCAAAGCAGCCAACTTGATCTTTTCAAGACGACGTGCTTGTTCCAATTGTTTATCGACAATTGATTGTTGTTGTTGTACAGGAGGAGGTGAATTATTACCAACAGTACTATTGGTTGTGCTATTATTATTTACAGTATTTGAAGAGGTAGAGTTTGATGTGATGGTTGTTGCTGTTGTGGAAGTAGAACTAGCTGCTGATGATGAAGCAGGTTGTTTTTTCAAATAGACTAACACGCTTGCTTTTACTTTAGCATCGGCAAGAGTTTCATCATCATTCTTGAGAAATTTACCTCCGTTAATGATGGTTACTTCTGATAAAAGCCACACATCGGAAGGAAGTGCTTGGTTGTGATTCTCTACAATTAATTCACGAAATTTGAGAACAGTCAGCGAGGTGTCTAATTGTGGGAAGGTATGGCTCCAGGTAGACTTTGATTCTTTCACGGTAATGTCCATCTTGAAATATTGGGGTTGTGACGTGATATTGAGTCTTTATGTTATGATATTTTTTCCAACTTGGAGTTGAACAAAATGATAAAAATAGGAGAGTTCATCATGAAGGTTCTGAAATTGTAAACTTGCATTTTCTTTGGAATTAATAAAATTTCAGAAAGTTTCTCATTCAATTAATCATGCACAACTCAATCCATCACTAATTTTATTTACATTATTTAAGGAGGGATTTCACTACTGATTCAACCTTGAGTGTTCTCAAATCGGTATAAGTTTGACCAACACCAACAAATACAATTGGGTGACCAGTTTTGTGAACCATTGAAACTGCAGCTCCCACCTTCTCATCAATAGTATCAAACTTGGTCAAGACGATACCATCAATTAAATCCTTAGTTTGCTTGGTGGCAGCATTTTCAGAGCTAGCCAAAACCTTGAGTGAAGAGTTGAACTTTTGCAATTGGTCAATACCGTCATTACCAACGAGAGCTTCACCAACGAACAAGACAAGATCTGGAGTATTGACTTGAATCAATTCAATGAGAGATTTCATCAATGGTTCGTTATCTTGCATTCTACCAGCTGTATCTACAAGTACAATATCAAAACCATTCTTCTTTGCATGGTTGATAGCTTCCTTAGCAAGAGAGGCAGCATTCTTACCATAACCCTTTTGGAATACTGGTACATTCAAACATCTAGCATGGACTTGAAGTTGTTCAACAGCACCAGATCTAAAAGTATCACAAGCAGCAATCAAACAAGAGAATTCCTTTTGAAGTAACCAATAGCAAATCTTTGACAAGGTGGTACTCTTACCAACACCATTGACACCACACATGACAATAACATATGGTCTGCCTTGTTCTCTGACAGTTGAGGCTTCCTTGAGAATGTTAATAGTTCTGCTTGGAGTCAAGATTCTTGTGAGGGCTTCTTCCATAGCCTTAGTGACTTCACTCTTAATGGAGGAGAAGGTACCCAACTTTTTACCAACCAAATTTTCAGAGACTGAATCACAAATGCTAACTGCAATTTCTTGAGCAACGTTCTTCTTCATGAGTGATTGTTTGAAATCTTCCATGACAGGATCAAGATCTTCCTTTGTAAGAGTTCTACCATTAGTCAAATTGGAGAAGAAGGTAGAGAAAATGTTACCCTTCTTTGGTTTTTCATCAATTTCCTCTTCTTCTTCACTGCTTGAATCATAAATATCGGCATCAATATCAGTCATTTGATTTGGATTTGGCATGTACTTTTCCTTGTGACGTTGAAGATCATCTTCTGGTGAGCCATTTTCATCACCAGTTTTTGTCTTCTTTGAAAAGTCAATATTTTCGGCCTTCTTCTTAGTGTAGGTGGTATCAAATTGATCCCAGTTGGTGGCAACCTTCTTTGGCTTTTCCTTCATTTGAACTGTTGGGATGGAATTTTCATCTTCAGGAGTGGATGGTTCTGTAACATTCTTCTTGGAACCCTTCTTTGCCATGTTGACTCCCTTGAATTTTCCGAAACGTTTCTTCATTTGTTCAATATTGGCCTTAACATTTTCATTCATTTCTGTGGCTGATTTTGGTGTTTGAGCTTCATCATCCTCCTCTTCCGAATCACTTTCTTCGATTTGGGTGGTGGTTGGTGTGGCTGCTTTCTTATCCTTCTTCTTTTCATATTTGGACATTTGTTTTGGTGAACTTGTTTGGAGCATTTCTTCACCTTTTTGAATTTGCTTTTCAATAAAGGTTGTCTTTTTCTTTTCCTCTTCATTATTTGTCGATTCATCCTTCTTTTCGTCGTCCTTCTTTCTATATTGTCTGATGAGCAAACCTTCCTTTTGCAATTGTTTTTCTTCTCGCGATCTTTCTTCAAGATTGTTCAAAATCTTTGTAAATTCCTTATCAAAGGAAAATTCGTGTTCACTGAGGACTGACATACCCTTTCCTTTTCCTTTAGCATCTTGAAGTACTTTCTTAAATGTTGAAGTGAATTTGTTTTTAATATTTTCCAAGAGAGTATCAATAAATGTAATTTGAATTGCAATTTGATGAACAACTACGAAAATAAGATCAAATTCATTTTCTTGAAGCCATGTCAGCAAATATTCATTTTGATAGTTAAATGTCTTATCGGAGAGACGATCTTCCAACAATACTGATCGAATTAATTCATTGATAGGATTTCCATTCAATGCAAATCCAGTAAAACTATAAAGTACCAATCCTCCTTTTGTAAGAATTGTAAAATTATCAATCATCTTCTATTTGTACAAGTTTTTTTCTGTTCAGGTTTAATAAATCACAACTCCGATAATACTACCAACAAGTAAAGTTTGTGGATGATGTGTTGTTGTTTTTTTTAAATAATTTAAAAATTGAAAAATTTGCAACTAACAAAATTTAAGGGTAAAATCGCAATGACATCATCATGGGTTTCAACAGCCAGCTTATGAAGATGTTCTTATAATAGTTTATTCGTGATGACAATCCAGCTGCTGTGATGAATTACGGAAGGTAGTACCGATAATCTAAATGACGTCTTGCTACTGGTAGGTTTGCCTTCTTTGATCGCTTTATTCATCAATACAATCCAAAAACAAATAATAATTCAATTTCATTATTGATTTAAAGCAAAATATAGAAACAAGCTTACACTCTATTCTTATCACATCCAACCCTACAATTTGTTCTTTTCAGAGTTGATGAATATTCCCAGAAAGCAAGCTAGAAAGGCTTTAGAAGAAATGATTCAATAAAATTTATTCAAAATTATTAATTTATTATTAAAAATTTGAAGAAGATAAAAAATGACCATCAAACCTTTGAATCTCCACGTTCACTTGAAACCAATTTCTTGGTTAAAATATAGCAGAGAAGGCGATTTGTTGTTCGCATCATCAAAAGACCAAAGTGTTTCAGTGTGGTATACTCACAATGGACAATTGCTTGGTACCTTTAAACATAGCGGTGCTGTCAATTGTATTGATGTTAATGCTGCTTGTACTAGATTGTTGTGTGCTTCCGCTGATATGAAGGTTACCTTGTGGGATGTTCAAACTGGTGCTCAATTATTATCTGTAGATTTTGCTACACCAACAAAGGTTGTTCAATTCAGTGAAGGTGATAAACAATTCCTTGCCGTTACCGACTCTTCATTCAAACAAACTCCATCCATTCAAATCTTTAAACTCCCAGAAGAAGGAACGGAATCTAGAAGTGGAAAATTAATTCCATCAAGAAAAATTGAACAAAAGGATAAAATTACATCTGCTGCTTGGGGACCTTTGAACAAGACCATTATTTGTGGATTTGATGATGGTACTATTAGAACATTCGATGCCGAGAGTGGTAAGCAATTAGGATCAACTAGAGAACACACTCATACTGTTGTTAGATTGTCATTCTCAAAGGATAGAATGCTTTTCATGTCTGCTTCTACCGATAAAACTGCTAAACTCTTTGAAAGTCAAACACTGGAACTCCTTAAGGTCTATAAACACTCTGATCCAGTCAACACTGCTGCCATTTCACCAATCAAACGCCACGTAATTTTGGGTGGTGGTACAGCTGCTCAAGATGTTACAACTACTGTTAAGAAGCAAACATATTTCGATACTCACTTTTTCCATCAAGTTTTTGAAGAAGAAATAGGAACTGTTAGAGGTCACTTTGGTCCAATCCACTTTTTGGCATTTTCACCAGATGGTAAATCATATGCCTCTGGAGGAGAAGACGGTTATGTGAGGTTATATCAATTGGATAGACAATATTTGAGCATGGAAGATACTCCAGAAGTTGGATTAGACGAGGAATAAATTAATTTATATTAATAATACTATTATAAATATTTATTTTTAATTTGTGAAATATTTCAATAATTTTAAGGCTAGAGATTATCATGAATCTTTCCTTTTTCATAACTTTTTGCACTCATTGAAACAATATTTAGAAGGAAACAATTTAAGCTCTCTTTAATAAATCCTTAATAGCTGGATCACTTTCACGCAGTCTGACAAATCTTCTGGCCATTGAAGTAATTTCCTCAACTGTCAAGTCTTGAGAACGTTGTGAAAGAACAGCATTGACACTATCCATATTCTTTGAACCACCCTCAACTGCACCTGCAGCAATATAAGCACATTGCTTGGGAGAAAAGTATGAACTCAAATTAGTATTCAATTGTTTACGTTTACCATTGAAAATAATTCTACAAAATTGTTCCAAATCCTCAAATTGAACGAGTGAATTATCAATGAGTGGTGTTGTCTTTGGTATCAATCTCATTACACTTGCATCCACTTTAGGAGCAGGTACGAAACTCTTGGCATTCACTACAAACATGTGTTCAACATCACACACACTCTGTGAAGAAACTGAAAGTCTACCAAATTCCTTTGTAGAATTTTTTGCACTCATTCTCAATCCAACCTCCTTTTGAAACATTAAAACCATCGGAATTTTCTTTCCAAATGCAAAAGCACCAGTTCCATTAGCACAATCCTTCAACCAATTAATCAATAATGGTGTTGCAATTCCGAAAGGTAAATTACCAATAAATACTACATTGGCCAATTCATCCGAATTCTTTAAAACCTTTTCATCCTTCTCCAAAAAGTGATCCACTAATTTAAATTGATCCACTTTTAATATATCTCCTTGAACAATATGCATTTTACCATCATCCACACTTTGTTGAAGATTTTGAAGAGCAGGCATAAATCGTTCATCCTTCTCAACAACAATTAATCGTTTAGGATTAGCCTGAAGAATCGATCGGGTTAAACAACCTGGTCCAGGTCCAATTTCAATCACAGTCTTATTAGAAATATCACCACATACTCGCACAATTTTATCCGTTACATGAAGATTTAATAAAAAGTTTTGTGAGAGTTGTTTACTGGCTTGAAGGCCATACATTTTGAGAATTTCTCGGAGTGATGGAAGTGGTGGAAGATTGGATAAGAGTTTATTGGACATTTTTTTTTTTGAATTTTTAAATTTTTATTCAAATTGTTGAAATTATTTAATTATTTGATTCATAAATTCATTAATTTGCATTCAACAAGTTTATAGATAAAAGGTCATTTCTGTTTTGTTTTCGAAATTGCTCAGAAATTTCCATTTTCATGAATAAAAAAGAGGTTGATAAAAATTCAGTCAATTAACTTTACTAACTTTGTAAAGTTGTTAATTGTTAACACATATCAACTTTGAAAAGTCTAACAAGAATAGGAAAGAGAGTAGACAGAGAGTGAATAGAGCACTAGTGGAACTCTTGAATGAATTGGCAGAGCTTATTACAGTTCCATTTCTATTGGAATTTCCTGAGCTTGTTGGATTTGTGGTTGAGTTGGATGAGGAACTTCCACTATTGGTTGATGAAGTCTTTGGTACGACTGTTGAGGTGGTAGGTTTTACAGTGGAAGTGGTAGGAGTAATGACTGTTCCATTATTTGAGCTAGTTCCATTATTGGTGTTGGTGTTATTTCCATTGCTTGGATTAATGACAGTTCCATTATTGGTATTTGTGTTATTTCCAGAACTACTTCCTCCATTTGATGAGGATGATGCAGAAGTGGCGCTTGTTCCCACTGTAAAATTCATTGACACTTTGGCATTTCCGTTTATAGTAACAGTTATGGAAGAATCCAATGGACACCCTGGAGACAAACTCTTTACAAAGACAGAACTAGACCATGCGGAGGTAGCCAACAATGAACTAATTCCAGAACATGTAAAGGTAACATTTTGAATGGTTGAATATGGAAGGACACTAATCTGAGCCCAATAAGCATTAGAATTTGAATTAATGGTAACAGTATAGACAGTATCAGCTTGGACACAATTAGGTGTTTGATTATTGACAAATAATTGCCTTGCTCTTGTCAATCCAGTGTTCAAGACAGTAACTGAGGAAGGTGAAGTTGTGTAAGTGAACATGCCTTCGTTATTGATACCCATGGCACGTTCAGAGAGGGATGGACCAGAGTTACGTAGGATGAATCCTCTGAAACCTCCTTTATATAAACAATCAAGATTCTGTTCATTGAAATTTTTTTGAAAATCAATTTTGATTACAATGTGAAAAAAATTGTAAACTTACCTTCACAAGAATATTCAAAATTGTTGCTTGTCCACTTTCTCCCCAACCACATGAAGTCACTCCAGAGTCAGCAATAATCCATTCCATTGGTGAAACTGTTCCCCAAGCATCATTCATCTTTTGCAAATCAGAAGTAATGGTATCGTCCAATAAAACAAGAGCATCACTCAATGAATTTGCTCCACTTGTCCAATAACTACCATCATATTTCAAAGAACATGTTGTGTTTCCAATATTGACAATATGTGTCAAAATGGCACGAGCATTCAACGTAGCATCAATTGAAGAAAAGAAAGTATAACTACTGGTTGACTTCCATAATCCAGGAGAGCTCACAACGATAGTATTAGGAGCATAGGTTCTGAACATGTTGACTCTATCTTTCAAACATTGAGTTCCTTCAGCTGTTTGGAAAAGTGTCAAAACTTCTTCGACATCCCATTCAGTTTCCAAGTTGACAAAGGCAAAATTTGATCCAAGGGCAATGGCAACTTGTTTATCAAATTCAACGGAGAGATTGTAATTCCCACGAAGTCCATTATCACCAAAACTGTAAGATTGGCTGTGTTAAATAGTTAATAAACTTGTAAAGTGTATTGAATTAAATACTTACATGTATGGAATGGAACCTGAAGAGATAATGTTGGCAATACTTGTTTTTACTCCTGCAATATCATCATAGGCAGCGTAACCTACCCATAAAGTGACAATTGGTTTCGAACTGCCATCCTAAATATTTCCAATAATATTTGTGAGCGAATGAAAAAATCATCTTACCTTGAAAAAGACTGTTGCATCACCTGTGGTAGTGTTTGGCCACAAGAAATAGGATTGCTTTGGAGTAACGAGTGAAGAAACTCCTTGCGTGTTAAACGAAACAATTACCGAGAGGATTAGAAAGAGAACGAAAACAGCTGTGGTGTGCATTTTTTTTGATGAGTAAGCTTTTGAAAGGATGAATAGTCGGGACGTTCAGTCACAAATCAAAAGATTGTTCGATTCATTTGTTCCAATATATTTAATTGACTTTCCTTTTATGTAATTTATGGTATTAATAAATGCTAAAATTGTCAATCAATATTTTCTTAAACATCATGTCTCCATGTGTGTTTAAGAAAAAATATGATACCGACAATGGGGCTCGAACCCACGACCCCAGGATTAGAAGTCCTGTGCTCTATCCAACTGAGCTATGACGGCGTTACATCTACTTATATTAAGGCACGAGGCTCACACAACAATAAAGTTAAGGGTATGATCTTCCTTCCGTTTTTGGGTTTTCGATTTTACTTCTAATAATTTTATTAAGAACCTTTCATTCTCATAAAAATTGGATTACTGTTGCTTCACTATTAAGGTGGTGCAGCGACTGAGCCTGCAATATCTAAACATTATGTAGCAAGCATTTGAGAAACTGTACCAAGCCATGGCTTTATTCTAATTATTTCTTGATAGAGTGTGTAAAATTGCAAATTAATAAATGCATGAAACATTTAAGAATGAAGCCTTAAATAATTGTATTCTTCAACTCCAGATAAAGAATTGGGTGGAAGGAAAATACTTATTTCTTTAATTGTTATTTTTAGAAAAGGTAAAATGATTCTCCCATGCCGGGAATTGAACCCGGACCTCCTGGGTGAAAGCCAGGTATCCTAGCCATTGGACTACACGGGAATCTTATTCATCATGAAAATATTCCTTTCATAAAACTAAGAAGGGGCTTCTCTGCGTAAACTCTTGCACATCGGTTCTTCAGTTTGGTTCCACTAACTTGAAAAGTTATTGATCTAAATATCTTTAATATGTGGATTCCTCTGTAAATACAACAATTTCTGTTCCAATTGATTTAATTCCCTCAATTCACCATTCACTGTCTTGAATGAAAATGCCCTATGTCCCACAATATTTCTACAATTGGCAATGTCACACAAATTCACATCAGGTTCAGGTGTTTTCGAGGCAAACATCAAAACCCAAACATGTTCCATAATTCTACTCGACCAATAATTTTCCTCCTCTCCAGATTGTAACCATTCATATAATCTCAGATAGAAACTCTTTGGATGTCTCCTAATTCGTTTTCCTTTCACATGAAATGAGGCACAACACCAATCCTTAATGAGAGGAGGCATTTGACCGAGTGTGTCCTCAAAAAGACGTGGCCAATACTTGGACACAGCCAAATAATCACTACTGGTCGAATTGAGAACCTGAAAATAAGCTGGATTCAACGAAACATAATCAAACTTTCCCCAATGTAAATTTTCCAAAATTGTGACCATATCTCGACAGTGCCATGCAATCCTATGGCCATGGACAAAGACAATATTTTCAGGTAGAGTTTCATAATGGTCAATGATGTATTTCAGATAGGTGGATCCTTCGTGTCCTCTATTCGAATGGACAATGTATGGCGCCTGTGGATTTAATCGATCGTAGACTGCATGTGGAATGTGTGGAAGGTAGGTATCGAGCCATGAAACATCTTCCGTATATTTGGAAACGACAATCATTCGTGTGCGATCGATAGGATAGAATTTCCGAAAGAATGAATATCCATTCGAATGTGATATGAACAGGAAACAGCAAAAAAGAATGCTGAAAATTCCAAAAGCTGTGATGGCAATGATTATCTTTGCTTGGTGTCGTTTTAACATTTTTTTAACAACTTGAGCGACCGAATTGACTGCGAATCACTAAAAATAAAGTAGTAGTATTAAACAACTCTTAAAGAGATAATAATTGTCCATCAAAAGTCAAATGACAACAGCTTTACAATGAGAATGTACTTGTTGAATAATGATCACAAAATAATGTGAACTTTATCAGTTTCAAAGTCACATGCATACATTTCATTTAAAAGTGGATTGAAACAAATTCCTTGCAGACCTACATCCATTGTAATTTTGTCTTGACTAGTAATTTGACTCTTTCTAAGGAATTTGAAATCAACCAAATCAAAGAGGAGAATTCTACCTTTAGAATCACTGATTGCCAAGTATTTTTCATTAATGACCTTGATATCACGACAGGTGGCACCTTTGCATTTAAATTGATGAATTTTGAAATTATTCCACTTGCTATTTTCCCATTTAAATTGATGAATATGGCAAATATCATTAGTAGTCTCCACAAGCCATAAATTACCTTTGTAAAACTCAATGCCATGAATGGGTCTTCTCATTTCGTATTGTAGAGAGCTATCGAATATATGAAATCTTGTCACTACTTTTCCATTTCCTGCATTTAACATGTAACAATAAGTCCAATCTGAAACAAACAAAGATCCACTCTTTGCATTCCTCCTCGAAAAGGCAATTCCACTCATTCTACACAATTGAGAATTGCTCCATTCGAAACCACTCCTCCACAATTGATCATTGAAATGAAACAATATCTTCTCCAAATCATACTTTCTAATCTGAGTAGTAATGAACTGTGTCGTAACAATCAAATAATCCTTTGATTTTCCACAATCAGAAGCACAATAATCAACACACAAACTTCCAAAATCTTTTCCCGCCACAAATTTCATCAAACTTGCATTCTTATGATTGAGAAAATAGAGTCCATTCTCATCGGAAATGATGAGACATTGAAATTGAGGAGAGAATTTTACATCGACTGGTTTTTTAAATTTTAATTCCGTATTCTTAAGTTGAATACCATTTAATTAATATATTATTATAAATATTTATATTAAATATTAAATTTTTAAATTATAGTTAAATATAATTAAATAATTACATTGAGATTAAAATCATTAATTGATGATGATCGCTTTGTAGAAAATGGACAGATGAAACTCTTCGGAATTAACTTGAGATCAAATCGGAACATGAGTTTTCGGGTGAGCATATTTTCCAGAGTGAAATCATAATGATGATCACGATCAGTAAAATCACTCAACAGCAAACGAACGGCCATTCTTTAAGTTGTGGAGATAATTTTTTACATATTTGAATGTATTCAATAATAATAAGTTTTTGTAATAAATGTTTAATAATATTGAATGGTTATTTACTGTTGACCAACTATGAGTGTCCATATTATTGTCAGGAGAACAATAAATCCGCCCATAATTTGAATTCCGAATTGAAACCACAAGCCAGGAAGCTTTTTCCTTTGAGCTTCAGTTGCAGCACTTGTTCCTTGCATATCAGTGTGCTCATTTGGTGATTCTGGAATTGGGGTAGCTGCCTTAATCCATTCAACACTTGAGTGTGTCCATTCTGGAGTGTGGACAAGCACATGATTTGGTGCTAACTCTATTGGATTCTTAGAAAGTTCAGTAAATGCATTATTCGATTCCTGTGTCAGAAAAGTAACTTGTCCAGGTCTGGCTGTTACATAAAACCTCAGACCAACCAAAATGGTGGTGTAAATCAAATCTAAAAGGATGCTTCCTAATAGAAAATGTAAGAAACCATTCTTCTTTTTGTAAACTGCCAAAATTATTAGAAATCCAATGACAATTTTGGGAGTGAAAATGATCATGGTTTTCCAATCGTATAGAATGAATGAAATACCAATCATGCCACTCATTACAATTTGACAAATAATGTGGAAAATTAATAAGGCAGCTTTGACAAATGACTTGATATTCGATTGACCATTCTTTCCACTAGTAGAATCTGAGGAAATATCAAAAGAACCCAACAATCCTTGTGAATCATCAAATTGTTGCTGATTTGTTTCACTATAAACTACTTGAATTGGATTTTCATTAGCTTGATTTGTTGAGGAATTATTCGAAACTAGAGTTTGATGATTATTAGATGGAATGATAACAGTTGAAATACTATTAACTTGCGGAGAATTTGTAAGTGAAGGAACATTAGAAGGCTATTATTAGGGGAAGGCGAAACTAATTGTAATCTAGAGCTCGACGATGAGGAATTTTGAGGAGCATGTGACGAAACTTGACGATTTTCCATTCTTTCTTGTTCTTGTTGGTAAACTCTTAATGGGCGCAATTTAAAATTCGAAATCATTTGTTGGATACTCTCGCTTTCTTGTTGAATTGGTTGAACTAAAGTAGACGAAACGTTACTTTCCACACCTATCGAAGAATTTCCATGTTGTTGATAGAGCGGTGTTATTGTTTGTAAAGAATTGTTATTAATACTATCATCTTGTGAAGCCGTTACTAATTCAATGTTTTGTTGTTTTGTTGGGCACTAACATGTTATTCGAAACGTTTCCAATATTATTATTGTTGAAATATGTTGTAATAGCTGAGGCAGCTGCTACTGATGAAGAATTATTGAAATTATTCTTCGTTTCGTCTATTGTTGGCGTATTAATGATGGCAACCATAACTAAACACTAAACGAAACTAGATAGGTTGTGCGTAGTTAAGAAGTTTCTTTTTTTTAAAGTTGGTATTTAGAAGTGGACTGACAAGCGTTGTTTTTTCACCTTTCGAACTGAAGGTCGAACTCGAGAGTTTCCAACATTGAACATAAAAACATTGCCCGAAACTCTAGCCGAAAGATGTTTAAACATTGTTTGGATCTGTAGAATCATATCTTGCAGTGTTTAGTTTGTTTAAGAGGCTCAATACCCAATATTTTACATGAATTATTGCGAAAGACCATTCGAAAGCGCAATTATTCCAATTTCAATTCCTCTTCCAAGTGAAAACTATAAAAATGAAGAATTTATTACAGAGATATGTTGGAGCTCAGATGAAATGGATATTTTGCGGATTTTTAACATAGTCACTGAAAGAACCTCAACACGAAAGTTGTTAAGTTTATACAAAATATAAGCTTTCGAATAGATTTGATTTTGATATTTTTCTATTGAGGTGAAAAGACAGAAAGGTAATGAATTGGAACACAAATTTCCTTGATTGTGTCAATTTCATAACCAAAATATTGTAAGTTTGTATATGTCCCACATTGCCTTATAAAGACAAATTAAACTCCTCATCATTACAGCTCTGTCACTCCTACCTATTGTAAACCACAACAAGATTCTTACAACAATTCTTTATTATCATGCAAATTCAACACAATTAAAAGCAAAACATCAGAACGACCCATAAAATCAACAAAATTCCAGAAATTTTCATTCCAACGCAAACACTCGAAGCAACTCCACGTGGATTGGAATTTCCTCCAATCACTCCTTTCGATTTTTGAGGAAGAATTGAGGAGCTACTTGTGAGAGGGTAGGCTGGTTGTTTGGAAATGGTTGGTTCAATACGAGATTGACATTGGGCTCCAGTATATCCTGGCTTGCATTGGCAGGTATTGGTCGAAATGCATGAACCATTTCCTGAGCAGATATTGTTGCTGTCAGCAATCAAACCAAAACATGAAGGGAGACAGAAAGTGTTGGTGCTGTCTGGAGAATAGTTTGGTTGGGTGCAAGTGAGTTTGGATAGCTTGTAGATCTTGCCATTGTCATAACCATTTCCAATGCCAATAATCAAATCACCATTTGACATGATGTGAATTTGATCTGTGAAAACTGAGGCAGTTGTGGCATCTGAGAGGTAATTTTGAGTTAGAGGAACATATCTATCATCTCCAACTCCAGCAATATGAGCAATTGTTCCTTTCACTGTTAATTTCTTAATTCCATTGTAATCTGAAATGAACAATTCTCCATCTTTCGAAAGTGAGATTGATTTTGGAAATTTCAATTGAGCAGTTAGAGGTCTATTAAATCCCTCACCACCATTACCTTCTGTGCCATTGCCTACAATTGTTGTAATGATACCTTTAGTATCAATCTTTCGAATAACATGGTTTCCCCAATCGGCAATGAATACCTCACCATTTGGTGCAATAGCAACATCTGATGGGCTGGAAAGAACTGAACTAATTGCTAGACCATTGTCTCCACTGTATCCCTGACTTCCAATAGTACCAGCAATTGTAATAATTGTTCCATTTTTGAAAACCTTTCGAATAACATTATTGGAAGTGTCTGCAATAACAATTTCATCACTGGAAGAAACTTTGACTGAATTAGGTGCATTCAATTTGGCTAATTTAGCATTACCACCATCTCCACTGTATCCCCCAACACCAGTTCCAGCAACATTCGTTATACTGCCATTGGTCGAAACTAAACGAATGAGATTGGAGAAATAATCAGCAACATAAACATCACCATTTGGTTGACATTGAATAAGACTTGGCATATGAAGAGAAACAGAGAGCGCTTGCCCATTTTCAACTCCAGCAGAATTATTGGCACTTCCAATACCTGCTATTTTTGTAATTATTCTATTCTTGGCAATCTTTCGAATAGTATCTCCATAAGCTTCTGAAAAAATAATATCACCTGTATTCTCATTCACACAAATACCTTTAGGATAGAGTATAAAACTCAAATCTACATTAACACCATCACCAGTGAATGGAAGTTTTTGTGTGAGGGATGAAATGATTCCACTCTTACTGATCTTTCTAATAGAATTTACCAAATCTCCAAATACCAACTCATCATTGATCCATACAAATCCTTGTACCATGGAAATCAATGCGTTTTTAGAATCTCCTCCATCTCCACTGAATCCAGAACCCACCAATTCATTACCAGCAATTGTTGAAATATTTCCATTGGAAACCTTTCTAATAACATTATTATCTGCATCACTAATGAATATTTCATTAGTTTTTGAGACAATAACATTGATTGGATTTTTCATCTTTGCCAATTTAGCATCACCTCCATCTCCAGAATAACCTGATGTGGTATCACCTGCAATGGTTGTAATAATTCCACTCGAATTAATTCTTCTCACCACATTATTATCAGAATCTGCAATGTACAAATCACCATTTGGACCAAAATTCAATCCTCTTGGATTACTCAACTTGGCATTCTTTGCCAAACCACCATCTCCTGCAAATCCTTGACTTGTTCCAGCAAATTTTGTAATTATTCCTGAAGAGATGGAAACCTTTCTGATTAAACCATTTCCAGAATCTGAAATGTAAACATCACCATTTGAATCAACTGCTACACCACTTGGTTGATTCAATTGAGCATTAATAGCCAAGCCACCTTCACCTGTATTTCCAGAATTTCCATTTCCAGCAAAATCTGAAAAGATTTCGGTTCCATTTGGAAGAAAGTCCATTCTTTGAACCTTATTTGAGAGTGGGAAGCATACGTAGAGAGTTGTTTCATTAGGAGAGAAAGCAAGCAAACCAGGATTTTCAACATTTGCAAATATATAAGTCATGCCAGTTGTCAAGTCAAGTTTTCTCATCAAATTACCTTCAGAAAGATAAATAGTGTTCCTCTTTTGAGAATATGCCAATCCCACAGGTCTTGTCATTACAATACTGTAAGGAACGCCTGTTCCTCTCTTATCACCATTTCCAGTAACAAGTGTGAGATTGTAACGAATAGAAAAATTTGGATTTTCAGAGGTTTCGTATTGCTCTGCTTTAACATGCAATAAGAAACCCAATAAACAGATGCAGTAAAAAAGCACAACTGTTACACAAGATTTGTTCATTTTTTAATATTTGTCTAAATCTTGTAAAATGAAAACACAACATAGTCAACTAGACCATTCATCAACATTCAAATTTTAAACTAGAATCCATTACTGATAGATGAAGACTTTACTTCCAGTGCGTGAATATTGAACGATTCAAACATTCTACTGTGGTTTGTCCATATACTTATTTGGAAAAAAGCATTCGTTCAATGTGACACTACCACCATACAGTAAGCTTTCCATTTCATCGGATATACTAATCCGGTAGAGAAAATGGAAAGACACATTTCAAAAAAAAACATGCAAACCAATCAGATTCACAAAGTCTGCTGTCATATTGCGATTCTCTTGTTTCTCCTTTGTGCAGTAGTGAATGCACAACTGACAGCTATCAAGTACAATGTTTCAGTTGTGGTTGCTGGTGAGAAGGAGGGAAGTAATATACCATCCTCTTTCGTATTCTCTCGTCCCAACATGTTTGCCATCTCTGCCTCGAGTAATATTCTCTACATGACTGAGGATAGCATGACCAAGATTAGAATGTTGGATACTGTGAGTGGAATTACAACTTTAACGAAGGATTTGGAGTTTCAACCAGGAGGTGTTGCTCTCTATCCAAATTCCAATGATTTGCTCATTAGTGATCCAGTAGGAGGTGTCATTGTTAGATTAAATTCGAAGGGAATTCAAACAATTGTGGCAGGAATGAAGGGTGACTTGGGTTACAGTGGAGACAATGGTTTGGCAACTCGTGCAAGATTGAATACTCCAACTGGTGTTGCAGTAGCATCGAATGGTGAAGTTTATATTGCTGATAAATCAAATCATGTGATTAGAAAGATTTCTCTAAATGGTAATATTTCAACAATAGCTGGAAATGGTGAAGAAGGATTTTCTGGTGATGGCGGAAATGCCAAAACAGCACAATTGAATAGTCCAATTGGTTTGTCAATTAGTTCAACTGGTGAATTGTATATTGCCGATTCAAAGAATCACGTTATTCGAAAGATTGATGCAAATGGAATAATTTCCACTTTTGCTGGAAATGGAACCATAAATGGTTATGGAGGAGATGGTTCTCAAGCAAAGCAAGCTCTACTGAACACACCTTATGGTGTTTTCTTTTATGAATCCACTGGTGAGGTCTATATTGCTGATACTTTGAATTCCCTTATTCGAAAGGTTTCGAAAAGTGGAATTATTTCAACAGTTGCTGGAGTCCCAAATAGTAGTGGTTATAGCAGAGAAGATGAAAACGTTCCTGCAACTTCAGCCCTTCTTTCTGCTCCAACCAGTGTTGCTCTATCAAGCTTGGGCGAAATGTTTATTGCAGATAATGGAAACTTGTATATTCGAAAGGTTGACACTAAAGGAAATAGTATCACTCTCACCCTCAAACCAGACTTTACTGGAGATGTTAAAAAGTTTACAGGAGATGGCTACAACAGCCAACAAGCCTTTGTCTACTATCCTAAACATGCCTGCACAAACATTCTAGACGAAACTTTCATAGCCGAAAGTGCCTATCACAAAATCAGAAAAATCTCCCCAAATGGTATTATCTCACAATACGCCGGCACAGGTGACCATGGCTATAGTGGTGATGGATCAGATGCCAAGTTGGCCAAGTTCAACGAACCAACCAGAATTGCATGTTCCAAAAATGGTGATATTTTCATTGCAGATTTGTTTAATGGAGCAATTAGAAGGATTTTTGCATCGAATGGAACTGTTGATACAGTTGTGAGTGGTTTGGGTTCTCCTCAAGCTGTAATTTTGACAGAGAGTGGTGAGTTGTTGGTGGCTGATAGATCGAGTCATGTTATTCGAAAGATTTCTACAAATGGAGTGATGAGTATCATTGCTGGAGTGTTGGAAGATGGTGGGTTCAATGGTGATGGATTGGCAACAAAGACAAAGTTCAGTGGTCCACAAGATATCGCACTGGCTCCAAATGGTGATTTGTATATTGCTGATTATGATAATTATCTCATTAGAAAGCTCTCTAAGAATGGTAATATTACAACAGTGGCAGGTAATGGAGACAGCACTGTTGGTGAAGATTTTGGAATTGCTACAAGTACTGGAATTGGATATCCTTCATCGGTTGCTGTTTCAAAAGAGGGAGAAGTTTTCTTCTCAGATGGAAACAATATTCGAAAGATTACTTCAAAGGGAATTCTGGTAACAATCTTTGGAAGCAAAAACAGTAGCATTCCTGAATCATATTCTGATGCAACAACCATTTTTATGAGTGCTACAGGTCTTTCATTTACTCCAAAAGGAGATTTGTTAGTTTCAGGTGGTTTCTCCAATCGTATTCTCAAGATTTCCAAACAAGCTTGTCCAGCCAACTCTCTCACCGATGAAACCAACACTTTTTGTCTTCCACTCTGTTTTGGAACTCTTTACAATGATCCATTAGCATGTTCCGGAAATGGAAATTGCACTTCCATCAATACTTGTTCATGTAAGAGTGGATTTGGAGGTGAGAGATGTGGAGATAGAGTTTTACCTCAACCTTCAACTTTTAGCTCAAAGAGAGGAGTCAATTCAATGGTTCTTGGATCAGCATTGAGTATTTACAATGGATTTACAAATATGGCAATGACAATTGGCATGATTGTTATTTATTTTATATTAATATTACAATAAATATGCATTCTATTCAATAAATTCTTCTTTAATTTCCACAAATTTGTCTCCCTTAATCAATGAAAAACTTTACCGCCAAAATTAATATGCCATATTAAATGCTTGCAAATCTACCTTGAAGAAATTCTTCATGAAATTTTCTCCTACCTTGATTACGTGGGTTAGTTGTGTCGTTACAAGAAGTTAAAGATTTCTCGATTTCAGAAGATTTATTAAGGAACTCGTTGAAAATACTTTATTCCATACACGACTTGTATCCAAAATTGAAAACATTTACCATTAATCTCCATTCTGTGGAGTGTATTCAAATGATCCAACAGTGTTCGTTTGTTGATGTGAATATTTCAAATAATTTCATTGAGGAGTTGGTTAAAACCATTTATTTTGATCCAAAATTGAAAGATAAGATTGTTAGGAAGTATAAATTCCAATGTATTTAGCCTTTAAATTCAATTTATACTTTGCATTGATCTTTGCTGTCAATCCATCGCCTACTTTCTTATAGAGACGAGACCAAATATCCTCATCTACTGGAAGAATATGAGTACAATAGATAATTTCTGTCATTGTGGATGGGAATGGATTAGATGGATAGTTGACTTTACCTAAACATGTTGGAACACTGAATGGATGATTGTTACTGACATAGGAAGAGAAGCTTGTGTCTTGAGCTAACTCGTTCATGGCAGAATCAATGGTTTGAATAAACTGTGATGTTCCAGTAAAGTTGGCATTTGACTGGGCAGCGGTTGGATTATAATTGAACAGTAACAGACATATAATAATAAATGTCAGTGCCATCAAAAACTGACATTTTGTTTGTAAATGGATTAATGACAGGTTTTAAAGGCACTTTCAGGTTCTTAAACAGTCATGTAGCACAAAAGTCAAGAACCGTAATCCACCTCATTACCTTCAACTGAAAAGTTTACAACTTTTTAGTTTTTTGTAAACCCTCAACTGTTCACAACAAAATGATATTGACTTTAAATTTTACCTTATTTGTACAATAGTCTGCGAAATCCATAAAAAAAACTCCGTTTTCAGTAGAAGATCCACAAAAAAAAATGTCGAAACAATGTTCTCCCGTTACTCTCGATGATCCACTCTCTAAAAATTTGAAATCCTTCCCAAATAATAATCCTATTGAAGATGATCATGATGAAGGAGAAGAATTAATGATGATAAGAGAAGAAAAGAATAATCGTATTAATAACACTTCTGCAACAGAGCAGAGTAGTAGTATATTGTTGGATGAGGAATCTGATGAAGAAAATTCGCTGTTAAAGGAAGGAGCAACTACTAGTAGTAATCAACGTTCTTGTTCTTCTTTTAAGAATCAATCTTGTTCGGATTCCAATAAGAAGGATATGGTACAATTACACACTCAAATACCTGCTTATTATTTAAGGATTGGAAAACATATGATTGTGTTTATTGGTATCATGATTTTGTGTGCCATTTCATCGGGATTTGTTTTTAGAGAATTGACAAAGAATAGTGTTCCATTTAGTAAGGTTGGAGATTATGCCTATCAACAGGGATCATTAATTCATGGCCATTTCTTCTCATTGGGTGTTTTTGTTCCTCTCACACTTGTTGTCTTGCTCTTTTTGAGTTATGTCATGACTGGTGAGAAGGTGAGCAGTGGAATGTTTCATGTTGGATTTATTATTTATGAAATTGGAGCTGTTCTTGCATTGGCTGCTTTTTGTTATAAGGCAGGATCATTCTTGTCTTTTATTAAGAGAAATCCAAAAGCTAATATTCATGAATTTGAGCTGTATACTTGGGGAGGCACTTCAAGTTATGGAGGAAAGAATGATGGAACTGGTGACATGTCAATGAAAATGATTAGAATGTTGTACTTTGCAATTTCACATGGTTTCATGTTGATTGGTTTGTTCAAGTGTGTCATTATCATATTTATTTCAATTTTCAGAAAAAAGAAATTGTAAAATAGTGTAAATTACAAAGAAATGTTAAATTATTAAATGCTTTGCATGGATTGAATTGATTTGGAAATATGCCATCTTTTAAACTCGCCAGTCATTCTCAATCTTTCAAATGTATCTTTCATATTCATCAATAGATCAAATTCAATAATGGCTTTCAAATCATTGATTGAAATGCCCTTCTTGGACTGAAAAATGGCTTCAATATCCCTCCTTGTTTTATATGAAAAGTTAACTTCATAAATAGCGTAGGGCCTAAAGAATGAATCATAAAGATCTTCAATCTCTCTAGGTGGGATGGCTTCTCCACCAATAGAAGAGCTTTCCAATTGTTTAAATCTTTCAAAGAGTAGGGAATTCTCGAGTGAAAACTCCTTTTCACTAAATGATTTAAACATTTCAAAGAAGGCATCAATCTTTACAAGCTCTTCGATAGATTCATCGCCTGATTCACTCCTCTTATCTGGAGAAACACTGGAATTATTGGTTGAGCGGCCTCTCTTCCTTCTTCTAAAGAAATTAATCCACTCCATAATAATTGCTGTCCAGCCACACAGGAAATAAACTGACATAAAGGTTATTGATCTAAAAAGTGTCTGAATCATGTATGACTCCGTAGTTCTATAGAAAGCATTAAAAAAGAGTATTGCCAAAATGCATAAAATAACACAAACATAAGTCAATATATCCAATCGAACATGATAAGGATCCTCGAATGTTAGAAAGTGTATTATGCCTTTTGCTTTGATCTTTCTCCAATTTACAATAATATCTATACCAAAAACTATTATTCCACAGAGGCAAGAAGCACATGACAAGACCATAAATGTGCTTGTAAAAACAACCTCTGATCCATACGAAAATAGTTGTTCTCTTGTAAAATGGTAAGTAGTAACATAAATAATAGAAATTGTTGCAAAGACACATCCACAAACAAGTGAAGATACAATTCCAAATCCAGTTGATGATAAAAATCGATTCAACTTGATAAATCTCTCAGGAATGTTTTTCAATATGCAATACAAATTTCTTAAATAGTAGAATCTCATTAGTGTAACGCCATACACACCCACTAACAATGCTATGCTTGCTAGTAAGAATACCATTCTCATTGAATGGCATACACGGTCAGTATATCTAGAGTAGAAACCTGCATTGAACATGACAAGAACTGGAATCAAGTAAGGCGTCAATAATCTTCTCTTGATAGTATTGGTTTTACAAACTGTAAGTAAGCTCAAATAATATAAAGCTCCAACAACAATCACAACATAATTAATTGCCTCGGTACCTAAAAGGTAATTATAATAGGAAATATCACCACAAACAGAATGAAAAGACGCTTCTGGAAGAAAACAGAAAACATTATTGAGGGGAATCAAAGTTCCATTAAATTTCGCACTGAATTGAAAAGTTTCATTCTTTTGATAGTATCTTAAAGGACCAGTTTGAAAGTAGAAATTTAAAAAATCTTGATCATTCTTAGAAAGAAATCCTCCATTTCCATACAGGTACTGTAGCTGATAGACATTACTATCAAAATAATCACTTTTCTTTGTGTTTGTTAACATGTTGTTAATGAAATAATCCATTTTTAGAGTGATAGAAAAGTCACTAATGCCTCTATCAATATATTTGACTAGAGTTGGTACAGTTAGCTCTCTAATCATTTGGTAATCACTCCATCGACCTATTTCTTTTTTTGTAAAGCTTGTTGAGGTGTAGAGGATGATAAATTGTAACCTCTCTAAATCTGTTACTAGAACATCATAATAATTCATGGGATCTCCCCATACACAATCATTAGAAAGATAATCCAATTGATGAACCAATTGAGGACTAATTGTTACATTATTCCTCTGTGAGTAATACTGTAGAGCAGCATCATACATTTCAAAATTCTCATGAGAAATTACAGCTATTTTCCTATCATTCAGATCAATAGCTCTTGTAATGTTCTTCTCCTTTAGGGTGAAGAATAGCAAATGGCCAGTTCCATACAGTAATTTGATAGAGGACAGGAAGGAAGCATCTTGTTTCTGATACGTGTTTTTAATAGTTGATAAATAAACGGATGAGCTAATACTCCTATCATTGTTTTGTCTTGTTCTTCTTAAATGAAATTCATTGGTTGGAAATTGTTCATCTAAATGATGCCAGACATTACTTCCTGAAGCATGATTAAATAATAGGATGAGGCTTGTTATGATGATAGCTTGCTGAATGGCAAATAGGTTCATGATGTTATTTGCGTAATTTATTTGAGTGAGACGACGTGCTATCAATGGTTATCATTATATCTCGACAATTGGACATTAGTGTTTAGCTCTAATCCGTAGTTGGATGTTTTTACTATAAGATAACGGTTCCTGAAGGTTGGTTCCTATATAGAATTGATGAGTTTATAATATTCAAAGCCTTTGTTCCAACAAAATTATATTAACGCGTCAACAAGAGAAGTAAAATAGTAGAGGGTTCTTAGTCAATGTAAAACTACACAATTAGGTTAAATAATAATTAGTAGGAATTATTGTTCGTTCTTCATTATGAAGATATTTCTAATTCTTGAGAATAACCATTCAAAATAATGATGATATTCTCCGAAAATTAGAATTATTAATAATATGCTTTCATAATAAATCTCCCAACGAATATCTTCATCATTGGAGAGAAGTTAATGATCCTTTTGATGATGATAAGGCTCATGATTGCTCTACAACAATAAGACAATTTTTTTCATCAGCTGGTGATTCTCTGCTTAAAACTTTCGTTGTAAAATATTGGCATCTTGGTTAACTCTCTAAAATTTTGTTGAAAAAAAAATTCTTAACTACTCCACATAAACAGTACGTATCATTTTAAACAACTTGGTAATTTACCTCTGACAAAACAATTCACCATCATGATTCAACCAACATAACAACTTGTTCTTTACCATCAATATCTAGTGGGCTACGAAAATATCTGGTTCACTCACCCAAAGAATAACTCAAAGGGTGCTAGAAGATGCAAGGTTTGCGGTAACAGAAAGGGTATGATCAGAAAGTACGGTCTTAACATTTGCAGACAATGCTTCAGAGAAAACGCTGCTCTCATTGGTTTCACCAAGACTAAGTAAGCCAATATTCGTTCTTACTAAAATAAAAAACTTTTATTAAAGTACTTGTTGCACAAAGCTTTGAGAAGAATAGTACTTTTTAGCTCTTCCTCCTGGGAATTGATACTCTACATCATAACCTTCTCTTGTTGGTGTTGTGATGACTTGATGACCACCATAACCTGACGATGGAATGGCTCCACTCTTGATAAAGTTGTTATTGCTTCCGTATGGGAAAGCTGCTGCACCATTAAATCCAGTATTGTAGCCAAAACCTGTTCCGTAGGTTGTTGCTGGATTGTAATTGTTCCAACCTGCTGCTCCATAAGTTGCCGCTGGATTGTTCCATGCATAATTGTTATTCATCCACATATTTGGAAAACCAGTTGTTGCAGCTCCAGGAAATTGGAAATTATTGTTGAACATGTTATTGAATGGTTGTTGGAAGAAGCATAGTGTCATGTCCATCATCAGTACCGAAAGGCAGGCAATTATTAAGACGCTAGTAAGCAAACGTTTCATCTTGTTCTTGTTGAGTGTTTTGTTTCTAAAATATATTAGAGAATAATAAGGTCAATCCTTGATGGAATTAATACTCAATCACTTCAATCTCCTCATAAGGAATGTTGAGAGAATTGTCTATTTTTCTTTTATGATCATTTCCTTCTTTAATGATAATTCCTTTCCTTGGTTGACTTGAATTTGAATCTTCAGATTCCGATAAGATAATTCCTTTCCTTACTATTTGCAATTAGATTCCGATAGTTTTTAATTTTGAATGGTTTAATATTTGAAATTAAAATTACACAAATTTAATCAATTAACATGTCCAAATACCTTAACACATTTTCTTTCCGAATCCACAATGAGTAATTCTCCACTTCTTTCATCAATGCAGATTCCTCTCGGATTATTAATGACTCCTCTCACTTCCTTGATAAATATTCCATTCACATTGAATATTCTAATGATATTCGAATCTCTATCACATATTATTACATTCTGAGTGGTCTTGTCAACTACAATTCCACAACATTTGGTCTTGACATTTCTTGAATTTGATTCAGATGAGAATTGATGAAGAGAAACCCATCCGTCTGAATCCATCTCTTCCCTTTCTGCAATATCCATATAATCGTACACATTCGAAACATATCTAATCAATTGAACTCTATTCGAAAATTCAGAAAGAACCAAATCTCCATACGAATTCACATCAATCATCCACGGAGTTTGTAATCCAATTCCAGGAATCAATGTAATTGAAGAAATCAAATTTCCATACTTTGAACCCAACACTTGAATTCTATTATTATTAAAATCACAAACCATTACAAGATTTTCATCTCTTTCTTGTTGATTTAATCTGAAATATGAATTTTCATGGGATTCTCTTCTATCCATTGCCTTGTTATGATAGACAACTACTCCACATGGGGAATTGAAATGTTTCGTTCCACCAACTTTCCAAATTTCTGAACTCTTTCCATTTTTCACACTCAATTTAATGTCAATTTTGTAAACATGGTTACTAGCACTTGTTACAATAATTGCATCATTTTCAGTTCCTTCACGATAATCCACATTTGATTCTATGGCAATATAATGTGGATTCTTAATATATAGTTTCGTCAAATATCTCTTTGTTATCAAATCAAAAAGAAACAATGAATTTGCATTATAATCAGAGACAACAACCAATTTGTGATTATACGAAATCTTTACATCAAATGGTTTCTTCATTGCTTTAACACTCAACTGATAGCACGAATCAAATTCCAGAGAAACTGACCGAATAAACTTTCCTCTCAATTTACCAATCAATAAACTCATCAGTTCAAATTCTTCTTCATCATTAAACTCGTTATGATGATGATCAATTAAAATACATTTTACTCTCTCGGAGTGATGAATTTGCTCCTCCTCATCATCATCAATGGAAATGATATGATTTTCATCGAGAGTTAAATCGACAATTTCATTTGCCAGATTGGAATCGGATGAAGTTTTACGTTTCTTGGGTGTGGTTTGATATTTTCGAAAATTGTTGGGACTGTACTTGGATTTTGGAAGCATTTTTCTTTTTGAATTTATTATTGCAATGAAAAAGTAGTAATTTTTAGAGTTCGAGTGTATGCAGGAACAAAGAGTTCTCTCCTAGAACTAATTTTTAAAATCTTTTTGAATCAAAAAAGCAATAATGATATTATAAGGACAATTAAAGTTAGTTTATGAAAAGAAAGAATTATTAGTTGGAAAAGGTAAAAATGATTCTCCCATGCCGGGAATTGAACCCGGACCTCCTGGGTGAAAGCCAGGTATCCTAGCCATTGGACTACACGGGAATCTTGTTCATTATGAAAATATTCCTTCCATGAATCAACATACATTATGACAAAGCCAAGAATATTGACCCTAGAATTTAAATTCACTCACCATATTCAAGGAAAATTGATTACCTTATGTCGATGGGGCTGTATTGTTATCGGATCTTCATCTTTTTCAATATTAAAAAAATGAATCCAAATCTTGCCTTTCTTTTTCTATTATCCATTCTTCCCTTCACTCTTTCTCTCCAATTAACCTTCTTCTATAATGAAAATACAAATAACAATGAGTCGAATCTTCCTTGTCTATCTCCCTCCAGTCCATGTTCTTCATTACAACAAATTCGAAATTATCTTTCAAATAATTTAACTTCTTCCGATGATGAATTGAATATTAAAATTTATTTGATGAGTAATTTGACAAAGCCAACATTTATTAATAATAATAGAAAATTAATTAATTTAACAATTTCGTCCTATTTATTGGAAGATATTCAGAATGGAACTAATTCATTAATTATTGGGAACCGAAAGGACTACTATTATATTACACAAAGTGAGTGGGATGTTCTTGAAAGTATTAGTTATCTATCGAAACAATGTGATCAATTTATATTATCAAATGTGAAATTATCTAATTTGAAAATTGATAGTGCAAGTTCGTCTAAAATTCCACTTTGGATGATCGATTCCTGTATTTTGGAAAATGTAGAGCTTAACTATTATGCAGATTTACTAATTATTCAAAAATCGACAATGTATAAATGTTCACTTTGGAGTTATTTATATCCAGCGCTTATTCACAATTCAACATTATTGAATTGCTCACTTTCAACAGCAAAGATTAGAATTGAGAATGGATTAATTGTAAATTCGAATATTCAAGGAAAATCTAAAGTGTATAATGATAATATTATTGATTTTGGAATGAATGATAGCATTTTCAAACAAAGCGTTATAGCCATCACCTCATCAGAGCAAATAATTTTTACTTCAAATCAATTCGAAGGTTCCACACTATTTATCATGTCTGTGAGGGCTATAATTATGAAAGAATGTAAAATGGAACAAACTAATAATGTGTGGATTGGAAGCGAATCTATATTAGTGAGTGCAATTTCACTTTCTAATAATTCAAGTATTCAAGTTATTGGAAATATTCAAGCCAAATTTGAATCTATGAACTTTTCAGATAATGTTGAACCTCTCTCATTCCAACAAGTCAACGATTTATCAATTGAAAGCTGTATATTTGAAAGAAATAGAAATGCCCTGTCAATTAATAATAATGGAAAACAGAAACTTGATAGTGAACGTATTAGGATCATTGAATGCACGTTTAGAGACAATTGGTCTAATCAAGGAGGTGCGCTCTATTTGAATGAAGCAAAACTTACAACTGCTAATTGTCTATTTATCAATAATAAGGCATCTAATGGAGGTGCTATTTATTCTGAAAGGTCTTTTATTACAGATAGATTTTCAAAATTCATTTCCAATCAAGCTATTGGAAACTTTGAAGGATGTTTGAGTGTTAAGGATTGTGGAAATGGTGGTGCCATTTATTCCTCAAACAGCTTTTTCTACTTTTCAGGATCTAATTTTGAGTACAACTTGGCTGTTAAGGGAGGTGCTTGTTATGGGGAAGTTAGAGTTTTTCAAACAAGTAATATTGGAAACGATGCTACTTATTCAGGGAATTTCATATATTTTCCACAGGATAATCGATTTTTGAAAAGTTGTGTAGTTTCATCTGATGGTGCATTATCTGGACAGTGTGGTTCTAGTCACATCCAACAAGTGTTGTGGAAAACGTCAAATTCTAAAAGCATTTATTCTTCCACCAGCAATACAATTCCAAAACTATCTCTCTATCCAGGTCAGCAAATAACATTAGAAATTATTCAAATAATTGATGAGTTCAACAATACTCTTACATCACTCCAAGCATTACCTGTTGTTTCTTCCATTAATTCAAAATCTTCGATTATTATCATGCACGAGAAGGAAGCCAACAATACCATTATGAATTTATCATTTGAATGGTGTGAAGGAGAAAGCAATTTTAATATTCAAGTTTCGTTATCAGAATTTCTCTACAACTTTGAAATTGGAATTAATGTGGAGAAGTGCCCATTCGATTTTGGATATGAAGGTTTACCAACAAGTAGAGTTTGTAAATTCAAGAATTATTCAGCCATTGCTGTTTCAACAATATTTGGAGTGATATTGCTGTTAATCTTATTGGGATTTGGAGCTTTTTTGACTACTCAGATTGGAAAAAGATTATTTAGACTCCACAAAAAGGATAAACGTGAATCCCAAATTGCTAAAAAGATTATTGACAAGAAGTTTGTATTTGGAGAGATTTCAACCCCGCTCTTGACAAATATTCAGACGAAATCTTCCAATAATTTGTTAATTCCAATTGAAGATATTGAAATAAGCAAGAGAATTGGTGAAGGAAGTCATGGTAGTGTATACTTAGCTCAATGGAATGGTATTAATGTTGCTGTGAAGAGCTTGAAAACAGATGATGAATTACTTGAGGATGAATTTGAGCATGAAGCAAGTTTATTGAATAGTCTTAGACATCCAGCTATTGTTCGATTATTTGGAATATCTATCAGCTCAAATACAAGATATATGGTTGTGGAATATTTGGAAAATGGGAGTTTGGAAACTGCAATTGCCAACTCTAAATCAGGACGAAAAAAGTTGAATTTAAAGGAAAAGATTGAAATTTTATCGGGAGTATCCAAAGGAATGGACTATTTACACTCATTGAAGCCATTATCTTTAATTCACAGAGATCTTAAATGTGGAAATGTTTTGCTGGACGCCAATTTGAAACCTAAAATTTGTGATTTTGGTTTGTCCAAGTTGACCTCAAATAGTGGAAGTTTCTCAATGACAATGAATTTAGGTACCATTCTATATATGGCTCCAGAATTAATTGGAAGTGGACAAGAAATTGGAAATGCACTCGATGTGTACAGTTACAGTATCATTATGTATGAACTATTCTTTGAGGAGAAACCATTTTTTTCCAATTCTCCTAAAATTCACAAATTTTCTCAATCACCACATCAAGATTCACTTGCATTATCCGTTCCAGTGATGGTGGTGAGGGGTGAACGTCCTAAAATTCCCTGGAATAACAATGAAGAATTGGAGGTGTGGTTGAGAGAGTTTATTGAACCATTTGAGAAGAAAAATTCTCTAGATCATGAAACTGTTTGTAACGTGTGTAGTGATTATGTGGAATTGATGAAGCAATGTTGGAATTCCATTCCAAGTAAGAGGCCTTCCTTCAGAGAAATAACACAGTATTTGGAAAAAATTTATTCAAAACTCAAATAAAATACTACCATTACACCAAAATAATAGTGTACTCGATGTTGTAAGTTGAATTTCAATTAGAAACAGCTTTTGATGCTAAAGGAAATAAGATACAGGATCATGTTATTTAAAATTCATTAAGGGAATATTTTCATTATGAATAAGATTCCCGTGTAGTCCAATGGCTAGGATACCTGGCTTTCACCCAGGAGGTCCGGGTTCAATTCCCGGCATGGGAGAATCATTTTACCTTTTCTAAAATTGCATTCCTCTAGACCAACGACCCAACAGTCGACATTGGAAATTTCTTTCTCTTTGAAAATCGTAAACCAAAACTTTAATTGTCCTTAATATCATTCATTCAAAATATTCCTCAGTACTACTTTGAGTTTGGTTGCTTTCCCTTATTAGCTTCCTCTTGAGTTTGGTGTTCCTTCTTTTCAAGATATTCCAATAAAAGTCGTTGAGACTCTGATGGGAAAAAGGTAATCTTGGCAGCTTTCCAAATGATATTCGGTAAAATTGCAACTACAACTACTAGAATCGTAGTCAAGGTAGCTTGTACACTCACAAAAGTTTCATAATAAATGTATAAACTCTCAGGATCTCCCAATTCATCTGCAATTGGAGAATAACAAGCATTGAATGCAAAGTAAAATAAAAAACCAAGTGGCATTAAGATTAAAACTGGAACTGTCAATGTTTTAATCTCCAAAATGTATATCAAAGTGACCACACAAACCATACATGTCATGATAATTTTACCAAAATGATATAGGTCAGTAGGTCCATTCTCCATAAAATCTCCATCCACACTCAGAATAATTCCAAAGAAAATGACAAGTGCATGATAGATGGCAGCAATTCCCCACATGATTAATGTTCTGAGATTGAATAAATTTCCAGATTTTTTGAGTGAATCATAGAGTTCTGGATGCTCTAAAATCACCTCCTCAGGTAAATCCTTTTCACACGATCCAAATGCAATCGGTTGAAAAAAGAAGTAAATTCCAATATAGACAATTAATTCCCAAGAATCGAATATTAAAGTTCCAGAATATCCACAATAGAAAATATTGAAAAATTGAGGAAGGAGCAATATAAAATTCTTGTAGAAACTCAAATGTAAAAAGTCGGCATTTCTCACACTGCAATTTCTTCCATGAACGGCCAATAATCTTACCAGGTTTTTAAAACGAGGAATTGAAAAGTCAGAGGAACGAGAAGCTTGAGATCCTTCCTTTCCTTGAATTCCAACACCGATGGATGCTGCTTGGATCATTGCCACATCATTGACACCATCACCAATGGAGAGGGCCTTCTTGTGAAGCTTACTTTCAATTAGTTTTACAATGCTGGACTTTTGGAGTGGTTTTAAACGACAGCAGACAGCACAGTGGACATATCGAGCTAGTTCAATGAAACGTTTCTCATACTTGTCGAGAATAAACTCTAGAGATTTGGAGTCGATAATGAGACCAAATTCAAATCCCTTATTCGAATTGTTTTGTAAGAATTCTAGTGCTTCCTTCAGTTTCTTTTTGGCTTGTTGATGTGTGTTGGCATCTCTGATTCTGATTTCAATGGTCTTGTCTTTCACCAATACATTGGTTGAGTAGGCAATATTAATTGCTGTCTCTGTCTTATCACCTGTCAAGACCCAAATCTTCAAACCAGCTCTGGAAAGATAATCAATTGACTTGGCCACATCATCTTGTAATTTATCTTCAATGGCTGTACAACCAACCAGCTCCAAATCAATTTCCAGATCACTTGCACTCTGAGCAATCATCTTTCCTCTATTCTTACTTGACATGGAGGCCTTATTATAACCATCGAACCAAGTTTCAAATTCACTCATTGAGAGCTCCCTCCTACCAATTACCAATGTTCTCAAGCCCTGAACTGAAAAATTGAGAAGAGCAGATTTCAATTCATGAACATATTCCTTTCTAGCTCTACATCTCTTCAGCATGACGTTATCTGCACCTTTCACATAGGCAATATATCTTCCTTCTTGAGTTTTCACAAGAACTGTCATTCTTTTTCTATCAGATGTAAATGGAAAGGTTGCAATAATTTCATAAAATCTAGTTTCTCCCATTTCATCAATTACTAATCCTTCGTTGGTTCTCTGAATTAATTTGAATCCATTATTGGTAGCAGCCTCCAAAAGTGCAATTTCATCTGAGGAAGGTCCATTGTAATTAATTCTTTCAGGGTTTTGTAAATCCTTCTCTGGCATGACACTGTTATTCAAGGTGAGACATGTTAAAAACTCTCTAATGCAGCTAGCATGATGTTCTGCTCCATGTACAGATGTTTGTTGATGATGATGAGGTTGATTTTCAATGTCAATCTTACCAAATTGATGATATTGCACTAGTTTCTCTTTCATTGAGCCAGGATTGCTTTTCTCTGAATAATACATGCCATCTGTCCATGAATCTGAATACTTCATTTCATTCTGTGTTAGTGTTCCAGTCTTGTCAGAGAAGATAAAATCAAGTGATGAAAGTGCTTGATTCAAATTTGCTGTTCTGACCTGAGTTTTAATATCACCAAATCTCATTTCAGCATCTGATTGAATATCCCACGATTGGAATGTCTTGACAGCTTCAAATCCAATAATAATTGTCTCATTGACAATGTAATTTAACAATATAAACGTAGTGACCCAAGTTGACATGACAGAAACAAACGAAGCTGGTGAATCATCAAGAGGAGCCAAATAGAATGCACCGCTTTCGAATGTGTCATGAAAGTTTCCCTGCAGTCCAGCAACTATTGCACACAACACTTGTTGAAATAAAACCAAGAATACCAAAATCTTATTCAGAGTTACCCACAATTCATTTCTCTTCACCTTATTCTCCTTCGTATTCATAAAAATCTTTGTGTGCTTGCCGAGATAGATTGCAATTCCAAATATGTGTTGAGTATTTCTCAGAGTGCATCCTCTAAGCAATAGATTTTCCATTGTGAGTGGTTCATTAATTGAGATTAATTCACCATATCCCATCACTTGAGTTTGCATTTTCAGCATGCCCTCAAACACATCCAAATTGTTATTTGCCATCTCGACTTGAACCTTTCCTTTCAATTGTGCAAAATCTCCAATATTATTCTCCGCAACATCATGATGAAATACTTTAGAAGATCCCTTAATAGGTCTTCTACTCTTTAGATTAGTTTCTCCATCCAAATTTGCAGTTTCAATATAACACAACTCATCCTCTCTCGACGAATGTATACACAACAAATCAGCTGGGAAAACCTCATCTTTCTTTATCGAAACCACATCACCAATCTCTATATTTTTCACTTGAATTTCCTGTAAGATTCCATCTCTAATCACTCGACATTTCTCATTGTTTGCCTTTCGATCCTGACGATATCTTTGAAAATCCTCGAATCCATCTTTGGCCATCTGGACAAGGACAATGATTGTAATGGGTAATACAGCAGCTGGAGGAAACATGGGTGATAGATCTGGAATTAAAACTGCAATAACAGTTAATAGTAAATAAACATTGATTGCCTTTCTGAATTGTTCGAATAGATTTTTTGGAATAAAGGTCAGTATTGAATATTTGGTGGTTGTGACAGAGTTTTTGGGAAAGGGTTTTCTGCATTTTCTATTTTCTTCTCGATTGTTAATATAAATTTTTTCAAACTTTCGTTCAGTTTCGTCTTCTGAGGCAAAATTGGATTTTTCAACTGGTTCCACTTCCTGTTGAGTTTCTTCTTTTAATTCTTGCTCCTTTTCCTCCAATTCAAAATCATCACCAAGTGGTTTCTTTTTAATCACATAGCACATCAGGTCCACAATTTTATCCTTCACTTTCCAATACATTTTCGATAACAACGATATTGATTCCTCCTGAACACCACCATGAATCTCCTCCACACTACTAGGTGCACTCTCAACCAACTGTCTATCACCCTGCTTGACCACATAATCATCACCATCATCAAATTGCTCTCCATCTATATACAATGATTCTTCTTGGATGATGTGATGATGATGAGAATGATGATTATTTAATAGTGCAATGTGATTTTCTGATAATGAATGATGATCCAAAACAGTAGTTGTTGTTGTTGGTATTGTTGTTTTTTGAAGATTATTGTCTTGTTTGGAATCATCATCTAATTGTTGTTGATTTTGTTGATGTGATTCCAAAGGTTGATTGCAATCAGAATTATAGTGATCGTGTCCATCTGATAGATGGCTAGACATGTTTGTATCGGTTGCAAGTTTAGGGAAATCAAACTAATCAAAGAATTATATTGATAAACGAATAGTCTGGGTAGAGAACCTCTTTCTTTTGATTTTTTTTGAAAATGTCATTTTGATGGCGATAAATAGTTCTTGTCCAAGTTTTCATTGTCCGGTTTCAAAAGCGCTTTTTAGGTGCGCTCAAAGAATCGTATTGAGATTCCAAGCAAAAACATTTCAAAATGCTTAAAAAACACACATCACAAAAATTATACACAACACTATCTTCTTGCCTTTTAACAAGAAGTATCTTTTTTTTTGTTTCAAATCAAAAAGTTCATTCGCAGACTGCAGGATTCGAACCTACGAAGGTTTCCCCAACAGATTTCAAGTCTGTCGCCTTAACCACTCGGCCAAGTCTGCTACATTATCAGTAAAAAATATTTCATAAAAGGGAAAGGGATAGTATGATTGGCGCCAAAAATTAGTACACTACGGAAATCACTTGGTTGTATGGGAAAGTTGGTTTTTAAAAATAAAAAAATACAATTCAGGTTTGCCTGTAAATTTGGATAATTAATAACTGAGGAAATACAAACAGGATGGTAGGTTTGGAAATGAACAATAAATTGATCAAATGTTGAATTTTAATAATCGGAATAAAAGGTCTTCTTTTTGAGAGATGCTGTAAAGTCGTGGGAAGAAAAGAGTGGACAAAAAGCTTCCGAAGCTGAACAAGTATTATTATATGGATGGGTTCCTCCAATTGAAAAGATGGACACTACTGTGTCTCAAATGAAAAATTGTAAAAGATTAGCTCTCTCAACAAATTGTATAGACAGAATTGGTGGTTTGCAAGGATTGGTATCTTTGGAAATTTTATCACTGGCTAGAAATCAAATCAAGAGATTGGAAAATCTTGACGCTGTTGCACCAACTTTGGAACAATTGTGGTTGTCTTATAATAACTTGACATCGTTAGCTGGTGTTGAAAAATTGAAGAAACTCAAAGTATTATATTGTGGAAATAACAAGATTAGTTCTTGGTCTGAAATTGACAGACTGAAAGATCTCCCTGACTTGGAAGAAATTTTACTGACTGGTAATCCATTGGAAAAGAATACTAAGGATGCAGGTGAAAATTGGAGAATTGAAGTATTGAGAAGATTACCATCGTTAAAGAAACTGGACGGAAGACCATTTGATTTGGCAGAAAGAGAACAAGCTGAAGGTGTCAGAAAGGATATGGGCGAATAAAAATTCAAAAGGAATCTTGTTATTTGTACCGAATTGTTCAATTTAATTCCTAAAAACTCTTTTAAGGTGCCAACAAAGTATTACCACAAGGTAAACTCCTTCATCTTGTTTGATTCGTTATTGTCATTTGAAAAAGTTTAAGGTAGATAAGGTTACAACATTATTGTAATCATGATTCCTTCCACAAACATGTTAATATAACCAAGTCTCCTTTACAGTTTCAATCTACTGTACTTTTCACCAAATTAGTCCTGTTACTCCTTGACTGGACTTTGATTGGATCGGATTCGCTCATTTCCGGACTGTTACTCGAGACAAAATGCGCTTTCATCCTTTTCTTCAAGATCTTTTTCATTCATCATGATCAACAACAACTCACATCAACAATTTACTCAACCATTCCACACACAAACAATGAATAACAATGAATTCCACATTACACATTCCTGATCATTCCATCCTCATCTAAATGAGCCAACCAATTGTCCATATCAAGCATTTTTCAATGTGCTCCATTTCCACGCTTATTGAACATTCCTCAGTCTCTCGGCCAAACTTTGCCCACCACCACTGTACAGTAGATATTATTGTTGTTTGACCTCCACACTCAGGAGACCAATTCAACAAATAGCAACATTGTTTGCAGAGCAAATTTGCCCTTCTTCACTTTTCCGTAAGATAGGAGATGGAGAAGAAGTTTGGAGGCGAGAAAATTCTTCAAACAAAAAACCCGAACACCACACCTCCAAGAAGGCTCTCTTTTGGGCATTTTCATAAACTTTGAACAAGGACACACAATACACAATATTGGAGTGTTCAATCAATATATATTCATATTATAGATTGAAGAGTACTACATTATCGGAAACATTTGTGTTCAATCCGTATTATATTAACTCTCTACTATTTAAACTTTAAAGAGTTTCAGGTTACTAGTTTGTTTCTAACAATTTTATATAACATCTGCACACAGAAGAAGAAATGGAAAATTCGTATCAAAGTACTGCTGATTCAACTTCATCACCTGCAATTATAATTCCTCCTCTTGCTGGCCTTTCCTCTGTCAATCAAACAGATGACAATCAAGAAGTGCAGAATAATATTGCCTATCAATCACCAGGTAGCGAACCTTCCTCTCCAACCGGTCCTCCTTCCAAAAAGAAACCAAAACTATTGTGTGGCTGTATTCGAACTGATAGATATTTGGGTTTTATTGAACTGAAACCTGGTATTACGTGGGTTCATATTACTTGTTTCTATATTTTGGTTGTCATTTTGCTTAGTATGTTCGTATTTATTAATGCCATGTCAAGTTATGTTTTCGAAGCTTATCTGAGAGGTACTGTAAATAGAAAAGATCAAGGTAAATTGGCTGGTGACTTGTCGTTTTACAATGAATTGTGCATTTTGGCATTTGGCTTGATTTGGGGCGTGCTGACTGATATTTTGAGAGGTAGAAAGTTTGTGTACATGATTGGTTTCTTATTTATGGGAATTGGATTGTTCCTCTATACATTTGCTGAAACTATTTGGCAATTGATAATCTACAGAATTATTTTTGCTATTGGTGCTGCCAGTACAAGTAGTATGTTAACTGCCATTGTTGGTGACTATGTCAAGAATAAGGATAGAGGTAAAGCATCTGGTTTGTTGGGATTGGCATCTGGTCTTGGTGCTGTTGTCTCTGCTTTGGCTTGTTTAAAGATTCCATTATGGATTCAAAGTGCTGATCCAACCATTTCAACAGGTCAAGCAGGTATGATTGCCTTTATGATTATGGCCTTCTTCTGTATTATTGCCATGTGTGCCTTAATGATCTTCTTCAAGGGAAGAATTTTCCCAATTTGTGACTCTAAACAAGAACGTGAAGCAACCAGAAGAGAAATGGCTGAAAGTAGTGATTGTGAAGAAGAGGATGATGAAGAAAGATTCAACATTAAGAAATCCTTCATCAGATTCAAAAATATCATTTGGGAAGGTTTATTTGTTGCTCCAGCAAAGAGACCATCTCTCATTCTTGCCTACATTTCTGGTTTCGTTGCTAGAGGTGACTCTATTCTCATTACTACCTTTATTACATTGTGGGTCTCTCAACAAATGATTGACATTCATGATTCATCCAAGGCAGATGCTACTGCTAGAGGTGGTACTATTTCTGGTATTTGTCAAACTTTTGCTCTCATTGCTGCTCCATTTGTTGGTATTTTTGCTGACTTGAGATTTAGAAGAAAGAAGAATCAAGATGTTGAACAACAACCTGAACAAGAGGATGATTTCAAGACTGATTTTGTTAGAAAAATGTCGAGATTGATTGTTATGGCAATTGTCTCTGCAATTTCAGGTGTTGGTTATACCATGTTATCTTTCCTCACTGATGTCACTGGTGGTTTTGTCTATTTACCAATTGCATTGATTGGTATTGGTGAAATTGGTGTCATTATTTGTTCTCAAATCCTTGTCACTGCTGAATCACCAAGTAAGGTCAGAGGTAGCGTAAGTGGTATCTTTACTCTCTTTGGTGCTGCTGGTATTTTAGTGGCCACAAAGGTTGGTGGATATTTATTCGATGATTGGAAACCAAGTGGTCCATTCCTTTTCTATGGAGTTCTCAATTTTGCATTATTTATTATTTCTATCGGTTTCATTATTGCCCATGTTATTTACAGGTTCAAGGTTGGTAGAAACTCCAATAAAGGAGTTGACCTTAAGTAAAAACATAAAATTAACTTATTGAATCAAAATATCTTCTTTCACGTTATTTAACTCATATACTTATTAATAAGGGGTCAATTCAATCAAACATTAGAATTTTCTGTTGGAATTGTTTGAGCTTTTTTAAACAATGATTTTTTCCTTCCAGAAGAAGTTTCACTCTGATTATTCAATTCTTTCACTGCTCTTGCAGATTCTGTAAATATTGGCTGATATAATAGAACAGTTACAATTCCAAATGTTAAAATTCCAGCAGAATTGATGAAATTATAGAACAGTGTCATGTAACTCCAGTCATCCAAAGCTGTGGCACAACCGATCGCGATGATTTGTGACAGAGCAGAAAAAACAAGAGCCAACTGCAGTGTAATAACCTTAATGATTGGTCTTTGTGATTGTTGTTTGTTTGTCTTAGTTGCTCTTGTTTTAATTGTTTTCAAAACCTTGAAAGCAACAATCTTCATATTTCGAATAAATTTTTCTCCAATGAAAACTTTAAACTTACCATTGAAATGACCAAATTAATGACAATCTGCAAAAAGTAAATAATATATCCAATCATAAATAGCAGAAACTGATAATCCTCAATAAAGTGAATCTTGATGAAAAAGAAAAGCACTGCAATAGCCACAACAATCGAACCAAATGAAACGCAGAAAAAAATAGTGAATGAATTCTGGATAATCATGAGTCGTTTTGTTAGTCGTGAGTTTGCCTCTTCGAAACTTCCTGCAATCTTGACAGTTTCTAGAAAGACATGTCCTACAAAGCTCATGATTACAACCATTGTAATGAGATTTCCAACAATGAAAAGAACTTCAATTGAACCTGTTAGATGCATGGCTACAACATGGGAAAATTTGATGCCTGCTTGAGTGGTTGTAATCGAGCAATTGTGATATTCGAAAGTGTCAATGAATTCTTGAGATTCAGATGAATAGGTATTTTGGACGAAAGTATTATATTGATTATTAATGATAATGGAAATGATATCATAAATATTCCTCCCAAGTATTCCAATACATTGAACAATGGATAGAATAAAAACCATTCCTACCATTATAATTTGATTTCGTTTCATTTCCTTTCGTATTTTAGTTCGAATAAAAGACGAAGCAATAACAATCATCAAGATATTAAATAATACTAAAAATGTACTTGATATTGTAATTGCTCCAATCGATTGAGGAATAGGATCCAAATTCGAAAGTGTAACATTAGTATCCATTAAATCAAATTTCGAATATGAAGATGAATTTATATTCGATTCTAACAATGAAAAAAAACTCCAATTGTCGTTGTTCTGATTAGCAGGTCGATGAAACTGCTCGGTGATTAATTGTTTGAAAGGTGGCATTTCTTTTTGAGATTTGAAATGATAAGAGATAGAACTAATAATCAAAGGCAATTGTTGAGAGATATATCATAAACAATTAGGCATCAGTAATCATCAGTATTAAAAAGAAACACCCTTCGCTTTTTCCAAATTTAAGAATTTCCATTTTTAAGTTTCATAAAAACAACAATTTTTTTAATTTATTTGTTTTTTCATATGAAAAAATTGTAAATTTCAATAATGTTAATGATTAAACATTTAATTTCATAACATTTCAATTTTCAAATAAAAAAATTCTAAAAGTTCCCAAATTGATTGAAAAAAAAATGGCTTCACAAATTTGCTCGCAAATGGGCAAACTTTCAATTTCTAAAGTTTTGGAGGGAACCCTCGGAAATCATGGCTTTAAAATCATGTATCGATCCATCAATAAGAATACATTCATTTCTCCGTGGCATGATATTCCACTTCAAGCAAGTGCTAATCATTACTATTTTGTTAATGAAATTCCAATGCACACTCTGAAAAAGATGGAAGTCAATACAAAGGAGCAATTTAATCCAATAATTCAAGATGAAAAGAAGGGAAAACTCAGAGAATTTACTTATAGACTTGATGCTGGTGGAATTCCTTTCAATTACGGAATGCTTCCTCAAACTTGGGAAGATCCAAAGAAATTAATTCATGTTCCTTTTGGACAAGTTAAGGATGGTGTTTATCAACCAACTGTTGCTGTTCAAGGTGACAATGATCCAATTGATGTTGTGGAAATTAGTGATGTTGCTTTGGAAATGGGAGAAGTTTATAAAATCAAAGTTTTTGGAATTCTTGCAATGATTGATGAAGGTGAAATGGATTGGAAAGTTATTGGTAGAGTTGTTTCAGAATCTGAAACCTCAACACAACAACCAGATGAAGATTTACAGGACATTTATGATATTCCAAAGGGAAAGATTAATGATATCATTGATTGGTTTAGAATGTACAAGACTACCGATGGAAAACCTGAAAATCATTTTGGATTCAATACCACAGTTTTAGATAAGGCCTATGCTAAGCACATTATCAACCAAACTCACAAACATTGGAGTGCCATGTCAAAATAAATTCAACCTTTTTCAATCTTCCAATATCCAAATTGACTGGTAAAACACTTGCTAGAATTTCTTGGAGATGAACAAAAATCAACAAGAATAATGATTTTAAATAATTTTTTTTATAGTTTGGAAAGAAGTTTAAGCAGTGAGTTCGCAGACACCACCAATAGCCTTGATCTTTTCTTCAGCAGACTTGGAGAAGAGTCTAGCTCTGACGACGATTGGGATCTTTGGCAAGTCACCTCTACCCATGATCTTGTCGAAACCAGCCTTGTGAGCATCAATAACGACAGCCTTACCACCGAATTTACCTTCCTTGGCTTGTTGGTAGACTTCTTGTCCGGCAACCTTCCACAATTCGTCAACATTGAGACAATTTGTCAAGAAGTGATTCTTATTCATGTGGAATCTTCTGATACCGATCTTACCGAAATAACCAGGATGGAATCTGTCAACCCAGATTCTGTGATGGTGTTGACCACCAGCCATACCACGACCACCAGGGTGCTTTCTGTGCTTACCGATACGACCGTGACCGTGAGAGACGTGACCTCTCATCTTTCTACACTTCTTCTTAGTTGTGGCCTATAATATGTTCAAGAGTAAGTAAATAATTCATACCAAGCAAGTATTAATTAGAAAAGAGAAGGTAAATATTTTTTAAGAGAGTGACTGCAGTACGTACCATTTTGACTTTTGCGTATTTTTTTTTCAACAAGTTTTTTAATTATTCGTTGACTACATCGTTTTACAACCAAAGTTTGCTATGGCAAAAATGCTCTCATAATATCTGCAAGCCAGAAAAAGAGCAAAGAAGCTTTCATCATTAGAATAATTTGGAATATTGGATTGGATTATTAATATTAAAGATATAGTTCTTCTTTGGCTATTAAATTCCTCATCATTAACAATTACAACAACAATATTAGATATTCTTCGGAAAATCAAAATTAAAGTATCATGAAACAATTTTCATTCACTACATTCCTCTCTCAACCGAATAATAACATTGCATTATTATTATTAATAATAATTCTTCATTAATTGATGAAGACATCTTTACTTGTCATCATAACACTGGGTTGCCTTTTTAATTTTCCACAAAGAGGTTTTTGGAAACTAACCAAATTCAATGTCAACCAAAGATGAAGAATGGATTCAAATAATAATCAAAAAGATTGTCAATACTTCATCTTTGGGTTTCTACTATTATAATTAATAGCGAATTACTAGTAATAATAATTTATTCAGATAATCAAAATTGTCACACTTTTCACAACCGGAAAAAACAAGAATAGAGAGAATTGAAGAGAATCATGAGTGGAGCAACGTTATATCTTCTTGGAAGACATCTGACTAACAAGGTGACAGAGAATTTACAAGAAACTGCACCTGATCATTCACCAGTTTTGACTCATAGGGAGAAACCTAACTTTGTAAAAATCAATATTGCCAACCAATGTAGAAATTACAGAAACGAGGATTATGATGTCTTCTTTTCAGCATTGGAATCACACATTGATCAAGTATCAATTGGTTCAGACTTTCTTCTCATTCTCCTCTCGGATGGTTCACTCTACACAATGGGAATTAATAGAACGTGTTTTCATATGGGACTTACTACTGTACCATTGGATTCATTTGCTACAAGATCAGTCTATTATTTACATCAGCTCAAAGATAAACCAGTGAAAATGATATCGAGTGGAGGATTTTACAGCATTGTTGCAACTAGAAATGACGAATTGTATGGAATTGGGGCTAATGATTATGGTCAATTCAGTGTCTATAGCTCTTCAACTCACAAAAGCAATGCCAACCCACTCAAAATTGATTATGGAAAGAAGGAAGGAGATATAATGTAAGTATTGAGAGTTCTGCATTTATACTAACTGTTTAAAGTACTCATATGACTTGCTGTTTTTCATTCTCAGTCGTTATTATCAATGGAACAGATATGAGAGTTGCAGGACAAGATTGGATTGCAGATGAGTAAGTTTTTACCTCAATCAAAATGTTTAACAAATTTCTCTCTCTATCACGAACAGAACTCAAACACCTAATTTGGTAAATTCTCGACACGTTATCACCAAAACATTTAAAACCTTCCCTTCCCCTGTGTACCAACTCAAATCAGGAGCATTTCACATTGTTGCCCTCCTTAAGGATGGTCGTATTTTCTGTTGTGGAAGTAATTCGAGGGATCAATTGGGCAGTGTCTACAATACTTCAAGGAAGGGAATTCAGGAAGTCTTTCTGGATAATCAAATAGAAAAACCAATTGGTATTAATTGTGGATCTGATTTTACTCTCTTCCTTAAGAGTGATAGAACCATTGATAGATTGGGTTCATCGAGATATCCTAAATTTGATGTTCTCCTTTTCAAAGGGTTGGAAAAGTTCAATGATGCACTGGATGTGAACATGTGTGAGCAATTATTGTCCATCTCTAGACCCGATTGTATTCATATTAGAGGAAACAACAATACATTCACTCTGGGAGATGGAGAGGATGAATACTATGAACTCGATATGGATTACAATGATATTTTCCAGACACCAGTCACTCCAGAAATTGTTGGTGTCAGTGCCAGATATTATCACATTGCTTTTTACTTGAAAACAGATATGAAAATTTCCAAACATTTTGTCTTTCTCAAGAGAAGAATTGACAACTCAAAGCTGAGTGACATTTCAATCAGGACAATTATTAGTGGTGGAGGTTTGGCTTATTAATAATGGATACATTTCATCCCTTAAAAGTTGCAAATCTTCGAATAAATGATATCAAAGTATTGAGGATATCATTTATCAACAGACCAATAATGGAGATATTTTGCAATATTCTCAACAGTTAATCATTGATTTTCTCCCAATCAAGATAGTTGGTATAACCCTATTTCCAATTGAGTTTTTAACGCATTCATCCAAAAAGTACATTCTACAATAACGTGGCAAGAATACTAATTCAATCGATAATAGACAGTTGGCTGGAATCTATCTGTAGTGCCTATCACCTTTATTGTGCATTGGAATTCGATTGAATCATCTTATCTCAATCAGCTATGGAAATAGGATGTTCCATGATAATGATTATTAGGAATAAACAGATGAGAATAGAGTAATTGCCAAACATCTTTTTCTCAAGCTTTTTACAATAGGCATGGAAGCAATTTGAAGTAAATCACCAAAAAATTGTTTCAACACAATTACAGTTGAACAACTTGTTGTAAAGAAATCAAACAACTTCTCATTCACTACTCAAAAGTTTGTTAACAAACAAGGAACAAGAAAGAACAATATTATCAACATTATCAACATTGTTCTATTGCGCCGATAAATATTACAACAATAACACACAACAAAATCCTTCATCATCATTGATTGGGAGATCACCCATACAAGTAGCTTTGTACACTCCAACATTATCGTACAAATCGATTTCATCTATTGAATTGTGATAGAGTGGTGCCTTTGCAAGAACTCTCAACAATCTTACAACACGGAGGAGAGGCCAAAATAATCACCCTTTAATCTCATCTTCCAGCAGTGAAACGGAAACCACTCCTTGCGCGACCAGATAAAATTTGCAAAGCGGTAAAAAACCCTTATCATTTTATTAGACACAGAGCCTTTGTTTTGCTTCATCACTCGAGAGAGCAGAAGGCTTTTTCAGACGTCTCAGACGGACTGTGTTTCTTTCAATTATCTAGTAGTAGTTTTTTCGATTTTTCTTCATAGGTGTTTATTATCGTTGATTTTTGGCGAATATTAGAACACACAAAGGACGAGGAAATTTAACTTCTTCTTCCACTTCTAACAACAACAACAAACAAAAAAGAATTTAATTCAACATCAATCTATTCATCAGAATTGAATTTATTATTATTATTATTACTATTATTATTATTATATTATTATTATTTTGATAATTGTATTGTTATATTATTTTACAATTATCTTTTAATTATCATCATCAATTTCAATGCAACATACAGCGGGAGAGTCTAACAACTCTAAACCAACTTCTCCGCAGGGATTTGGCACAACAGTATCACTCTCTAATGACGAATCTGAAGAACACATGGAAGAAAGCGTAAACAGTGAAGAGTCTTCTGAATATCAACCAGGCCTACAAAGGACCTTTGTAAATAATGCAATGATGAGAGATAATGATGATCATCTTGTAGAAGAAGATGACAATATGTATGGAGTGAATAATATGGACCACCACCAAAGTTTTAATATGGGTAGTGGTAATCAAGGCAGTTTCAACCTCCACAAATCAAGTTCTGGTAATGGTGCTCCAGGTAGTAGTACAGGATCATCATCTACTTCAAATCCTGCTGCTGCTCATCTTTCAACAGCTGCTGCTGCGGCAAAGAAGAGAAGAAGATTTACCCCAGAAGAAGATAAAAAGATTAAAGAAGGAATTGCAAAACATAAGAAGGACAATAACATTGATTGGGATGGTGTCGCAAAGTATGCATGTATCGAAAGAACAAAGGAACAAATCAAGAGCAGATATATGAGAATGAGGAAAGACGATGGTGAGCCTGTATCTACCGCTCAACAAGCTTCATCTTCTGGAGTTTCCTCTTCAACAAACAATGCTGGATCCTCCAATAATAATGCTTCTAATATTATTAGTGGACAAAACTCTGGTGACAAGTACTCAAACAATACTATCAACACCAGTACGAACAACAACAACAACAATAATCAAATTACTATTCCTTCATCTGTTTCATCGAGCATTACTGAAAACAGTACTACTTATCAATCCAACCAACCTCAATCACTACCTCAAACATCTCCTGTAATTTACCTCGCACCTCCTAACAGCAATAATACTACTTTAAATTGTAACAAACAAGAAAACTCTCTAAGTATTGAGGGTGAGGAACTTGTGGAGCCTTCAAACAAGAAGCAAAAGACACTTCCTCAAATGTTTCAAAGTCTTCAAGCTAGCACTTCAAAGAAGAGTCAATCCAATATGGCATCTTCTTCCTCTAATCAAAACAGTAATAGTTTATATGTTGACGCTAGCAATAATAGTAACAGTTTTATGATGTCTTACAATTCCAATTCTAGTATGGGTTCCAGTGCCATAAATAATACAGGCGTTCAAAGTAACATTGAAGCTTATCAACAACAGATTGCCAAATTACAACTAGAACTCGAACATGTTAAAGAGCAATTGAAACAAAAAGACAAATCGCTTGAAAATTCTGAATCCAAGACAAAGGGTTATGAGAGTGAAATCAATCAAATGAAGAATGCAATCCATGACTATGATATTAAAAACAACGAACGTAATAAGAGATTCAGAGAAATTGCAGTCCAATTTTTAAGAGAAAGGGCTGAAAGAGAAAGAATTGAGGATAAGAAAAAGGTTAATGAAAAGTCAATAACAATAGGTACTATTACATATCAAAAAGGATTGGACGTTTATGAAGTTTGGCAAGATGGTACACTGTTCCAACAATTGAAAGAAAATGAAAATAGAATAACGACAGAAAAAGACAAATTGGAAAAGCAAAAGAAGAATATTCAAAAACAAAGACAACAATTGAAGAAGGAACAAATTACTACAAACGATGCCGAATTTATAAGAAAATTAGAAGAACAATTGCACGACCTAAATGAGCAAGAGGAAACAGTCAAGTTAAAACTTATACATCTCAAGAAGGAAGAAACTCAAAATATTGCAGAACAAGAGAACCTCTTGATTGAAAAGAGTATACAGATCAGAGAAATCAAACGTATTAGAGATCAAGAAAAGTCAATGTTTAAGAATTATCCAATCATTGGACACCAAAAATATATTCCAACCACACCAGATGGTCCTGGAACACCTCAAATTAATGGTCAACAACCACAACCAAGTAATCATCATGAATACTTCCTTATGAAAATGCTTGGTAAAGGAGGCTTTAGTGAAGTCTACAAGGCCTATGATCTCACAGACTTTAAAGTTGTGGCATGTAAAATACATCAACTGAATCCAAATTGGAAAGAGCACCGAAAGGAGAATTATATCAAACACGTGTTGCGAGAATGTCAAATTAATCAAAGCATTAATCATGAAAAGCTTATCAAGATGTATGACACTTTTGTCTTTGACAATAACACTTTTGTTACAGTATTGGAATATTGTGAGGGTGCTGATTTGGATTTGTACATTAAAAAGCACCAAAGAGTACCAGAAAGAGAAGCCAAGAATATCATTTCTCAAATATTTAGTGGACTTAACTATTTATGCCAACAAAAGCAAAGAGTTATTCACTACGATTTGAAACCTGCTAACATTTTATTTGATAAGGATGGAAATATTAAGATTACAGATTTTGGTCTTTCTAAAATTATGGATGAAGAAGAGTCTATAGAGTTGACATCACAGGGTGCAGGAACATATTGGTATTTACCTCCAGAATGTTTTTATAACCCATCAGGTGAAGGTCCACCACCTAAAATTTCAAACAAGGTTGATGTTTGGTCGGCGGGTGTAATCTTTTTCCAAATGTTGTACGGTACAAAACCATTTGGAAACAACCTTTCACAACAAAAAATTCTTAGCGAAGGAACAATCGTAAATGCCACCCAAGTTGGTTTTCCTGATAAACCTGCTGTCTCAGAAGAAGCTAAGGAATTTATCAGACGTTGCCTTACACATGAAATGTCAAAAAGGCCAGATGTCAAGACTCTTTATAATGATGCTTATCTAAGAGGCACTTCTACACCATCTTCAAGTGGTACAACTTCTAAGTCCAAGAAGAGAGAAAAAGAAGCACCACAACCAAGCTCAACTCCAACCTCCACCACAAACTTCCTTTCATTCCAACAATGAAACTCCTCCTAAGTAGTAATAAATTATTCGTTTAAATTTTAAATATTTTTAATTTTTATGATTGGTTGGATTATTTCCAAAACGTATTACATTTCTTGACTGACTCAATGCTCCAAACCTTAATCATAGCAACAGACCTTTACACCAGTATTCAACAACATGAATTCGCCTACTGGTTTGTTAAAGTTCCAACCTGTACTGGTCTTTGAACGAATCGTGCAGAGACGGGTCTTCTGGGACCAGCAGATAAGGGTCGAGAGCCAGCAGGAGGCAGAGCAACGCCAACCTTTCTCTTTGAAGTTGCGTATGTAGCAGATAATGGTCTACCAGATTTGTATTCTGGTAAGGCTAATGAAGGTGTCTTGACGCTGGCTGGTGAATCAGGGACAGGACCATCCACATATTCTTGAAGGTCTGTAAATGCAGACTTGTCCAAATCTATAGAGGTATTGATCTTATTTGTTGCAATCTTTTCATAAGCAACCTTTTAAACAGTCAATAAATATGAAATACTATGTACAAAACTTACAGTTGAAGATTTGGAAATGATTTGTAAATTCTCATAGTCTCTAAGTTTTTCTTCAAGGTAGGAATTTCTTTGTAAGAGAGCAGCATGACTGTTTGGATTTGTGTAATCATCATTTGGGATGGCATTAGGTATCTGTCTTCTTAATTGTGTTAATTCTCCAATCAAGTAAGTCTTTTCCTTGATAAAATTCTTTTCCACTTGATTTTCTCTGTTTTGGTGAAGAATCATTCTCTTCAACCTCTTTCCAAGTTCTTCCACTTCTCTCTCCTTCTCTTTCAGTTTCTTCTTGTAATACGATGCCAATTGAGGATTTCTTTCAGCATTTTCGTGGAAATGTCTTTCAATTTGTTCCTTGATATTGGCTTCTTCTTGGGCCTTCCTCTTCTTCTTTTCTTCTAAATTGGCATTGAAAATGTTCAAGTATTGTTGCTTCATTTCAACTTGGGATCTTCTCAAATTGGAGACTTGGATTTTCAAAGATCGTGACTCTGCTTGGTATTTCTTAAGCTCCTCGGTTAATGAATTGACTCTTTCTTGAAGTTTCTGATTCACCTCTGTTAATTCTTGAACTTTTTCTCTACTAGCATTTGTCTTTAGGGATTTAACTTCGTCTCGCATTTTGTTTAACTCATTTTCCATTTCCTTCTTTTCATTTTCCATTTTCTGGTAAAAATTAATATCATTGTCATACTTTTTGAGAACTTGATACTTTTCAGATTTCTCCCTGTTGATATCGAATTGGTGTTTAGTCTTATCGTTTTTGATTTTACTCTCCAGTTGAGTAATTTTCATCATTTGAACTTCTCTGTGTCGAAGAATTGAATCTCTTCGATCAATCATCTCGTGAAGCTTGTCTATTTCCTGTTCTTTCTTTGCAAGAACGCTGGCAAGCATGCTATTTTCCTGTTTTAAGGTATTAATCTCATTAGAGAAAGAGTCAGTATTATCATTTTGATCTCTGACAGCTCGATCTTTCAATTCAATAGCTTTCATAGCAGCACTCTTATATTCATCTTTCTCTTGTTGCATTTGTTCAATTTTCATTTTCAATTCTTCAACCTTATACTCAGCTTCAGTTTTTCTTCGTCTAATTTGATCTTTCAGTTCATTCTCATAATCGTCCTTAAATACCAATAAAGTTCTCAAGTTTGCTTTTAATCTATCCAATATTACAAGTGGGTTCTCTTTTTTGAGCTCCTCTTTTTCTTTCTTTTCAATCTCTTTAATGTCATCATCACTTCCAACAGCCTCATAACTTCTATCTTTCAACTCGAGATAGAGTTTAATGATTGCATCCTCAATTTGTTCAACACGTGACAGTTTTTCCTCCATACTATGTTGCTTTTCTTTTCTATCATGTAATTCCTGTTCCAATCTTTCCATATCTCGTCTATTTTTCTTTTTAATTTCACCAATCTGAAATACATATGTTTCCTTCTCTGTTTCAGAGTTTGTCAGATCGTACTTTAGTGTTTCTACTTCCTTCTTTAGCATATCTACAATTTTCCTAGTTTCATCAGACATGATGGTTATTGAATTTTGTGTTTGATTCGATCCACCTGGAAGTGATGTGATGGATTGCGAATTTTCAAAACTAGTACTATTTGCATTTAAATTTACAGATGTTTTTTGAGAAATTAGCAGCTTTGAGGCCATCCTCACAGGCCTTGCCTTGTTTTGCTGCAGTTTAAGCGTCCCCTGAGTTGGGGATCTTCTATCCGACATTTTGTTCCCCTTCTTATATGTTGTTTGTTGTACAGTGTTTATAACTTCCTTCTCCTAAATATTATATCTACTATATTGTGCCTTCCTCCGAAATTAAACAATGATGATAATCAGCAGCAATCAAAAGAGAGGGTGGCAATGAATCCAATTTTGTTCTTTTTTTTTAAACTGAAAAAACGAAAATTTTCTTGGCGGGAAAAATTACAGCACAAGATATTATAATACCCAACAAAATTGATTATCGATTCAGAGTGTGCACTTTTATGAACAATGGATCAGAAAATATCAGTATTATAATGCTATCTGGTATCAGATAGGTTTAAAAAGATCATCCTTAATTGTTTTATTTTTTCTTTGGCAATGAAGAGGAAACTAATCTTCTGGTTGGTGTCGTTGGAGAGTTGACTGATTTGGCAGCGAGAGCTTCTTGCTGTTTCTTAATCTTCTTTTCAAAGAATTGACGACACACGTTTACATCCTTAACATCTCTCTTGATGTGATCGTAATCGGTTTGGAGAATGGCTTCGTATTGATCTTGTGTGAATGGTAATTGTTTGAGTGATTTGGTTTCTATCATTCTTAAAAGTTGGTGGGATTGCATTTGGAGGAGATAGAAGTATTCTCGAATGGATTCGAATTTTCTTTCGTCTACAAAACTGAAACTGGAAAGCTGTTGCTGCAAACTAAAGATATTTCTCATCATTTTCTCTAAACCAAGCTTGGAGAATGAAGGTGATTTGATAAGATCGCCACCTCCTAACATTGCTGAAGAGCTATCGTCAAGTTTCATTTCATAGAATTGTGAAATGGCAAATGGTAAACTTCCAATAAAAAGATCAAGAATCATCTTTTCAATAGATTCGAATAAATATCTCAATTTGCTCTTTGGTAAATAGCAGGAAAGATATCTCTCAATTCTGAACAAATCTTGATTGAATAAATTGATGAAATCTTCAGGTTCCTTTCTTTCATCTTCACAGTCGTAGGTTCCAAACTTGAGTAAATTGTCCATCAAATTACAATGAATAAAGTGATAACAGTGAACACGAATATCCAACTTGAGTGAGAATAGACATCTTATTGCCAAATCTCTGTAATCCTTTTCATAATTGGAGAGGAAGAGGGTAGATTTCTTAATTCTTTGAATGGCATTGGTTTCCTCATCTGAATGATCAGAGGTTACACTCTCAGCATCCGTACTCAAAACTCTCAAGTGATGAACCTTAATAGGTTTTCTGATATTTGGATCGCTTGCCACTTGATGCATACTAGTGGTATTAGGTGTTGATGCAGCTTCTTTCTTTACTCTGTATTCTTCTGTCTTTTGTTGAGTCTTGACTGCAAAAAGTTCTGTTTGAATGAGTTCCTTTTGGTAGCTCTTGATGAGATCTGCTAACCATTCCAAACTATCATTGATATTTGCCAAGAGAATTAATTGAGAGTTATTGTCAATGAATTTGGTCTTTGGAAGATTGTGTGGATAATTGATTTGAAGTTTTTCATCAATGATGACAAACAATTTCTTGTAGAATTTCTCGGAGAGTTTCGAATAGGTTGACGAATCAATTTGTGACTTTGATTTAGTATAGAGAAGTTTAAAGTTTGGATCAGATTTCAACACTGGATACACACTTTCATACTCTGCAGTCAAAGATTGTTGAATGAATTTGCCTCTAATGACAGAATCAAATTGACTCTTGCAAGAGGCCAAATAATTCTTCAAAACAATTTCAATCACATTAAAAATACTCATTTTGTACACTGGAAGGGAAAGAGAAATCTTGAACAATTCTCTAAGCCAAGATGCTAAGAAGAGAGCACTGTTCAATAGTGGTCTCTTTTCAGTTTTGGAAACGTAGGTATAAGTTGAGGAGGTTTGGTTTGGGGATTCTCTAGGGAGGAAGGCATTGGTATTGTGCTTGTCTTGGTCAGTTAAGAGTTTGGACAATTTGTTTCTATAGTCCTCTTCGATGAGTGGCATGAATGCACCAATGATGAAATTATCCATGAACATTTGGAGGATTGATTCATTGCTGTTTCCAGAATAGGTTCTTTCATCTTCATCATCTTCGTCTCTGTCATTGACAATTTTGAAATTGGAATAGATCTGATCGACGAATCCAGTAACAACCTTGTACATCCAAATGATATTGTAAGGTGAGAAGATAAAGTAGCTGTTCAACGATTCACACAAAATTTTCATTGAACCTTGATCTTCAGATTCATTCATGGCCATGAGTGGAAAATCTACATTGGTGGAGAATTTGAATTTGATTTCAAAGTTAAAATCAGAGATTTTCTTCTTCTTTTTACCATTATCAGCAAATTCACTGAGGTTTGTGGTGGATTTTCTCTTGCTTGAATTGTCCAAATCACTATTTCTCAAACCTAAGAGTTCCTTGAGTACGGATCCCATTTCATCTTCCACAGTTTTCCAAATGTGTTCAATGGAGAGGAGACTTGGTGTATCTGGAGAGGAAAGTGTATTAATGACAAGTGTCTTGAAGCTAGATTTAACCTTTTCTGCATTTTGTTTCTCCTTCTTTCCTGCATCTCTTGTCTTCAAGTCAACTTGAACTTCAAATATCAAGATTAGATCCTTTACACGTTGTCTTGCTGACTCGTCGTAGTTCTTATCAATAAAGTTGTACATTAATTCTTCCATGCACTCCTGCAACAAGTCCTCAAAGTCTCCAGCAGTTCTAAAATTCAATCTCAAATCTTCTAATTTCTTAGAGATGGATTCTCTTACTCTTGTAATAACCTGCTTGGAAAGAATAATACTCATAGATCCCAATTCCTTATCGCCTATAATGGAGCTGTCTCTCTGAGCTAACTTTTGCTCGAGTAATTTGATTAAGAATTGATAATTCTTCATCACCTTTTTCAGTTTGATAAAAAGTCCTTCCATCATTTCCGAAATTAATCTTCCTTGCAAAATTGCCTTTCCAGTGTTGGTTTTATGTTGTTCGAGTGGATCGTCAAAGTTACTGGAAAAGAGCCCAACTTGTTCATTACTTGCTAAATTCTTATTTTGAATAATTAGCCACAACAAGTCTCTGTCAGATCCCTTCAATGAATTTGCAAACTCGTTAATGTGAGACTCTATCAAGTGTCTCAATTCGAATCTCAAATTTTGTACCAATTTGGATTGCAATTCAGAAAGTGTTCCCAACACATCGAGAGCTTCCACTAAATTGATAACATACTGGGCTGGGTCTTCCTTCTCATAATCTAGTGCCAAATTATCTTGGACTTGTGAAAATGGTTTGATTTTTTGTTCTGGTTCTGGATCTTCTTTAGTTATAATTGGGGATACACCTGGTCTTGTGGAAAATCTCTTAATTTGATTAGCCAATTTACTATTCAGTTTTGGAATAGTAATTGGTGAATTGGCATGGGTAGGAATACCACTACCACTTCCACCAGCCAATTGATATCTCCAATCATCATCATCAATCATATCCAATGATTTTTGATAGGCATGAATGTGAAGCTGAGCCTTCAATTCATCAGTGATAATATCTGGCATTTTGTCATAAAATTCCATAAATTGGTCACGAATATCATGAAGAGCCTTGATAGATCTCAATCTTTCGCTATTTGCCATTCCATTATAAGTTTTCAAAGTACGAGCTGCATATAAAAAGTGTTTTGAATTCATGGACGATGTAATCTCATTTGGTGCATTCTTTACTTTCTGCACAACATCTAAAATATCCAAAATCTATCCGAAATTCCAGTTTCAATTTAAACATGTTAAAAATCTCAACAACTCCTTACCTCTTTCTGTTGCAAATAACTACTATACAATGAAATCAAATCTGTAGATCTCAAAGCCAACAACTCCTTCGTTGTTCTAACTTTTTCAATCATATTCTGTACTTGACTTTGACCCTTCTCCATCAAATCCAACATGTCAGAAAAATTACGAATACTCTTATTGAAGCCCTTATAATTAACACAGACAATTTGCTTGACTGCATCATCCAAAAACTTCTTATTATCCTTCAATTTACGTAAATCCTCTTTATCCGTTCCATTCTTGAGAGAACGAGCAATGGCATCAATGTAACTAAAATCCTCAACTCTATATTCAGCATCAATCGAATCTATAATTTCATCCAGTGATGATTTTAAATCCTCCGATGTATAATCACTATATTGATGATATAAAAGTTGTTTTTGTTCCATATCTTCCTCTTCATTGTCACTTTCGTTTTCTTCGTCCATTAATTCCTCATCATAGTCATAGTTGGTGGCTGTTACATCATCTTCATCAGTTGGTGCTTGTTGATCGGTGACTGTTGTTTCTTCATCAGTGGAATCCTTCTTCTTTTTCCTTCTGAATAATTTTTTCATTTTTTTTAATATTTAATTTAAAACGTCAAGTGTCTGACATTCAAGCACAGATTACAAGAATAGAAAATATTGTTTTTTAATAAATTAGAGGGTTGGTTGTTCTGGACTGCTTTCTTGTTGCAATTTTTGCATTTGTTTGATTCTTTCTTGTTGTCTTTCAGTAATCTTCTTGGCAGTATCTTCATCCTTCTTGGCCAATTCATCATTACCCATGTGGATGTGGAGCATGGAACGATAGTGATAGAACAATGGATTGTTTGGATTCAACTTGATGGCCATGTCATAGTCTTTGAGAGCCAATTCATTATTGATAATCTTCATGTGATAGACGTGAGCTCTGTTAAAGTAAGCAGCAGCCATTTCACTTCTCAATTCTGGAGTGTATCCACTGGCAGTCTTTGGCTTGGCAACTTCAATAGCCTTAGTGAACAATTCGATACCTTGTTCATTTTCATTCATGAGAATGTGAATACTACCCATACTTGTAATGGCCTTCAATTGAGCTGGAGCTGGCATTTTAGTAGTAGATTCAGCAAAACAACTGTAAGCAGTGGCCAAAGCTGGAGAAGTTTCAAAGGTTGGAACATTTCCATCTGGTGCCTTATCCTTATATTCAGCAACGAACATATTGAGAACAATCATGGCATAATCTTGGAGTAAAATACCAGTGTATGTTTCAGAGGTCAATGAACTTCTCTTATCGATAGCTTGTTGGAGATCTTCGAGAGCAGCCTTAGAATCACCCATATAATTGTATTGCAAGAGACCTCTTTGATGATATGAGACAGCATCATCAGGATTGACCTTAATAGCTTCATCGAATGCTTTAACTGCATCAGCAATTTGATTACGAGTCTTATTGAAGAGACCTACAATGATTTGTTCAGCACACTTATCAGAGGCACAATCGAAACTCATGACAACATCAGTGAAAACTTGAACATCGTTGGAATTATAGTAGATGGCTCTTTCAACATCGAGAATGGCACTGTCGTACATCTTTTTGGAGAAATAGATGGCAGCTCTCTTGGTCAAGGCATCGAAACGGGATGGATGAGCTTCCAACAAAGTGTTAAGGTCAGTAAGTGCCTTTTCAGTATCACCCAATTTGAGGTAGGAAACAGCTCTACACAAATAGGCTTCCATATTTCCTTCTTCAATTGAGAGGGTCTTGTTACAAGCTTCAATGGATTCTTGTGGTTTTTCCATGAATAAGAAAGTGGAGGCACGAACACTAATGTCTTTCAATATTTCACTTTTCAAATTCACAATACTTACAGATAACTTGGGGAGAAATCTGGCATAATTTCAATAGCCTTATCACAAGTTTCCAAAGCCTTATCCAAAGCTCCAAGCTTGTGCAAACCTAAAGCCTTTCTAGTGAGAAGAATGACCTTGATTTGAGGTAAATTAGTCATTTCAACATAATCTCCCATTTGGTCAGCAACATGTTGAACATATTGAGCATGAGCTCCATTTGGAGCAAATTTAACAGTTGGGAGTGATGAAACAATGACATCTTCAGCCAACATTCTATATACATGAAATAGTTCAATCATTAAACAAATAGATGAATAAATTTGAACTATTTCAAACCTACCTCAAAACATCACCAACAACCTTATTCTCCAATCCACCAGAAGTAGCATACTTTTCAAATGTACTAATGATAGCATCAGCAAATTCATTAACATCCTTTTCCACTTGAGACAATTGAGTTTGGTCAATATCAGCAAAAATAGTAGAATTGCTAGAGAGAATATTCAAAATTTCATAATAAACAGGTTTCCATTCTTCCATAGTTTGTGCTCTAAAGATGAGATGTCCTTGGAAAATCAATGTTTGAAGTAACTTGTCCAAATCAGCAAAATTTTGCAAAGGAAGATTAGCAGATTGTTGTTGAATAAATTGGAAAATATGTTGACTCAAGGCTGATTCATCAAGTGGTTGTTCTTGTTGTTGATTTCTAACATTTAATTGTGTACTAAAATTCTTGATATTTTCAACAAGGAATTGATTTTGAAATGTTGTTGTCGGAATATTCTTCATTCCGAGCATTGCCGATGATGATGAAGTGGCAACACATGAGAGGGCCGATTTATTGCAAACCCTTCTTGAATGACGGAAAATCTTGGCTGTATGTGAGAGCATTATTTTTTTTCAATTTATTATTTTGATTGAATTTCAATTTTTATATAGTCCACTTTTTCAATATTAATTATTAGATTGATTATGAAAACTAAACTTTTGAGGATTGAATAAAGTGGAAAAAGATCATGACTTGACCTTGGGTAAATTTTGAACGAATTTCCAAATAACTTCTGAAGTTTCTTCTGGATTGTTTTGTAAAAGAAAATGAGAACCAACAATTGGTGGAGGACAATTACAATTTCCTTCGAATACCTCCTCCAAGAGTTGTTGAGCAGAGTTGGGGACAATCCAATCATTCCTAGCTCTCAGAATTAATAGAGGAATATTGTTGCATTTTCTCAATTCTTCAATTCTGTTCACATATAGAACATTTCTCAATCGGAGGCCAATAACTTCAGGAGGAGTTATTTTCATAGCTCTGAGAAATAGATTCCTCTGTTTTTCTGAATGGAACATGAGCTTACTAATGATTTTCATAAGCCACTCCTGTTGAAATAAAATTCTAATTAGAGAATCCATTAGATTAGTTTTGAAGCTTTGATTATTGGAATTGGGTGAAGAAAATATGAACCTGAAAGGAAAACTGAGTACTGGTCTAGGATTGGCCACAAATGTACAACATAATATCAAACCACTAATCGGAAATTCTCCTCCTTCCCGTTCATTATTCATCATTGATGTAATGGACGTGGCAATAGGTCCAGAAAATGATTCTCCCAAAATTACAACATTAGTTTCTTCTTCCATGTGATAATTGTCAAGAATTTCTTTGATTTTTCTTCTCGAATATAGTTCCAACTCTGAATAGTTCATCAATGGCTGATTAGGATAAGGTATCGGATAGATGTGCAAAGGATGGTTGAATTGTTTGCTCTTTTCCATCATTTGTTGAGTAAATGGTTCAAACAGAAGACTAGTTCCGTCCATTCCTGGAAGAAGTAGTAAGCAGGTAGATTTATATTTTTCAAAGGTTCTATTATTGAAAATGTTGTGACTGAGCCACTGATGTTTTTTAACAATGGCAAGATTTGTATGAAATAAATTACAGCTTGACGAAAGATGGGGTCTACACTTTAGCATTTTTTTGAAATTGATTACAAAATGACTGTGAGCTAGACCCTGTTCTCAGCAGTACAAGAACCAAGAATTAGTTCATATATGAACTCTTCTTTCCTCTGCTTTGAGAATGCTCATTGGATATATTCGTATGAATAAAATAATAATGAAAGGTTATGTTAATATCCCAGATATTTATGAGAATGTAGAACTTTAAGTGAACTGCAAATGAACTTGTAACTCACAAAATAAAATTATTAAAAAAAAATGTCTACAGCAACACCAAATCTCCAGGGCTATCAAACCAACTTGAATAAACTGGCTGAAGTTAGCTTTCCCTTCGGATCAGAGAATATTAGGCAAGCAATTTATTGTCCCTATCCTGATAAAACTTTAATTGTTGCTGCCAAAGCAATGAACCAACAGCAACCCTATCAAACTAAAATTGTTGTTGCCGATTTTTCATTCAATGATGATGATCCACTTGCTATGCAAGTTAATATATCAATAGTTAATGAATATCAGCTAAATATTGAAGGAGCACTATACACTATACCAGTACTGTTTCCCTTAAAAAAGGAAAAGTGTTTCCTGACCATTATTAATATTGCTGGAAAGAGAGAATTACGAAAAATTGATATTGAGAGTGGTGATATTGTGTGGATAAAGCCGGGAGTTGAGACTGATACTATTGTGGAGGATGATAGGGGGATATTATTTTACTTCTCCTATGATGGATATTTAACATTGATGGATTCAGTGACTGGATTTATTCTCGATAAAATTCGAGTGAAAATGCGAATGTTTAATGGCATTGGATGGGATGTAAATGATAACTTGATTGTGGGAGGATACGATTCAAAGTATTTATATTTTACGAGAGTGTTTACCAAGAATGGTAAAGTTGTAAAGAAGAAAACTAACTATGCGTATTTGACTTTTACTACGAAAGTAGATAGATACAATCGTAAGACCTATATACATTCTAATAATTCGCAGTGTTTAACAACCTTTGATGTGGAAGGAAGACTAATTGAAAATGTACAGTTTGGAAATAGTACTAGTTTGTGTGGATTCTTCTTTCTGAAAGATTGCAAATACATGATGATTTTTCTTGAATCAAGTCTAGCTATTTATGATTGAATTGTTGCTCAAAGAGTAGATTCAAGGTAAAGCAGATTTTCTGTTGTGTGGATGTTTTTATACTAGCTCTTCTGGTGAATGGCTTGAAGAGGAAACAAAGTATAATGAATTTATTTGAGGCATGGACCATTACAAGACCAACTTTATGTATAGATCACAACAGGTGGCACAATTGTCACAACACAAATAGTTATGATTATGAAAACAATGTTCATGCATAGCAAGATAAAAAAGGTGAGCATTGACAGGGAGGAAAGTCTTTTAGCCCTCTCACTCGACGATTTTCTGTACATTACCCAAACAAACAAAAATGGAATACTGCTCATACAAACACATCCAAAACATGTCATTAAGATAGAGAAACAAATGGCCATGGTGAAGGCACTTGAAGCTTCTGCAGCATCTTGATCAATATCTACAGGAACCATCATGACAGGCTGCTGATATTGAGGTTGAACATAAATTGGATCATGCACATAATGAACTGATTGTCCAGTATGCGAAGGTTTCGTTTCGTATTTTTGTTCGTGGCTGACTGGAACCGGTTCGGATGGGTTGATAGCTTGTTGTTGCGGTTGCGTAGTGTTTGTGGTTGGATTCATTTTTTTTCCTTAATTTCGAATGGAAGAAATAAAGATTCTTTTAGAAATTCTTTATAAAATTCCAAAGTAGAAAATTTACATATATAATGAAGATAATTATTTCATGAAAATTACTTGTAAAGTTCAAAGAAGATGAAATATTTATTTTGGAAATTGTCTTTAGACAGTATGACTTTCCTTCAACTTCATTATCTTTAATCCAACCATTAACGTTGAACGCTTCAGTGACAGAGTGCTTGTCAAAAAATTATGGAGATTCGAATACTTTCCAATAAGCCTACAAAAAACCTTGCTCTCAAAGCTTTGTCAACTTCTACTACAATTGTATTACAAGCGCGCTATTTTTAAAAACTCTTAAGGAAACAAACTTAAAAAAAACAAAAATTCTCAAAGCCTACAAATGAGCACGACGACCACTACCGAAGAAGCCTTCTTTTTATCAACTCATCAAGCACCAGCAGCAACTGAGGAGGAAGAACAACATTCCAATCCAGATGTTTGCTCTCCTCATTGTATACAAGATGAAATTGAATCAATTTTGAATACAAAATCATTGCCAAGAAAAACAATTACAGCATTTGAAGTGACGTCGATTTTCCATTCCGTACAAAACCTCATTATTCAATTTGCTAGTCAAGCAGAATGCGAAGCTTCTTCCTTAAATAATAATAACAAGTATGAAGAGGTATTAATGGAGAAGGTATTTGCTTGGTTGAGTCAAGTTTCTTCCGAATTGTTGGTAATATTTGAAGAACAAGTCTACATTGCAGTTGTTTTTGTAAATATGATTAGGAGAAAGAAGGCTAAAGTTTTGGTGAATGAAATTTTCAATGAGAAGGGATTGAATTTGAGCTTTGGAGAGGATGTACTCTCTCAACATGTTTCGAATACTTTGGAAAAGTTATGGATTGAAAGAAATTCTAATCAAAAATTGAGGATTTCCAATTGTTTTGTTGAGCAAGTTGCATCCATTTTGATAGACTTAATCATGCTGACTAATGACAAGAAGGCCCTTGAATCATTGCATTCGTTATTTGAGTTATTCGGCAAACAAGTCAATGCTGGATTTTGGCCAGAGCAAAGAGAAGCCATTTGCAGATATCTTTCGTACAATTCATTGAATTTGATGGGTCACTTTACCTTCTATTCATTGAAAAAGGAGTTAACCATGGAAATGGATAATTAAAATAATGTAAATAAACACCAAAATAATGTACATAACAATAATTTTGCATTAAGCTATTAATACAGACTTTATAAAGTCGTTTCTGTAAGGCAACCTATTGCAATGAAATGTTTGCAAATGAGTTGGATTTGTTTCCTTCTTCTCTGCTTGACATTTTCTGGAGTGACCACATGAGTTGTTTCAATACCTTAACTACCAAATATAGCGCCAATTTATTCCACTTCCAATTTGCTGAGGTATATTTTCTAATATGCGACTCTTTTAACCCCATTACTGTTTTCTTCCAATTCCAATTCCTTCATGACCACCTTAATGTGAAATCTCAGCCAACTAACTATAACTGACTGTAAACAAAAACCCAATCAACAAAAAAAAGCATGGGCGACAATATGACTCTTTCCAACTCCTCTCAAGACCTCATATTGGACAAGGCACCACGTCATGACGACTCCAAATCCACAACAGGCAATATTAAAGATAACATTCCAGTTAAGTTCAAAAAACCAATCATGAGTAAAAAGAATTTAAAACAATGTGGACGAGTTATTGGATGGATAGTGTATTGGTTATTGATATTTGCTGGATGGGTTGCAATAGCAGTTCAATTCGGAATTATGAGAGCTTCTCCTGTTAATCCAAATAATCCTGAAGATTATAGAAAGGACCTCTTTATTGGAAAAGACTATACTGTCGATAAGGGATATCCAGCACTCATTGTTCATGCTATTGGTGGAATATTGTGTCTACTCATTGGTATATTGCAATTTCAGGATGTGATTCGAAGAAGAGTGATGATTATTCACAAGATTATTGGTTACATCTTTTCAGCGTGTGTGTTTATTGGATTCGTGGGTGGATTATGGCTCATTCCATATAGTGTAGGAGGTGTTAACACAAAAGTTGCCTTCTCTCTCCTATCTCTGATATGGATTGTCACTCTGGGAATGGCTCTTTTATACGTAACCTTTGCTCACAAGAATCCACTCGTAAAACATCTTCCTAAAGGTGATAGAATTCAAAGACATAGAGAATGGATGATTCGATGTTTCAGTTCTGTATGTGCTGCCATCACTCTGAGAATTTATCTATTTCTATTTGCTGGTTTTTACATTGCTGGCAATCCAAATCTCTCTGATACTTCATATGGCATTTTGGATGCAGCCCAGAAGGAAGTTTATGGAGCTTCAGCTTGGTTGGCTGTGAGTGGAAATTTAATCATTTCAGAAATTTATATTAACATGGTTGTTAGAAAGAAAATTGTGAATGATGGAAATTTAAGTTCTGAAATGCAAGTTAATCCTTCAAAAAAGTTTTAATCTCGAATAAATATTGAAATGTTGGTAAAATTAGTAAACCAGTGAAATTATATACAACAAGATTAGCCTAAATATGAGCAATACTACACATTTGAATTATGAAATTGTTACCAGACTATTTGGTAATTGTGCATTTCAATAATTGGTCAATAACACTCTCAGTAAACTTAATTTTTTTGTCCTTTCTCTTTTTTTTTAACAATCTATGCTTTTCCTTAATTATCCGATACTGTTGTCTCTCCTCTTCATATTTTAGTTTTTCTTTTAGTTTTTGTTCATAAAGTGCAACAGTGTTCATTGCAGAAAGAATCTGTGTACCAATATATCCAAAAGGATTTGTTTTTGAATTCATCCAAGAAAGATTTATAAACATGAAAAGGCATCCAACTATTTCAATAAGATGATCTGCATTGCAAAAGTCCCAAGTTTGAATCTTATTGAATAAGAAATAATCCAATGAATATGGTTGATGTGAATAAAAGAAGGTAATTTTACAACCATGGATGATGAAACAAAGAGAGAACATTCTTTGTGTGTTGGTGTGTTTTCTTTGCATTATGTGTGATGTGAAAATACAGTTTCTCCATTCCTCTTCGCTCTCTATTGACAAGTCACTTGAAACTATTCCACACATATTAAATTGTTCATAGCTGATTGCTAGTAATTGATTGACCAGGATATTTCCATTCTCATCTCTCAAATAATCATTCACCTTAACTTCAACTCCTACAGAATTAAATAGCTTAATAATAAAGTTCAAGAAGGGAATTTGATTTAACATAGAAGATCTCTTGCTCTTCAAGTCATATTCTTCCTTTACAAAACTAGCAAAACATTTGAACATGGGAGAATAAATTGCTATCTTTGGATATTCTCTAATGTACTCCTCCATATAATATTCAGATTCAAACAATATATTTCTAAAAAACAGCAAGCTGTACATGGTATACTTATTAAAATGTTCATTCAAAAAAAACGGAACTTGAAAGCTTTTCTCAATATCATCATCAAAGTAATCTTGCACATTCCATCTCAGAACCAAATCAAGAACAAACTTTTCAATACTTATTTTTTCTCTTTCCTCGGGAGATAAATCATCATCATTTAATCGGATGGCTTGTTCCTTAATTTCGGCCATTCTTGAATTGAAGAAAAGTTTGTTTTCCGCTAAGAAATCAATTTTGTTGTGGATGCCAATGTTCCAAAGCTTAATATTATTCAGGACAACTTGGTTATGACGGGAGAACAAGAGTGTTTCAGTCATTTTTTTTATAAATTGTTTTCCGTTATTTTTGGAGGGAAATATTTAATGAACAGTTTCGCTTTTGTGTACTCAAAATCAAGATGAGTTGATTTCTCCACTTCTATTTAACAAGTGAAATCTTGAATATTGCATCTTGTTCATCTTGTTCATAATCCATGTTTTCAAAATCAACTATTCGTACTCTTAATTTAAGTGAGCCTCTACTTTGAGTTTCAATCTTGGTGTAGAATGTGGTGTCATTGAACAATTCATTCACAATTCCTTCCTTTCCATGAATGAGTTTGAATGCTTGGTTGGCTCCTTTCAATGATTGCTCTCTTATATTTTCAATAGAAAGAGTTAACAATAATTCATTAAGAAGAGGTAATTCTTCGAATAGATCTCCTATGGTGACATGATTATTCTCCAATGTCTCACCAAATGTCAGAAATCTTCTTGCTTGTTTGAACTTTTTACATTTTTGGAGAAAATTTGTCTCAGGTTTGGCTTGGTACAATACGTAGGAGTCATCAACGAGTTCCAATGTTTCCTCCAATACCTCCAAAATATCACTAAAATCTCCTTCAGAACCAAGTGAAATTGGAAACATTTTCAACTTGAAGGTGTTTACAATGTGCCTAATAATGTCCAGATCCAATTCCTGAGTATTAATACAGACTTTTTCCAATTGATTCATTTGCATCATGATTTGTAAATTCCCAGTTTCATTCATATCTCTTTCACCATATGAAAACTCTGTCAATTCTCTACAATAATCTCTAATATTCAAGAATAATGTATTGGGAAAACAATAGTTAAAACCAATTGCAAGCTTCTTTAGGTGAGGTGTTCTGGTAAAGAATGAATAGTTGATGTCATTATCATCAGAAGTGGAAATATCCAATGATTCCAGAGCAAATGGTCCCATATCATCATTAATTGCCAAATTGCCACTAACGCATGTCAAATGTTTTAAATTCTTACATTCAATAAGAATAGCATTCATCACATCTTGTGGAATGAGATTATTTAGATGTAATTCTTCCAAATTTGACAAACTTGAAACCCATTCTTTCAATATTTTGATGTTTTTTTGGCTCATTTGCTTGAATATGGATATATTGAACAAGGATAACTTTTTCAAACCATTAAAGCATCCAGTTTCTTTTGATTTTTTGAAAAAATCAATTGTCAACACTAAACTCAATCCTTCATCCCCATCATAATTATTACCCAATTTTAATACTTTACATGCGTTCACACAAGCAGCTCTAGACACAAAATCAACCAATCTAACAAAGTATGCCTTGTCAAAACGATCCCTATGCAATTTCATCCTACTTTTGAGAATAATCTTTTCATAAATTATGTGTTTAGTGTCCAATGTTCCCTTCCCACCCAAAATTTCAAAAAACTTTTCACACACAGCCATAACATTTGGCAGTAAATCGGTGATTGGATCCAAAAAAAGGAAAATATTGGCCAGTATTTCATTGGTCAAGTGTATTAGAGATTGGGAGGAGCAATCTAGCTTGGTTTTTTTCGAAAGATGCTCCGTTGAATGTGAATCGTGTCGTTTCATTTTTTTTGTTTTGGAATCAAGTTGGAGGGTTACCTTTTATCAATTTCCACAACTTTGTGGATATTCGTAGATTTTCATAGGATAATTTTTGTAATGTATTTTGTTTGATTCCCTTGATTAGTTCTTAAAAGATTGTTTCAAGAGTGCATCCATTTCTTCATCAATATCACGACCCATATAAAATGGATCGTTACTTTTGTGTGTTAAGCTTGTAAGATTTTTCAGATACTTGCTCTCCAATAAATATAGAGCTCCTACATTGCTAATATTTGCATTTGCAATTGATAATTCTTTCAGGTTGGTCATATTTGGACATTCAGCAATGACTTTCATCCCTTCATCTCCCAATTCGGCATAATCCAAGTATAGGTCAGTGATATTCTTAGCATTTTCACTGTTAAGGTATTTTTTCAATCCATCAGGGGTGAAAGTCCCACTATCCATATAGATTCTTTCAAGTTTAGTAAGGTATGTATTGTGTGTCAATAAATCCATCAACGTGTCGTCGGCTTCATTTGAAAATGAAATAGATTTCAAATTTGACAGAAATTGACTTTTACAAAAATGTATATAACCTTCATAGTTTCTCTTTTGTGTATTGCTAATGTCAATAAATGTCAATTTTGAGAAATTTTCACTTTCTGAAATATATTTAGATGTCAAATATGAATTCCCACCCCAAAATGATTCCAAATGAATTAAATTTTTGATATAAGGACTATCAGCCAATGCCTTAAATCCATCATCACCAATATTAACTCTATCCAAATCCAAATAGGTTAAATTTTTCAGAGTTTTCCCCTTAAACAACTTGTCAATCTTATTAACTGTCTCATCTCTTCCATGTACGGATAATGATCTCAAATTTATCAAATATTTTGATTCAGAAAATAGTTCAAACAATGTATCCCACGAACAAGTTGCTTGTGAAATGGAAAGATTAGTGATGAGCAATGATGATGGGTGTAAACAAATCTCTGAAAAATTATTCCTATCGATTGATGCATATGATTTTTCAAATTCAAATTTTAATGACTCTCCGAACCATTGACAAGAAACCATCATGACAACTGCCATCTGATCAAAATCACAAAATTGCATCATGTGAAAGATCATGTCCGAGGGAAGTGGATTCAGTTGAGACATTTTTTATTAACAAGTTTTCGAATTTATTATTATTGACTTTCAAAATAAATAACACCACAAATGGAACAATGAAAGCTGCCAAATAATAATTTTGATTGGTAGCAACCTCAGGCATGACTAGTGGATCCTCACTCTTCACTGCAAACACTTTTTCAATACGGTAATATTCAATTTGAATGATTTGTTTTTCCAAAATTAAATGCCTTCTCTGATTAGAACATAAGCATGTGGTACTTCAGTGAGTTATCTTCATCAATACAGTCGAATTGAAAGGTAGCACAATATAATGTTGAGGTTTTGTTCGTTCTTAATACAGTTGAGCTAAAAGAGGATTTGGTTTCAGGAACTGTTCCCAAATTTGGGATGTTCTATTCAACTTTTCAACTAATTGTAATGTGTATTGTTAAAAACTCTTATTTTTGTGGGTTGGAAGCTAGCTGGAAAGTGGGAAGTAAAGTATTTCCTCAACTGATGGTAAATTTTGAATCTGAACGTTTTAAAACAAACAACATTACAAGTGACAACAACATTACAAAAAAATGTCCTCATCACAACAACAGTACCATGGAATATTACGACAGGTTCCCGCCGAGTTGATTTTTGATATTTTGCGTTATTTGGATTTTGTTTCACTCAAGCCTTTAATATTTTGCTTTGTAACTGTTGACTATTATTTGCCAACACAATTACAAGAGACAATTAGCCTTGGTTTATCATCATTATCTAATGTTTCTAATGGTGACAGTGGTGGATCTGGCTCCGGATCTGGCTCTTCATCTAGTGTTGGATATAGTGATGGATTTTCTTATTGTTCTCTCCCGATTAAACATTTATTTGGTGATGAGTTTGGGATTGCACGATTTGGAATTTATTTAAAGATGAGATTTATAGAGAGTATTCCTGGGACATTGAAATTGAGTCACGGTAGAAGAAATAGCTTTGATGATATTTATAGAGAATTGGAAAAGTTATTTGTACATTATAATCCAATGATGAGTAAGAACTTGAAAAGAATTGGAAAGGAATTTGAGGAGGAACGAATTAGGGTTAGTGTAGAGTATAAAATTCAAAAGTATTTGGATGTGACGGTAACGAATGAGAATTTTATGGAATTTTGTAGAAATTACAGACATGCTTCAAAGATCATTTTGGAAAATTGGGGAAAGTATGGCTATGGAAGTGAATCAAATTTGAGGTATAAAATTCCGGGTAATATTTTGGTGGCTTTCAAAGAAGTTTACAAAAATCTTGTAAAACCTTTGAAAAATATTCATGATGAAAAGGCAACCTCAAAAAATCCTTACATGAAAGCACTTATTGTTGTGGTTAATTCAATGAATGAATGTGCCAAGTATTTTAAACTATTGAACAGAGATTTTATTTACGCAAGCAGTAGACTTGCAAATGATTATCCAATACCAGTGGAATTATTTGGCAAGTTTTGGAGATATTTAGATAATCCACTCACATACGAACCACTTTTACATATGGTGACGAACTTGTCAGATAAAAGGCAAATTATCATTGATATTTGCAACTATTTCTCAAACATGAAACCACCACGCACATGCTATTGCTACACAGGCAGACTACGAAAAATTCTTGGAAATATTCAAACTCTTTTCCAAACATAATGCAAAAGTTCTAGGCAATGATATTTTTGATTTGCTCTATTTCGAATCATTTGAAGAAACTCTGAAAAAGACTCTCTACTTTAAGAACAACACAATGCAGATAGATGAATTGACAGATTTTATTTTTACTAATGGAACTAGGTAATTCTTACTTGTCATAAAATCAAGTTTTTCCAAATTTCAAATGGATTTCTTTACAAAAGCGATTATTTCTTCATAATTATTACCTATTTATCTGTAGGACCAGTGAAATCAGTGAAGGATGTGGAAGATGAGATTGTATCTGATGTTTCGTCTACGTCCAATCCACTAGATGAAGTAGTGGACTCATTCTCTTGATCCAATTCTTTGAGGAATCTTTGGAATGTATCTCTATAAAACATTCCCCGTACAATGGAAAACAGTTTATCCAACAAATCTATCTGCCCATATCCATCCCTTATTTTAGAAACGATTGTAAACTCTTCCTCTTTAGAAATATTGAGCTCATATTTGGCATCCTTTGTCAGGAATTTGGCAATTATTTCCTGTTGCTTCTTGACACGGTTATGTGTACGTTTAATCTTTCTATATGCTTCAACTTCTTCAAGGAATAGGCAATTTTCGTATGATTTCTCATTAATACAGAATATTCTCAACTTTTCTTTCATTTCCTTATTCTTCCAATAATAGTCAAACTCGAAATTCATTCTTTGCTCTGAGAATTGTTCTTGTTGAGTCTTGATTGTCTTTTGAAGTTCGTACTGGTCGGCCATATTTCTTGCCAACAGAACAAATGCATCCACAATTTCTCCTCCATCAATGACAATCTTCACCTTACTACAATTTACATGAATGGGTATGAGAGCATTGTATCTTGAAACAAAATTAGTTTCCCAAATCTTGGCTGTGCCAGAACAAATGTCCTCCATCCTACCAAGCAACTCTTGCATGGTTGGCTTGGAGTCAAAGTATTCATTAATTGCCTTGTTGGTGACCTTCTTCTCTGTGGCCTCATTTACCACTCTGGTCATGATTTTAGCCTGGAATGATGTGTTATAATTCAATATTTTACCATCTTTAGAATCAATGGTAATAATGAAATCTGATATAGCATTCAACACTTGTCTATATTTTTGTTCCTCAAGAGAGGTTCGATCTAATAGAGATTGAGCATTTTCGTGATCCTTTTGTAAGTGTTGATAGGACTTTTCCAAAACTCCAAGCATTAAATTAACGCGGTTTGCCAATCTACCAATTTCGTCTTGGGTATATTTGGGAATTCTAGAGCCGTTCATCACAACAGTTTCCCAATTGTTTGTAATTTTAACGACTGAATTAGTTAATCTCACCATTCTTCTCAGCACCACTAGCTCAATAAAGGCCATTACAGCTACAGAAAGGATAATTAACATGACTGTCATTACTCCCCAAGTAATAAGGAAAGAATTGATTCCATTAGTGTAAATTTTTCTAGACATGTCTGTTCTAACGAGAATTGTCTTTTCTCCATTAATATCAGACATGATTTGATAAGCAGACATTCTTTCACCATCAATGGCTTCTGGAGTCATTCCAGAATTTTTAGTCTTGGTAGAATAACAATACCTATTTGTAGTCGCCACAGCATCTGCAGAATCAAATGTAGAAACATATATTGCTGATTGTAACACCCAGCTGTCATCTTCTACATCTACCTGCAATGCTTCACTTGAAGAAACAACAGAATCGAATTGTTTAGCACTTGTTGATGTTGATTTTTCAACAACAAGCTGATCGCTCGAAGAATTGTAATTATAAAATGATATACAAAGTTGAGTCTTGGTAGTTAATGCATGAATAGCATCAGCGTTCTGGTATCTTCCGAATACCATAACACCTCCAGATTCTGATGAATAATCCGAGCTCAGTACCGGCATTGCCACGAGCATTAACATGTCATTAGAGTGATTTACATTGTTTGATGATGGCTTCATATAGGTAGCTCTCCTAGTTGATGTTACTGACATATCCTTAATGAGATAATGATCTGGCGAAAGATTTTCCAATTCTTCAGGTAAACTCTCCTCCAATGTTGAGTTAAAGCAAGCCATACTCCTTAATTTAGTTCCGTTCAAATAATACAGAGCAACAAGTGACAAGTTAACATTGCTCATATATGAACAAAAAATGTTGTTTGTAAAATATTGGTCAACCAGTTCAGGACTTGGCTCAATTGTGGTACCATCCTCATAGGTCACATTCACAAACAGATTCAAAGTTGAATCCCATGGTGCATATTCCAAAAGTTTAACATACAGACCACTATAATATTCGTGTATTCCTCGAGATACTCTAACACTTGCTTCCACCACCGAATTGTACTCAACCCTCGTATATGATAAATGGAAGGCAACGATCAATATTACCAGACAAGCCAACACTGTCACAAAGAACAGCAAGAGTAATATTGTTAGAGTCTTGAATCGAATAGAGTTTAGCCAACCCACTTTATCTCTCTTTTCCATCTCTTCATTATTAAATAAATTTTTAATGTCAAACTTCTTCTGCAGCACAGAAATTGCCTTTTCCTTTGCAGTGCTATTACTATGTGAACGAGTAGTTGACCTTTCATCATAGTTGTCTTCATATTGTTTATTTCCTCCTCCTCCGATGGCAATATCAAACGAGCCCGAAAAACTCGACATATTACTATCCATTTCTAATAATTCTGCAGAAGGCACTCGTAACTCTGATTCATTCACTCGAAGACTTGTTCTACTATCGCTATTATCCACAACCATTTTCTATCTCTTTTTCCACAATACTGTCTAAACGTGAACTTTTTTTAAATAAAAGAACAATAGATGATGCGTTTTCTCAAACCCTTGAAATATGATTTCTCTCCTCAAAGTTGTGTGTTGCAGAAAAATAAGCGACGATTGTATTTGTTTTTTTTTTAATGATGAAAGGTTGTTTGTTGGCGCAAAGTGTTGGTGGTAGTAAGAAAGAATCCGCACCACAAAACATCATAAAAGGTACTGCATAAGGAAGCGATTGGAGAAGAATGATTTCGAAAAGGTAGATTGAGAATGAGGAGTTTTGCGAAATCCATGATCTATTGGGATTTTTAGAGAATTGATTTGGTGTTTGGAATATGAAAGCAAGAGATGATGTAAAATACAAAAAGAGACAAATCTAGTTTTGATTTCTCTGATCAAGAGTCAAAAATGAAAAGATTTGGATGAATTGGCCATTTGTAAAGGTCCATTATTGATTGAAAAATGCATTGGGTCTTTACAATCAACTGTTGGAATACAACTCTCAACAATTTTTACAAAATCATTTTCTGATTAAAAGTGGAAATAAAATTAAAAATTAAAAAAAAAATGTTGCAACTTGATGAAGAGGAAGAAACCACTCAACAATTGGAAGGAATTCTCATGCAAAGTACCATTCCATTAAAATCTTTCAGAGGGAAGAATATTAAAGGTTTGTAAATAGTGTGTTCGTTCCGACGAATGGAAACAAGCCTTCTTCGGAATTAGATTATGAATTGGCTTTGGATTGGTGTAGGAAATTTGATGAGAGGGAAAGTGCTGTGGATTATTTGGAGGATTTGAATAGAGTAAAATTGTTGAAGAATTTATTGAATATTAAGAGCAATCTTGTTGGATTAACAGAGTTGTTTCTGACGAGTTGTTTTCGTCATGTTGGAAATTCAATGTTTAGTGGAAAACAAGAGGATTATGCATTATATACGAGAATTATACAGGATTGGATGAACTTACAATTGACAATGTTGCAACAATCGAAAGAGACAACAGGAGTGACTGAGAAGACTGCTTTTGATTATTTGATGGAAGATGATGAACAAGAAGAGGATGAGGATACAACAGCAACTGATGATGATTTTAATACAGAAGGGGCAGAGGAAGAGACAGAAATTAATTTTGATGAGGAGAAATCGGATGAGCCTCCAATTGTGAATATTTTGAATATGATTACTGATGTGAGTAGTTTAAATAGTTTGGAATATTGGATAACTACTTGGAACAGATGTTTGAGAAGGAATGTCAATTCTCTCAATTATTTTCTAATGCAGTTTCACATGTAGATAATTTTCCTTTACTAGAGGTGAACACCAATTACTATACAAGTTCTTTGGAATATTGTGTGAAATGTAGACATGTCTCCTTTGTCCAGGTGAAATTAATTACTTCACAATTAGAAATACTGTCAGAAATGTACAGCTCTGGAATTTCCAAATTTTTCAAACGTTTATGTAAAATTGTGGCAAGCAATAGTAGAGGATTGGAAACATTGATTCTTTCCATCACTGACCTTTCTTCCCAACATTTGGACACATTTTCAAATCTCCTTCTTGAGGAATTACCAAACATTCTTTCAAATTGGAAACAACAATCCAAGTATGTCAGTAGAATTTTCGATACAGGTGAGATTAGTCTCCTCGACTGCAATCTTTCTCATTATCTCATACTCTTACTTGCCGAATTGTCGAATTCTTGGACTAACTTTGTAATGATTCAAATTACAAAGAAACTACTCTCCTCCGATCATGATACACTCCACTCCCTCATTTCCTACCTCTTCAAACATGGTTCAAAAACTCTACTTCAATTCCTGAGTCACTGGCAAACACTTCTTCCCAATAACAAGCTGCAATTATTCAAAGTTTAATACGAGCTCACATCAAAAATGACTGAATCACAAACATTTGGCAATCATTCTCTTGTGTGAACTAGATCAACACAATCACCAAAGTGAATCTAACATTATCGTGCTCCTTAATATAACAAAGAACAGTAAAATCGTGTTCTGCGAATTTCCTCAGCACAGTTCCAATTTCTTCACTTCTCTTGGTGCTGATTCGGATCAAACATCACGCGATAATGATTTTAAAAAATTAAAAAACAAAATCAAATCCTCCACTTTTCCGAAGGCACCACACTGAATCAACAACTACTAACAATTTACTGCTTGTGTTTAGTTGATTTTGGAAAGAACAAACCACCATAGTCACTTTGTAAATATTTACATCTAGAGAGAACAATTATCAATGACTCTTCCAAGCGCCTCCACTACTGCTGTTACTTCCTCATCATCATCATCGACTCCCAGCACTGTAACAACACCATCCTCAACATTGACTCCTACTACAACTTCAGCATCATCTACTCTCGCAAGTACAGCTGCCTCTGCAAGTGGTGCTACTTCAATAGTAGTGACTGCAACAACAAGTGTCACCACACCAACAACTGCTGTTCCCAAGTTGGGAGTTACTGGATTGACCACAGGAACTTCATCAGCATCATCAGCTAGAAGTAGAACTATTTCTATTGGGAAACCAAATTCATCGACCACACAGAAGGATCCTTCTTTTGATTTATTACTTTTACAACAATATAGACAAGATATTATGAAACTATTCGAATCGGAAATAATGTCCGATTTGACAATTGTTGTGGGTCCTTCAAAATTGATTGGAAGTATGGAAGAGGATAAACCTTACAAGACAACTAATAGCTCTGACAAGTTTAAAAACAAGTATTATCCATCAGATGACTGCTCTGTTGTGGAATTTAAAGTACACAGAGCTATTTTATGTGCTCGTTGTGAATATTTCAGTAAACTATTCCACTCACAAATGAAAGACTGTATGCAGGGTTATTTAAAGTTTCCAGATAAGAGACCAGATGATTTCAAGTGCTTGTTGGATTTCTTTTATTCAGCTGTGATTAATATTAATCATTTTAATGCATTTGGTGTTTTGAAATTGAGTGATGAGTTGGGTGTACAAATAGTGAAGGAGAAATGTATTGAATATGTGAAGGATTGTGTATCAGCCGATAATGTATTTGATGTTTTGGAAGAATCATCATTCCATAACTTTGATGGTATGTATTTTTGTCATTGACGTTTATCCTAAACTATTAGAATTGAGAAAGTACTGTAAAGAATATTTGGAAGAAAATGCAAATCAAATGTTCTTCTCGGAAAGCTTTTTAAACATTACAAAGGAAACCCTGATTGACTTGTTAAAATCTGACAAGATTCACTTGGGTGAATTGGATATTTTCATTGCTGTCGTTATTTGGGGAAAACATCAATTAATTCACAGAATGGGTGTGCAAATTGTTTCACCAAAATCAGGTGCAAATCAAATTACTGTACAGACACATGTTGCTTCAGGTCATCAGAATAGTGTTGGAAGTACTTCAACTCCAACTAAGACTGTCATCTCTTATGGAATGGATGGTTCTAGTAAGGTACTTTCGAAGGAAAATCTTCCAGATCATTTGAAGAAATCTGGGCTGACAGAGAGTTTGACTGAGAGAAATCTTTCAATTTCAGAACAGAAAGCTCCACAACCAAGTCCAGAATTATCAATTTCTGAACTCAATCCAAAACATGACGATGATGATGAAACAGATAAGGATGTTGTGGATGAAGATGATGAATATGAAGAGGAAGTTGACACCTTAGCATATAGTACACTCAATCCTGAAATTATGTTAACCAATCCTTCTGCCTCTCGCAAACAAGATGCAGATGAATTGAAGCAAAAGAAGGAAAGAATTCTCAAGATTGTCAATTATACACACGATAAGAGTTTCTGCCAACAATTGGCCAAACTATTGTACGATATTTTACATAATGTTAGATTCCCAACTTTGGATCCTATTGAATTGTATGAATTTGTGGAAATTTCAAAGGTTGTCCCAAGTGAATTATTACTTGAAGCTTACAGAGCTCACTCACTTCAAAACAGAGTTGACTTGTTCAATTCAGCTCGTCTCAAAGTCAGAGAAGGTTCTCTTTTCTATGTCAGCGGTGTTTGTACTGATGTACCAATTAGTAAGCTGAAAGGTTGGTGTCTCTACTATCACAAACCATACCATCACCCAACTAGTGAAGCAGATATTCAAGCTATCAAAGGAACTCGTATTCTGATAGGCGCTCGTCACAAGAATTCTTCTGCTTTGGCACTTTGTGCTATGGGTATGAAGCAAAAGGTTTTGAGAGAAACATTTGAAAATGAAACCACTAAGGAGAATGGATGTTTCTTTTATCACTGGAAGAATCACTCATTTGGTTTCTCTGGATCGTCTCTAGTTCAACTAGGTACTGCTGATCTTTCAGAAGGCAAAGATAAAATTTCATGGCATTTGACTGGCAGAGGAGGATATAGATGTGGAAGCTTGACCTCACTGAATGAATCGAAAGAATGGGAAAAGATGTTATTTTATGCTTAATACAATTATTTATTATACTTGTTTCACCAGAGTGGTTCCTCTTAGGAAAAATCTTATTCCATTGCAGTTGTATTTTGTTAAATATAAGAAATTAAGGTATATTATAGAGAAATAAAGTCACTACTCAGAATTTAATAAATAGAATAGTTTTATTATTTACAATTATTGTTGAGTAACAAATTGTTCAATTTCTTGAATGACAGTGTTTGGAATTTCCAATGCAATAAAGTGTCCAGCTTCAAATTTGATAATTTTAGACTTTGGTTTAACGCTTTCATCAATGTAATACTTAAAGCTCAAATCAGCAGTTTCTTCTATAAGGGCAAGATCATCCTTACCCCACAAAATAAGAGTTGGAACCTTAACCTTTTGTTGTTCAAGAGGTGCTTCCAATGTTTGTCCAACTTTTGGATAACGTCTTGCATCTGGATAACCCAATTTCATCTTGATAGCATTAGCAAACTTTCCAGTCATGAATCCCTTATAGTAGGCCATCATTGCATCCAAAGCATCTGGTTGAGCCCATCCCTTTACATAGTGATGATAATCTTCCATTGTCAAAATACCCTTCTTGGCCAAATCCAAATAGGCAAATGCAAGGGCTCTGTAATTATCATTCTTGAAATAATTTTCTGGAATTGAAAATCCAAGTTGCATGAACAAGATATACCAACTCTTCTTCAATTGAGCATAAATGGTTTTGAGTGGCAATTGACCAATTTCTCTTTGCATTGAAACTGGATGAGGAACATTGAGAACAATTAACTTTTCAACAACTTCTGGATAAGTAGATGTCAAAACCCATGAAATAATTGCACCCCAATCGTGAGCAACAAGGACAGCCTTTCCTTTTCCATTCTTGTAATATCCTTCAATCAATCCTTTAATATCATGAACTAGTTCACCCATATCATAATTATTTAAATCTGTAATATCTGGCTTGTCACTAGTATTATAACCACGAAGATCAGGTGCCATCAATGCAAATCTCTTTTCTCCATACTTAAAGTTTCTCTTGGCAAAATCTTGCAATTGATAGGTCCAACACTGAGATTAAAATTCGTATGAAAATTCTTCAAGTTTCTTGAAACTTACAGTAGCAGCAGCTTGTGGGAAACCTATAACAATTTTAACATAGAATCATCACACAATATAATATTTAAACAATGATCCACAAATAATAAATTATTAAACCTACCATGAAGATAAATAATCAATGGATCCTTCTCTCCACTATAATTTTCATCAAAATTTTCCTCTCTTCCCATAGTAATTACATTCAAGGAAATTCCATTTGTTTTAATCAATCTCGATGGGAAATTATAATTCAACTTGGATGGCTTATCTTGATAAAAATCGGAAACTTTAGGAGGTGGCGATTTAGTAAGGGAATTTACTTGATAAAAGAGAATGAGAGCGGCGATCAGGGAAAGGAGTGTTCGGGTGATGAGTGAACACAAGGATGATTTTCCCTCTGCAAGATCTTCGACTGCCTTCTTTGTGTCTTTGGCCATTTTTTTTTGTTTTTGATGATTTTGTTCGATGAAAATTGTTCAGAGAGAAATTGATTACAAATTAAAGGCCGCGCATGTAGTACATAAAAAATCCCGATTGGGTGCGATCGCATGAAATATTCAATGTCCTACATTATGTACTGTTTTAGTTCGTGATAATTTTCTTGTAATTAATTTCTTGTCTTGAGCATTCATTTCAATCTCGATCATGTATCATGTATCTTTGAGCTCACTCTTTCTAATTTTTCCAGATATATAATGCTGAATAAAGCTTTTAAATAGTGAACTGGGTTCCTCACATTACCAATCAAATTTATTAATTATTATTTTTTATTTCCATCGTAAGGCGGCTTAGCACAGTGGCAGTGCATCAGTCTTGTAGGCAGAAATGCCGAGATAACTGAGGGTCGAGGGTTCAATTCCCTCAGTCGCCTTTTGCCAATGTAATCAAATTTTTTTCAACAGTTGAAAGATCAAAACAGGTTCCGATATAAGTTTTGTAAACAAATTGTGCACCCGTGATAAGAAAGGACTAATTCTATCTTCACATCTGAATAAATACCACTTCAATTGCATTCCATCACACTCCAATTCAAAACAAATAACAAAACTCTAATCTTAACTAAAACACAAGAAAATGGTCGTTGAAATTGTTTACTTTGCAGGTCCTGGAAGATCCGAACTTCTCAAGTTGATCGCCCACGTAGCCAATGTTGATTACAAGGTTGTTGGTATCACTAAAGATGAATGGCCAACTCACAAGCCACACACAAGATATGGTCAAATGCCATATTTAAAGGTAAATGACAAGTTGACCATTTATCAAACATATGCAATTGCCAGATATTTGGCACAACAAGGTGATTTGTATCCAAAGGACAATATTGAAGCCACACAAACTGAAGAATATGTTGCAGCCATTGACGAACTTTTCAATAAGTATGCCAGAGTTTTCTTCATTGCTCCAGAAGAAACCAGAGAACAAGAAAAGAAAGTTTTCCTTGAAGGACCAGTCAAGACAATCTTGGGTGCATTGGAAAAGATTTTGGAAGAGAATGGAGATGGACATCTCATCAAGGGAAAGTTCACTTGGGCTGACTTTGTTCTTTTGGACATGGTTTATGCACTCCAATTTAAGGAAGTTGATTTGAGTCAATTTACTCATATTATCAAATCTAAGGAGGTTTTGAAGGCTCATCCAAGATTCCAAGATTACGTTACTCAAGAACACAACTATAGAAAGTATTAAATAAAAAGTGTTTCAACAAAATTCAATATTGTAAACAAATTAAAAAAAATATTTAAACAATGCCTCACAAGATTGCGTTTTTTGGTTTAGGCTTGATGGGTCTTCCGATGGCAAAACATCTTCTTATCAACAACCACGAAGTGTATGTGTACAATAGGACGAGTACCAAGGCGATGGATCTTGTAAAGGAATTTCCTTCCTCTTGTCATGTAATTTCTTCGTCCGATGAAGATATTCAAAGAGTACTTGCTGATCAATCGATTGGAATTATTATTTCCATGTTATTTGATTATCAAAATATTGTGGATGTCGTGTTTCAAAATTTGGATAAATTGGGTGGATCACCATTGAGTGGAAAGGTGTTTATTCAGATGAGTACCATTTCTGTGGAACAATCGGCAAGATTAGATGAATTGACAGGTAGATGTGGTGGTGAATTTATTGAAGCACCCGTTTTGGGAACTAATACAGTTGCCATTGCTGGAAAGTTACAAGTTTTATTGGGATGTTCAAAGGAATTATTTGAAAGAGTGGAATCTTTGAATGTTTTACAAAATTTTGGAAGTCTTAAACATGTAGGAGAAAAATCAAAAGCTATCAAAATGAAACTTTCACTCAATTTCCTTGTTGCCTCCCTTACAGGTGTGTTGGCCAACTCTATTTCACTTGTCCAATCAAATGATCTCGATGTAAATATGTATGCAGATATTGTCAGAGATAGCGCCCTCTATTTTAAATATTTTGATATGAAACTTCCAAGGTTATTAAATCATGATTACTCGGATATGAACTTTTCAGTCAATGGTATTGTCAAGGATTTGGATTGTATTGAAAAGATGGCAGAAGATTCAAAAGTTAACACCAATCTTATTTCCACAATCAAAAATCTCTACGAACAAGCTGGTAATAGAGATGAACAAATCAAGGGTCAGGAAGATTTTGCCTCTGTCTTTGAAATAATGAAGAAGGAATGAGCCATCCAACTTGGATTAACACATTTGTAGTATTAACTTGTGAGATAATAACAGTTGGATTTAAATTGAATCGAGAACTTTATTTTCTGTATCCTGTTTCTTTTCCTTCAATTCTTCCTCTACCTTCTTGACCTTCTTTCGTATAAAGGTATAGTACACATACTGACACAGAATCAACCCATCCAACATTAAATTTCCAATACTAGTCGTGAGCCAAGGAAATTTGGACATGAGAAAAGAATGATCCACACTGAATAGAAAGATGGAGACAGTATAGAGAATATAACCACAGAACAAACTTCCAAAGAGAATGGGATTCATTCCCTCAGTACTAGATCTTCTAAAGTTTTTGACAATTTGTGAAATTCTTGAACCCAAATAGCAAACTGTAGAGATGAAACCAATCACATATCCAACAATCTTTTTTGCTTCAGTAGGTGGAAATTCTACAGCATTATGATCTTTGATTTCTTCTTCTTGAATATTTAAGAGTTTTCTTCCAATGCTATGTGAAAGTGATTGTGGAGATGGATTGTAAAATTGGAAACAGAAGAAAATTGATACAATTGTGATGGATAGAACTGAAACAATGATATGTGAGTTCATCCTGGTAGATCCTTCAGTAATTGGACCTTCCTCCTTTGTTATTGATTGATCCAAGTCATTCAATTCCTGAGATATAGACTTGTAAATAACTGGATTGAAATTACTCTCCTTCTTATCCATTTCTTGAGTGGTGTCAAACACTGCAGAACCAGTCAATTCTTCCACTGGTGTCATTATTGAAGAGCTGGTATTGAGTGAAGAAGAAACATTCTCTGAAATGGTTGGAATTGGAGTTTCTCCCTCATTCACATCCAATTTTTTCTGTTTTCTCTTTCTGTAAGCCTCTCTCGAATTGTAGAAAATGTATTGGCCAATTAGAAATATATCAATAATCACAAAATAGACAGCCAACACAATTTGAGTGAATAATTGACTGGAAAGAAGAGCTCCAATCAAACTAGCGCTATCAGCAACAGCCCACTGAGCAAGTAATAAGAGAGAAAGTCCATTTGCATTTCCCTTTATGAAATTCTGAATATAATTTGAGGAATCATACCAAAGTAGAAGAGTAAGAGAGCAAGACCCAGATAGAAGGAAGCCAATTCATTCGAAGAGTGAACACATTCTCCAAATGAAGTGTACATCCATTGGACATACTCATTTCCAAATGGGTCAACCTTGATACAATCACCATCATAGAGTGATGATGAATTAGCTGTTGTTGTGTTCGAGAATGTTGAGTTTATCAGCGAGTACATGAGCATTATTCAAAAGATTAGAGTTTCAATTTTTTGTTGTGTTAAAATTTAAATTATGGATTGGTGTCTGGACTTGGGATTAGGATTATCTAATGGTTTGAAATCGTTCCAAATGATGGGTGGACTGAATTTCAATAGTCAACCTCAATGGTCGCGCATTAATTGTGCTGGTGACTGTTAAAAGGAAGAATCTACCCCGCTAATTATTTCTTCCATATTTCGAATTTTGGAAGATAACGAAACCTTGGTGAAACACTGTATCAAACAAAATGTGGAACTCAAACCTTACTTGTGCAAATAGGGCACGTTTCCAAGATTAGGATGTATTGGTTTGGGAAGACGAACGATATTCAGTAGCGAATTCTTTAACAGGCACCTTTATAATTCGATATTTTGACAATTCGCAATATACGATTCTTGGAATGAAACAATGTCAAGATTCACTTCTTGATTCACAACATCCAAGTCCTTCCACAACGCTTTTCTACTTGTTTTTGTTTTGTTTGAGTAAGCCAGCATTCAGTTTAGTCTTCAAATTTTTGCCAGTTTCCATACTACTGTGCTTGATTCAATATATATTCAACCTCCATCAAGGTATTTTAAGGGAAAGTGGAAGTTTAAGTGTGGAGGATTGAGGGTAATATTGAGGAAGTTTGACAGTAATGTTTCTTCCTATCTCAATATCTTTGATGCATTTATGGCTATCAAAAAAATTGATTGCAGTGAGCATTCAACGTTTCTTAAAGAAATAAGTTTATACTAAACGCCAAAAATTGAAACAGAAATCCTATTATATTGTGATGATGGTTGACCAACCTGAAAAATTAATGCCTATTTGATGACTTCAAACACCACATCATTACTTGATGATGAAATCTGAAGAAAGTCTCCATTCACCAAATTCTCAACCATCAGAAGAATACTAGAAAGAGGATTCAAGCTCAAAACCATTGCTTCTTCAAACACCAATCTGTTTAAAAACACAACATTTTAATACTTTGTTCTTACATCTAAAAGTTAGTCTTACATCCAATTTATCAAACACATCCAAATAATATGGTAATTTTTATGGTCATTCAATTTTTCCCTGCACAAAGTGATCTCCACTTTACAAAATACACTTAAGGAGAATAAAATCTTTCACTGCAATTTTCCTACAAGAATCTTTGTGTGTGCGAAATGAAAAAACATCCTCTGCAGCGATGCTTACTGTCCTTCCACATCAAAAAAAAAAGCCTAAAAACCTCCTCGAGCCTTTCAATAGCGTTGAAACTCTCTTGTTGTATTATATAATATTATTTGATTAATAGAAATTCTTTGAAAAACTAAAAATGTTGAGCATGAACGAAACTGCCGGAAATACCTGTGGAAGAGATGTATATATTGTCGATTGTATTAGAACACCAATCGGATTGGGTAGAAATACAGGATCTTTGCACGATATACATCCAGTCTCCTTGTTATCCTATGTTTTGGATAGTGTTACCTCTAGATGTAATGTAAACAAGGCTGAAGTTGAAGGTATGTTTGTTTTATATTGTTCTTTCAATTCGAATGAACTCTTTTCATCATCTTTGATATATACGGACTATTAATTCTCATTCCATTTCTCTCCTTTTGTTGTTATTATTAATAATTGCTAATGATGATGATGAAATATTGATATTATTATGAAATTATTATAATGTGTGGTGATGATGATTAATTTCGATCGTATTTAGATGTTATTTGTGGTATTGTTACACCTGTCAAGGAACAAGGTGCCAATCTTCCACGTTTGGCTCTCTTGAAGGCTGGATATCCAGTTCATGTCCCTGGAGTTCAATTGAATCGTATGTGTGGTTCTTCCCAACAAGCTGTTCATTTCGGAGCTCAAGCTATTGCCTCTGGAGATGTTGATATGATTGTTGCTTGTGGTGTTGAAATGATGTCTGTTGTTCCTATGGGAAGTGATTGTGATCCAGAATTATTCCAAATTTCTGCCACTCCAAAGGAATTGAAGTTTGGTAAATTTCCATATAAATTGTTGCATCAAGGTGTTAGTGCTGAATTGATTGCTGAACATTACAAGATTTCAAAGAAGGAAATTGATGAATTCTCTGTTGAATCACATCGTAAAGCATACGAATCTTCAAAGAAGGGTATTTATAATTCACAAATTTTGCCAATTAAGGTTAAGAAGGGAGAAACTGAAACTTGGTTCAAGCATGACGAAGGTATTCGTTATCCAGTTGATACTGAAAAACTCTCCAAATTGAAGCCAGTCTTTAAACGTGATGGTGTTATCAGTGCTGCTAATGCTTCTCAAATTTCTGATGGTGCTGCTGCTGTCTTGTTGTGTTCTGGTGAAAAGGTTAAACAATTGGGACTCAAGCCAAGAGCTCGTGTTGTCACTAGAATTTCAATTGGTTGTGATCCAGTCATGATGTTGGATGGTGTCATTCCAGCAACTAGAAAGGCTTTGGAAAAGTCTGGATTGTCAATTGATGATATTGATGTTTTTGAAATTAATGAAGCATTTGCCAGTGTTGTTTTGGCCTGGAAGAAGACTTTCAATGTTCCAGATAGCAAATTGAATCCAAATGGTGGTGCTATTGCTATGGGTCACCCTCTTGGTGCTACTGGTGCTATTTTGATGACTAAATTGGTCAATGAATTGGAAAGAACTAATAAGCGTTATGGTTTGCAAAGTATGTGTATTGGTCACGGTGCTGCTGTTGCCACTATCATTGAAAACTGCAACTGGAAGAGAGAAAAATTGTAAATTATCAATAACTAGGTCTATAAATTTTGCTTTATTTATTTAACTTGAATTAAAAATGAATTGTAAATAAAAATGATTTCATTTTTATAATAAATTAATAAATTATTCGTCCATCCTTTTATTTACAAATTAAAATTCTATTATTGTTTAAACAACGCTATAAATTAATAATCCAAACAAAATACCAACAATAGTGTCCAAAGCAGCATGTTGTTTTGTACAGACACAACTAATGGCAATTAACAAAGGATTTAGCAATGTAATTGGTCCAAGAACGTTCCACTGAGTCATTGCCAAATAAGTAGCAATTGAGCAATGTCCAGAAGGAATGGCATTAGCATGCAAATCAACTCCATACATTTTCTTATAGAATGAATAAGTATAAGAATCAATCTTTCCATACTTGGTTTGATATTCATCAATTGCATGTCTATAGTTATCTGGAATTGTTGATGGGAATATAAGGAAAACCAAACATTGCATCACACAAACGACCAACATTCCAAAGAAAATTCTAATAATTGTTTCCAAATTAGGAGAGGTTGGAATTAGACACGACATGATAAACAAATCTCCAAATGTGTACAAATAAATACTGTGTGGAATGAATGGTATTAAATCATCAATAAAACTATGAGCAATAATATAGTCCTTCTTTGATTGATAATTCGAAATGACAATTCTTTGTGTCTGTTGTCCCATTCACAAATCAAAACAGTTATCAAGTGTTATCCATTTGTTTTTTGACAATCAAGTAACACCTACCTTGAAATACAATTCAAATCCACCAACCAATGTGAAAATACCCACAAATGTCAAAGCAAAATACATTTCCATGCTGAAATTATTAAACTGCAAATAAGTTCCGACCAAGTATTGTGAAATTGAAATAACCACAACCATTACAAATAGTGTAATTAAATCCTTCACACCATCGTGATGATTGGGTGTTGATGTTGACTTTTCCTTGCTGTTGATAGTACTACTGTTGCTGCTGGAAACAGATGATGCAGAGATCACGGCTACATCATTATGATTATCCTTGGCCATTTTTTTCCGTTCGAAAGTTACTCCTGAATGATGCATTCTCCACAAGCTCCTTTCCAAATTGGTTAAATTACATTTATTTATTACAATTAATATCAATTGTAATAATCATGAGCTGATATTGAAATATCAGAGTAAATATTATTCCTACTCGCATTGAATAATCTTGAAAAGAATAAAGTGGTTCTGCTCTTTTGTCTTGAACCATGTTCCAACAATAAATACTGAATGAGTGCCTTGAGAAGGTCCTTACTATACTCTGTATCTGCCTCACTGAAACCATAAAAGTGAGGAAACATCACCTTATACTGATTGTGGATGAGTACAGAGCTTCGAACTTGATCAGTATCTCCTGTTGAATAGGCCAAAGTGGTCCAACTCTTTTCATAATCTACAACTTTAGAATTTGTTTCTCCACAAATATAACTTCCATCAAGATTAATCTTATGAAATGTGCTGAATAGGTGAGAATCCACAGGCGAAATGACGTCCTTTCCGGTATGATCTTTTGAAATTAATTTTTCAGAATTTTCATAGAATAATTTTGTTTCGGCATTGTACTTTTGCAAAAATCTATTCAAGTGAATGCTATTCAATTGTTTTACATGTAAAACATCCAAGGCAAATGAATTAGCATTTGCCCAATCTACATATGAATTATTGACATATCCTAACTGATAAGGAGCCGAAAAGTTTTCAATTCCTCTCAGAAAAATCAAAGACAAATCACCCTGATGTACCTTCCTATTTATCCAAGGCTCCAATTCTTGATTAATTGTACTATTCGGACAAAAACATAAAACATCACTACTATTAATATTATCTCTCATCACATCTAGAGAGGCTGATTCCAATCCCAACTCTCTCACCTCATTGAAAATTTCTGAATAGGCCGATCCTCTAAATCTTTGCAGAGCAACCCGATGAAAATCATCACCTAAACTTGAAGTAATCACTAGCAGGTTGTATAATTTCTGCATTTTTTTTTTAATGTTGATGTTCCATGATCAACTTTCGGAACGCAGTTGTGCTTTTCATTTTTAAAAATAGGTTCAAATTGCATTAAGCCAAATTAAAATTATGTTTATTGGTAGAAAAGATTGGAAATGGCTCAACACTGTTTTATAATAATGGAAAAAATGTTGGAGAGTTGAAAAAAGATATACCCTGTGGGACTCGAACCCACAACCCCCGGCTCCGTAGGCCGATGCTCTTCCAATTGAGCCAAGGGTACTTATATTAATGGGAGTTGTTTGCCATATCTTGAGATAAAAAATTTCAATATTTAACAAAATAAAAAAGCTTGGACACATTTAACAAAATATTTAACAATTATTTAATCTCTTTATCAATTGAACCGTTCCACTCATGAAAATATCTCGAACATTAATTCCCAAATAGCTCGATATTTCAAAGAATTGAGCATCATCATAGTCGTTGGCCAATTTCAAGCCGTCTTGTGTTGTAACTTTCCAAATGCTCTTTGGTGAATCGCATTGAAGTGCTGCAATTAGGAGAATTGGATTAGTTTTGATGGTTTTGATATAATCAATGTAATCTCTGAATTTTATCAGAAATATATTTCAGATGAAATTCAAATAAGAAATGAATTACTCACCTTGCCATTTTGAAACTATTCAAATTCTTGACTGAATAGCAAATAATGAAAATATCTGACTTTCCAATGAATGACTTGTTGATTTTCTCCTCCTCCAAGTTTCTACTTGATGAATCCTTCAAATCAATAACATAATTTCCCTCCACTTTTCGATAACTCTCATTAATGCTCGTATCGTAGGCAGTAGCATCGAACTGACCGAACATGTAAGTGGATATTAAACTGGTCTTTCCTGGGTGATCTCCTCCACAAATCCAAACTCCAATATGAGATGAAATACTCTCCCTATCTCCACTTGCAATGATTGAGGTCACATCCTCCTTCTGTTGCGTCTGTGAAGATGCTTCCTTTGAAGTGGCCTGTGAAAACGCCAATTGCAACTCTGATCCATCATGATAGGAGAGTTTTGTAAACTGAAATGGAGAATCAGCAAGATTACTCTCACTTGGATTTCTTTTTAGAACAACAGCCAAAGATCTTCTTCTCTGGTTGGTATTGTTTGTGTGTTCTTTCTTGTACTTTTCGAGTTGAGTGAATAAATTGCACAAATCCGTGAGAGAAGTAATTTTGAAATCTTGAGCAATCTTGAAGAATTTGTAACTATTCGAATCAGTCACTCGCCTTGCCATCAATGAAGTCAATTGCTTTGAAAATTCCTTATCACCCAACTTGGAGGATATTTTCAGCAAGTCCTGTAAATTTTTATCGTCCAACAATTCCAATCCAATCCAAAAAGAAACCAAGTTTAGGATAATTTTCGAATTTTTCACATCCTTCACCTCCCACTTGTTCTCCTGAATATTAAACAGGGAATCCAGCTTTAAATCCCTACATCTCTCCGAAATGAAAACCTTTGGAAGAGAAAGCAATGAATTTCCGCTCAAATAAATTTCAATAAAGTCCATCTCTGTTGAAAGTGAGCTGATTGAAAACGGTTTGAACAATTGGATAATTGTTGGCTGATCCAACAAGCTCACCATATCACTCCTCCAATTCTCAAACATTAACCGATAGGAATCTTTCCACTCTGCTCCAATTCCATGTTGTCCCAAACTTTTCAATAATCCAAAATATTGCAACAAATCCTTTCCAAACTCATTCTTTGAATCCAATACACCAATCATTCTCTGTACGAACAACTCACAACATGTGAAGAGTGGAATCGTTCCAATATGATGATCATCAAACAATTCCTGAATGTGTCTCGATTCTGTGCCAGCAACCCAACTCAATACCAACAAGGGACATGAAATATACATTATAAACAACTCGAATATTATAGAAAACATGGAGCTCATACTAGAAACCAATTTGGATTCGTTCAAATTTTTAAATTCCATGTTTGGAAAAGTCAATTTGAAATTACCATCAAATAATTTCTGAATTTCCAAATTTGATTTGATGAATTCTCGTAATCTCATAGCACCAATCCACAATGGCACAGTTTTCAATATGGTAACGTTTGTTTCTTTATCATTTATAGTCCATTTCAAATTCCATTCCAATAACAAGGTCTTTTCATAAATATTCGAAAGTAGTGGAATGTTCTTCATCTCTGAATGACTTGGTTTCCTTTCATGATCATTATTCGAAACATTTTCTAAACATTTTTTAAATTGGTTTCTCGTAAATTGTATTGGAATGAAGAATTCATCAATTGCGGCCAATCCACCATTCACCCGATTTTGTTTCGAATAATTATTCAAAACATACAATTCATTCGCATAAACCAACATCATCCTATTCGCACTCGTCTGTTTCAACAAATTATCCAAGGCCCAAGTACTTTCGAATAATTCATCCGAAAATGTTGGAAACAACAAGGAGAAACCAAAATGATTCTGAATAAACTTTTTCAATAACATTCTACATTGTTGATCGTTTAATTTATAATGAAATTGTTGGAGTGTTGAATTTTGTCCAAGAATTGATTGTGAAACTGTGTAGATTGGTTCCAAGTGATCGGGATATGAAGAAGAAACTCGTGAAATGGGTTTTAGTTTTTGACCCATTTTTTGTTGTATTGTTTGGAAGAGATTTGATTTGTCAAATTTGTTTTTGGAAATGTTTTTTGCTGCAGTGATGTTTGGCAGGTGGATGTGTGACATTTTGGAACGATAAGGAAAGGTGAATTGTTACAATGTGAGTAGATGATTATTATGACAGTCATTGTAATAGGGTATCTTTCAACACTTTTCATTTTGATAATTTAAACTGAAAATTCAAATCAGAAACTAAATTAAACTAATCTTATTGGAAATTACAATTTAATTCAATAATGGATGATTCAAAACATTCTCCTCTTCCAAATCCCACGACAATTCTACAGGATTTGTTTCAGATAAATAAGTTGATTTAAATTCGTCAAAAGTTTCCAATAATCCTTCCGAAAATTTTGGTCTTTTAAATCCAAATTCTCGCTGTTCTCGAATAGACCGAAGAAATGCTTGGTGGGTAAGTTTGTTCTTCTTGGAAACAATTTTCTTCTTGATGAAATCTGAATCCAAAGTTTTGATATCGACAAAGAAGAGAAGGGTTAGTTTCGTATAGGTTTCTTGACCATTTTGACTGATATTTGGTGAACAGCTTAAAGTTGATGAGCTAGCTGTAGATACTGATGAAGAAAGTGATGATGCATTGGAATTCTTCCTATCAAGTTGTGAGCTCCCAGTTGACTGTTTGTCATTTGACTTTTTAACTGACACAATCTTTTCATTTGGAGAACAATCACAAAAAAATCCACTAGTTAACATTTGTGCCCTAACATGACTCTTCTTCTCTGGCATCAACACTGTCTCAGTTGACTTTTTAGCAATCACCAAACAATCCCTCTTCCTATCAAAAACACAAGTTACAGCCAAAACCACATCTCTAGGTTTCAAAATCCACGACAATTCCCTCATATTCACATATAAATGAACGAGTGAATGTGCATACTTGTTACTCTTTGAAATTGGAATGTAATCAATTTGATTCATGCCATCAATGCCCATAATTTCCTTACGGAGTGGAGTGTGTGAAAAAACTGAAAATGATTGCTCTTTGGTGGCTGGTAGGATGAAAACTTGTTTGAAGAGTTTACCGGTGGATTGATTGGATTTTTCATTGAATTGGAATTCCTTTTTGGAGATGTAGCAAGCTCGAGAGTCATCTTTAGTTTCGAATAGGGATTAGAATATTTTGGGAAAAGAAACTTACCCACTTTGATTTCATCCCAAACATCAGTTTCCTTACTAAAAGCCATAAATGATAAGAAGGTAATATCTCTATCTGTCACTAATCCATCAAATTTTGGAATATATTCCATATACTTGGTTGATTTCTTGACAGCAATTAATGAAATAAATTCCCAATCCTTATCTTTTAAAAACTTTTTAAATTGTTCACTCATTGTAAATCTTGGATAATTGTCACTTTTCAAATTACAAAAAACACTCAATTGAACTTGATCAAAAACATTGTCATTCACTAGTAAATGTTTCTCATCTAATAATTGAGAAACATCTGAAAAGCTATGAATGATATCTTGTCGTTGCTGACTTGAAATGTTAATTTCTTGTCGACTATTCGGTAGAATAAACCTTTCGAATAATGTGATGGCCTTCTTGGCTTTGTTTTCTTCGAATTTTAATCTCTTGAATTCTTCAGTTTCTTGAAAGAAGAGAAAGGGATCTTCATTATGTTCCTTCTTGAGAAATAATCGAAATTCTTCTTTAGCTTCGGGAACATCAAAGATTGCTTCGAAGGGAAAGTCATAGAGACTTGTTAACTGTTCGAAACTGAGCGATTGCTGTTGTGATTTCATGACAATTTTTTCGTGTTGAAAGCGGATCCACCATCGAATGTCGTGCACTGTGTCTTTTCGAAAGTCGGATTCTATTAATTTGTTATTGGAATACTATTTGCAAATTTTGAGTGAAATTTGATAGACTTTCTACAGTTAGTTTGCCAAATTATTGAACAAGAACACTATTCAATGTCTACTATTGGCTTAAACACATTGATATTGAAATAGTTTATTGTAAATCCTTTTCAATCATCTTTCTGGCAATACCGTGGTAGAATCCCTTGTATTGTTGGAAAGTACTTCTGGCCAATTCAGCATCAAATTTGAAGAGCTCACGATAGAGTGGTCTGACATATTTCATTCTACCTTGCATTGTAATGAATGCAACAACTTGAGGCTTGACTGGTTCGTATTTGTGTTTGATAGCAAGCATTTGCCAACCAAATCTAATTTCACTGTTAGTGTATTTAGAGTATTCATAGGTTTCATCCAATTTTTGAACATTCAATGGCTTGTCATTACTCAAGAGAATATCGAGGAAGTATGTGAGTTGAGTTGATGACCATCCTTCAATATCACTCTTAGCGAATGTTCCTTCAGCACCACTTGTCCACTTTTCACACAAAGCATTAGCAGCAACGTTCAAAGTATTTTCAAAGTTATTCTTGACAATCAAATCACCTTCAACATTGAACCAAGAATCCCAATCAATTTCCTTAGTCTTTTCAACATCAGCGAAATATTCCAAGAAGCACTTCTTCATTTCGGCACTGTTAACAGTCTTTTGACAAAAGACAGTAAAGTAATGATACAAGAACTTTTCAAATCTTGGAATGGATCCAACAATTTGATCAGCCAAATAATATAAAAAGTTGAATCCCTTTTCATATGGAACTGAAGAGAAGGCATCATCAGGATCACACTTTTCCAAAAGTGGAATCATCTTGGTATATTGCAATTCATTAATTTCCTTATAATGATTGATTGATGAAACCAAATGACTGTAACCCATTTGAGCATGGAATTTGGCATATTCTTCACCAGATAATCTAGCAAGAATTCTTCTTTCAATAAATACAGTAAAACCTTCATTTAACCAAAAATCTTCCCAAGTGGAATTGGTAATCAAATTACCAGACCAGGAGTGAGCAATTTCGTGAGCAACAACATTACTAAGGATCATTAGATTATTAATGGAAAGTATAAAGAATTACTTACGCTAAACTTCTGTCTCCAGCAAGCAATGTTGGAGTGAGGAAAGTGAGATTACTATTTTCCATACCACCGAATGGATAAGAACTTGGCAAGAGGACAATATCGTATCTACCCCAAGCATAAGGTGGCAAGAATTCTTCAGCAGCCTTAATGAAAGCTTCTGTTTCAGAGAATTCATAAGCAGCAGCTTCCAAAACTTCAGCTTCACAATAGAGAGTACTTCTTGGTCCAATCTCCTTACTTTCTAAAGCACCAACAACCAAAGCAATCAAATAGGATGGAATTGTGACATTTTGTTTAAAGTGATAAATGTTAATATGAGTGGAGACATCTTCCCATTGTTTAATGGCAGACATGGCAGCTACGAGTGGCTTTGGTGTTCTAATGGTTGATGAGTATGTAATCTTGTTGGATGGAGTATCTTGACATGGAAGGAGAGAACGAGCATGAATAGCCTATCATGATGAAAATAATTATTGTAATTATCCGATTAATGTTAATATTATTTTCCAGTAATTATTAATTTAATACATTTCCAATAATAATAATATAATAGTTGATGATTGTGTGATTTTCATTGAATTACATGGATGGTTAGATTTGATAGAAATTAAAAAACCTACTTGACATTGAGTAAACAAGTATGGATGAACCTTTCCGAGAGTTTGTTCTGGTTCCAACCATTGAATAGCTTCACTCTCATGAGTAGTTTCATAGAAAATTCTAACCACGAAAAAGTTTCCAGCCTCCAAATCAACAGCTTCATGAGTAAGACTCATAGAAAGAGGTTCACCATAAACTGATGGATAACCATTTTGTGCTACTTCACTCTTGGAGAAGACTCGGAAAGCAAGTTCATGTTCTTGATGTTGTTGTTCATTAATATTATCCTCAGAGTGTTTATGATGCTTCTTGTAGAGGAATTTAGTTTGTTTAATAACCAAATTACGAGCATCAACAACAACATGACTCGGACGATCAATCAAAGCCTCAAAAGTAACATCAACATAACCAACAAGAATTTTGTTTTTAAAATCAGTGGTGAGATCCATGTAATAGTGATGAGCCACCACTTGATGATTATTGGCAAAACTTTGCTTATCGAGTGGAGAAATGATTGGGAAGATGTTATGTGCTGATGAAGATGTTGATTCACTCATTTTATTTGTTGTTTGTATATAATATTTGTATTAATAAGTTGATCATCTGATTTGATCATCGAATAATTGGTTGGATTTAGAGGTGAAGGTAATAATGGCTCCATTGACTGTATTCTGAATACACATTTATCAAATTTTCTTTTAAATGACTCCAATAAGCCACATTATTCGGAGATGGATTTAAATATCCAATTAATTATCGGAAGACAATTTCATCAATTCATCAATTATACACTATTGAAAAGTTTGGTGAAAACATCCCAATGATAAAGAGAAATCATTTTTTTTGCTTATTGTAATATTGCACAATTTCATCATCTACAATTAATATAAAGTTGATATTGTTTGTTATTTTGATGCAAAGCAATTTCGTCTAGAAGCAAATATCTAAAATCGATCCACCTCAATATGTAGGAGCAGCATGTGAACAACTCGTTAGGTACGTTGGAAAGGTTTCGAATCCACAATCAGAAAGAGGTCGTGAAAAGCGCTGAAAGATTTTTACAATAACAATTTCGATCCTTCAGTACCCGTCAACCAGTTTCACATCATACTTTTTGTAAGCTTCAAGTTGACCATCTGTTGATTGATGACTTTCAACTTGACGTTCCCATAACGCAACACGTCACTCAAAAATCCAATAAAACCATCAAACATTAAAAAACATCATTTCACACAAATCAAAAAAAACTCAAAATTCAAAATGTCCTTCTGTGAAGACGTTCAAGCCCTCGTTGTTGACAACGGTTCTGGTATGTGTAAAGCTGGTTTTGCTGGTGATGATGCTCCAAGAGCTGTCTTCCCTTCAATTATTGGTAGACCAAAGCAAAAGTCCATCATGGTTGGTATGGGTAACAAGGATGCCTATGTTGGTGATGAAGCTCAATCTAAGAGAGGTATCTTGACTTTGAAGTATCCAATTGAACACGGTATTGTTACCAATTGGGACGATATGGAAAAGATCTGGCATCACACTTTCTACAATGAATTGAGAGTTGCTCCAGAAGAACACCCAGTCTTGTTGACTGAAGCTCCTTTGAATCCAAAGGCTAACAGAGAAAAGATGACTCAAATTATGTTTGAAACTTTCTCAGTTCCAGCTATGTATGTTGCTATTCAAGCTGTCTTGTCCTTGTATGCTTCTGGTAGAACTACTGGTATCGTTTTGGACTCTGGTGATGGTGTCTCCCACACTGTTCCAATTTATGAAGGTTATGCTTTGCCACACGCCATCTTGAGATTGGATTTGGCTGGTCGTGATTTGACTGATTACTTGATGAAGATTTTGATGGAAAGAGGTTACTCATTCAACACAACTGCTGAAAGAGAAATCGTCAGAGATATCAAGGAAAAGCTCTGTTATATTGCTTTGGACTTTGAAGCTGAAATGAAGGTTGCTGCTGAATCATCATCTGTTGAAAAGTCATACGAATTGCCAGACGGTAATGTTATTACTGTTGGTAACGAAAGATTCAGATGTCCAGAAGTTTTGTTCCAACCAAACTTCATTGGTATGGAAGCTGCTGGTGTTCATGAAACTACTTTCAACTCTATTGGTAAATGTGATATTGATATCAGAAAGGACTTGTACGGTAACGTTGTCTTGTCTGGTGGTACTACTATGTTCGAAGGTATTGCTGAAAGAATGACCAAGGAATTGACTGCTATGGCTCCAGCCTCTATGAAGATTAAGGTTGTTGCTCCACCAGAAAGAAAGTACTCTGTCTGGATTGGTGGTTCCATCTTGGCTTCATTGTCCACTTTCCAACAAATGTGGATCACAAAGGAAGAATATGAGGATGCCGGCCCAGGTATTGTCCACAGAAAGTGTTTCTAAATCTATCAGATTTGAACAAAATAAAAGTTGTAAAACAATTAAATTATTTATTAAAACAAATTGGCTTTCTTTTATTTTCTATTCAGCCTGAGAATATATGGCAATTAAATTATTTATTAAAACAAATTGTCTTGATTTTTTTCGATTTCTATTACGACAATAGTTTTTTGTCAATACAGTACTTGCTTTTTGGTGTTAACAGTAAAATGATAAACAAAGAAAGAAAAGCAGAAAAGAACCTTTTCAGTGTTATTCAAGTTGTGGAATATTACAATGTGGACCTCTATTATTTTAAAAGTTGGAGTGATTGTTAAGCCCAAAAAACTTTGATAACTTTTTCTAAACCTTATTGGAAATGGAACTCAGTTCTAAAATTAAATTAGTCAATTAGGTCAGTATTTTTCAAGCATTGATGGGGTATTTCAGGTGTTGTAGTGGTCTGCATGTGTTGAAGGGGTCTAACACGGTGGAGGTTCAATACCTTCCCTGATAATTACCCTTTTGCTTAGCTCATAACCAAAGTCTTAATAAATTTTTGAATTCATTCAATGACTATTTAAATTTCTTACTTTGTGTCCATTTGCCAACTAAAAATAAAGTAGGAATTTAATTGTTGTTTTTTAAATTATTGCACAATAAATTTCTGTTGTAATATTAAAGATATTGATGATTTGGTCCAGGGAAACATAATTTCCTAATTGGGAGTGCCATCGCACAGCAATAAATTAAATTGTTTAATGATGTACACAAACTTTGCATTAACATTACATGATGAACTACATTTTCAAACTATTTACTATCCGGAAACGAGGATTATTCAATTAACTATTACTCATAACATCTATCATAATATTCATTGACAGAAGAGTGTGCAATACAGGGCACGAATTTTTCCTTGCTCATATCATAATATTCCTTAATGGAATTGTAATCTGCATCTGGATAATTCCTACAAATATTGGCATAGAGAACCAATTGATGAATCAGTGAATCCTTCTCAATAAATTGTTGCTTGATGAAAGAGTGAACTGTCCTTTCAGTCCAATATTTAACAATGACATAATCATCGGCTCTTCTTCTATTATTAATAATTTCCACATACAATAATTCAGAGAATATTCCATAATTGTCAAGATTTTCCATTGAAACAGATCCCTGAATTGAAAGTCTCAATAATTTGGGAAATCTCTTTCTTGTAATTGCTGAGAGGATATTATTCTCTACATCGGCAGTATCAATACCCAAATATTTGTTATTTTGCGTATTGGGAAATTTGATAGTTAAATCTCGAACGTTTGGAAACTCATCCTGACCTTCTAAAAAGCTTTCGTATTCCTCTGTATTGTCATACGGATCTGCAAAAGAAAAGCATAAATATTGAGCATGTTTTGGTACTGTAAGGTGCAGATAATTTGAATTGAAATTAATCGAAATGGCCACAAAACAAGGATGAATTTCTTCAAAAACTGTTAAATCCTCTGCTGAGTATCCAATCTCCAAATCAATCAATAAACCAAGAGAATTAGTATCTGTGAAATTATCAGTAAATAATCCTTCTGAAATTAAACAACATCTTTCCAAAGTGCTGTAATAGTAATGGTTTTCACCTTTGTATCTCTCGCTATCAAAATATGAAACCATATCAAGAGACAATATCAATGCCTTATGCAGAAATAAATCATATGGATCCAATTGAGTCAATTCTTTGATTTTTTCGAACTTTGATTTGGAAATCATTAATTTCTGAGCTCGTTCAATTGTTCACTTCCTCATTTGAGAAATCATTTGGAACTTCATTTAAATCTAAATCTGTATCATAATAATAATTATTACTACACATGTTTGGATCGATAATATCCTTGTACTCTCTATTCGCATTCATCTCAACTGCCTCTATTAATTTCTGCATTTTTACAATGGAAATGTTTCCACATCCAATCCTTCCCAAATTTTAGGACAAGTTAAATTCTTGAATTTCATAATTTCATCATTTGTTTGAAAATTAATTTCATGAATCGGACCAATCAAATATTCAAAAATACAATGTTGCCAAATATCTAGTGGAAGGGAGAAGATGCATTGTTTGCTATTTTTTTTACTTTTGAAAAAACTTTAATGAATTTCCAAATTTTGTAAAAGTCCGGAATTTGATCCATCAACTCTTAACAATTTATTGCAGCGAATTGCACTTTTGGAACATAAAATTAAGCTGCCATTGGTGCAACCAGAATCATCAGAAAATAACTCTGAGTTTTTTGAAGAGTTGATTATTGTGGAGTATTGACGTGAGAATGCGCCCCAACATGGCTAGATAATGTTCTGCTTCCACCAATCCCATCAATTACTCTGACACCACTACAAGAAAGAAACCTCACTAAGGAATCCTTTGTACAAGAATTTTTTACAGAATTTCTTCCAAAACGCACCATGGATATATTGCTGTAGATACTCACTTAAGGGAAACACTAAAGAAAGCCTGATTTTAATCTGATACACAGTAATTTTAAGAATAATAATTTGAAAAAAGATTTTATTAACCTTGCTTTGGGATATATTGAGGTAACAAAGCCCTCTATAAATTTTGATAGTGAAGCAAAGGGTCAAATCTTTAGAGAGTAATAAGAAGAGACACTGTATGGGGTGGTAACATCATACGAAAATGCAATGGAATTAGTGAATACTATTACCAAAAAAAACCAAAACACTTCATTACCATTTGAAACAAAAGAGAATCAAGAAATAATGAATTATGGTAGAGGATGGTCTTAATGTACCAATAGTCGTCACTGTTTTATTTAATTCTAAAATTGGAAAACTGAAATAAAGATTATAAAAGTAAAAAGCCAACCAGATACAACTGAAAGAGCTTCTGAAACTCTTTCACTATTTTTTGGTGTAGGAACATTCATTGACTGGGCTGGTTTTAATGAGAGACCTGGGGTTGGGTTGCTTGATATTCCAGGAGTTGGTTTGGTTGATATTCCAGGAGTTGGTTTGCTTGATATTCCAGGAGTTGGGTTCATTGAAGTATCAGGCTGAGTTGGTTTCATTGAAGTATCAGGTTGAGTGGATTTATAGGGAGATGGTTGTTGACCTGGTGTTATTTTATGTATAACATATAAATCTGTGACATAAATATTACCCTTTGAATCTAATGTAATGCCACGTGGAGATTCCAATCCAGTTACAATAGTTGAAAGCACTCCTTTCTTGTCAATTTTAAGTATTGCAAAAATGCTCGTATCAGCAATATACATTTCACCATCGGAACCTAATGCTATACCAATGGGCATACGAAAACTATTTCCAACTCCACTAATAATACCATCTAAACCAATTTTAAGAACTCTACCGTGTAAAGAGTCTGAAAAGATTACCTCATTGTTAGAGTTAATGACAATTTTTGAAGGTGCATTCAGTACAGTTTTAGTTGCCAAACTACCAACGCTGGTTGTTCCCCCACT